TGAAAGACCCTTGTAAATAAGCCTACTAAAACCCTCAATAATTATTTTATAACAAACTAATTGGTATCGTTTTGTCTGCATTCCTCTCTACAAAAGTGATATTGGAATCATGATATGAATTCTAACTTGGGTGTATTTGTTACAGATTGTACAAAACAGCTTTTAGACTTGGAGAGCTCCAAGCGCAATTTAATCTACCGATAAACCCTGCAGAGTATGCCCAAGAAAATCTCAAATTTGGTCTCGTAGAAGTGGTTTATGAATGGGCAAAGGTATCCTTCAACAAAAAAGAGCTCACTGTTTAGTTTCATAGTTCCATCATTAATTTCTGGGGTAGTGAATAAACCAATTTATTTATTTTTTATTATTTTTTTTTTCATGCAGGGTACTCCGTTTGCTGAAATATGTGAGCTTACTGATGTTCCTGAAGGTCTGATAGTAAGGACCATTGTTAGGTTGGACGAGACATGTCGGGAGTTCAAAAATGCTGCAGCTATAATGGGTAATTCTGCTCTATGCAAAAAAATGGAAATTGCTTCTAATGCAATAAAGCGTGACATTGTATTTGCAGCTAGCTTGTATATTACTGGTGTATGATCATTACTGAACATGCTAATTTTTTTCGAGTTCTAGAAAAGATAGATGCATAATAATTCATGCTTTGTTCATAATGAATTCCTTGCATAACTTGTATGCTCCTTAATTCTGCACCTTAACTCCTCTTTTTGTAACTACTATCTTATTTTAATTCAAATGAAATTTACTAACGGGTGCATGTAAACAAATGCTTGTGTATAAACTCGTTTAGTTAGTTTAGTTGGAGTATGTTACGAAGTAATAACTAAAATTATTTTAAAAATAATCTACGCCTTAAACTTTCTAAGCAAAACGTTTGTAACGTTTATTAACATACTGTCTCTTAGTAATATGTAAACAAGTTATTATTACAATTTTTTCATGTACACGTAAAAGGAATTATACCATCTTCAGAAAATTTAATTATTATGAATTTGAATTCATTTATTCAAAATTATTTAATTTTTAAAACATTTTGTTTTGATAACAGAATTTAATTCTATTTAATTTTAATTTTTTTTATTTGAATAAAATATTTTATTTACCATAAAATATTAAAATTATTATTACATAATATCAGTGATTTCCAAAAAAAAAATCTCAATAATATTAATTGAAAAATAATATTTATAAATGTTGAGTAAAATTTTAACTTACAATACATTGATTGAAAAATTCTCATACCAATCTTCATTCACATCAATTGCAATAATATAGTTGATTTATTAAAAAAATCTCCTTTGATATTAGTAGAAAAAATCATTGATATTTAACGTTAACTGGGAAATAATATTAACAAGGTAAAAATAACTTTGATGATGAAAATCTAAAAATAATTATGAGTCTAATTTATAAGAAACTCCTGTTAATGCCAGTCAAATAAAATCTTGAGCTAATGGCAATTTGATCAAAGATGACAAAGACCACATAGGGAGAACAAGGAGAGAAAATACATATAGATTTGAGAAAAAAAATAGTGTGGAAATCTTTATTTATAAGAATTTTAAAATTTTCTAATTTTATGTAATGAAATTATTATTATTATTATTATTATTATTATTATTATTATTATTATTATTATAAAACTATAAAATTTTAATTTCTGAGATTTTCGTATCTAATCATAATATTTTATCATATAAATATTTTAAATACTTTATAAAAAAATAAATTTTCCCATTAAAACACTATAAATTTAAAATATATATATATATATATATATATATATATATATATATAATATTAGACCTTCAATTTAAACTAAATCGGATGACGATTTTATTTGTATTGTTTTATTTGTTAATAATTTTATTATTGTACTTTGTATTGTATTTTATAATTTCATTATAATGAGTTACAAGAAATTTAAAGAGAAAATATTTATACGGTTTTATATAATATTTTTTACTATAAATGCATTACCTTAATATGAAAGAGACAAAATAAAACGTAATATCTAAATAAATTACCATAACCTTGTTTTTGCTCTCCGTATTTTCATCATTCCAAGAAATTGAAATATGTCATTAGAATTACTTGCAATTATATTCCTTTTTTTTTAATATTTTGTTTAGATAAAGTAGTTGAAATATCTTATACTTCAATTTCGTTATTTAGATTTCTAAAAATAAAAATTATTTTAAAATATAATATTTTATTTTAAAAATTATCAAAATAAATATTAATCAATTTTGAATATTCAAATAATATTCAGTAATTCAACTTTTTAATATTAGATAAAATTTAATAATTCAAAATATGAATGTTAATATTAATATTTTTTTACAATCACTGTTATAAAATAAGTATAATATTATTTACTAATTATTCTATTTAATAACTATGAATTCACATAATTATAAAAATTATAATAGTGAAAGATAATTAATGAGATATAATTTAATCCACTATTATAATCTCAATTATGTAAATTATTATCATATTATATCTTTTAATTGCAATTGATTTTTCAATCATAATTAAAATTTATTATATTAAACAATATGATTTTGCTAATAAAAAGGAAAGCTAAATAATGTGTAAAAATCATTGTTTTTAAATTTAACATATATGTTTTACAATTATCGGTAGTCTTTTAATATCTCCTTCAATCCTATTCAACATATGTATGCAAAATTACAACAAACTTGGTCAACTTTAAGTAATGAAATATATACAACTGACCACTAAACACATAATTTTCCTTCTTTTCAATGGGAAGAAAACACGTTCAATCATTGACATAAAAAAGTCTATGATGGGTTGGACTTATAAACAAGAAATGAGTCAATCTATCGATTAATTTTTTAATATATTAGCCAATCAATTTGATGTTTTTGATGCTGCTACATATAAATAATTCACCAAATATATGACTGCAATATTCTTCTGTCCACATAGCCACTTATTCCAAAGTCAATCATTTTATATAGAGACAATAAAAAGCTCTAACATAGTTCTAATTTATAAAAGTATAACCACTATTTCAACTCTTCTGATGCTAACATGTATATAAAAAATGCAAGGACAAAGATAACTTCAGAACATATCTTTTCATCAAAACAATATTTATAATGCTAACATGTAATGCAAGAATAAAAAATATTTTCCTGAAGTATCCCTACATCAAAACAATAGAGATTGTCAGATATTTTTGTTTATAGGTCGTCTTTTTATTTGAAAAGAGACCTCGTTACTTAAGTGAACAATTATTTCTAAAAAAATATAAAGACGTATAGTTCATTTAGATTGTGTTCAAATAAAAGACTCTATAATTAAAATAACACATTTACTTTTCAATCAAAACTCAATATTTTTATAATATAATGTAATCTATGATATATAATACTTGAATGAAACAAGTCACCATATATTGGGACATATATTATGCAAATAGTTGAAGTAGATAATTAAAACATATATGCAGAAAACTGAAGAAGATATTATCAAAATTTTCTTTATCCACCCAAATTAATCCTTACAATAAAGAAATAAAAATAGACATTAGTTCAACCATTTTATTAAATAGCTAGAAAGTGGTTAAATTCCTAGAATAACTATATAATGTGAAACACAAGTTATCAACGATGGCACATAGCGACTTTGTCATAGTTATACGCTAAAACATCATTATTACAGTTAAAAATAACATATAAACAAACTAATAAAATAAATAACTAAATAAGTACATGCTGAAAGATAAATAGCTTCAACTTAAGAATCAAAATGACGGAAAAGATTATTGTGAGAATATAACAATGATAGGAGAGACTATCTGAGAAAGAAGTGCAAATATCACTTATAAAAATGTTGACTCTAATGTAATCCACAATAAACAAAAACTAGATTTATGAAATCAGAGAGGAAAACACAAAATAACTAATCAATCTACAACAAAACTTAGATTACAAGGCTGCGAAACATACCTAGTATGAATAATTTGATAATGCACAAATTCTTCCCCGGAAAATATACCAAAAAAGGTTATTTGGAGAGTTATTGGGAGATAGCAAAGAGATTACAGAGCGAGAAAGAGCGAAAGAGTGAGCGTAAAAGAAGTCCGAGGAAGGGACTTCAGTCAAGAAGATGAGTAAAATGAGTGAGGAAGAAAGTTCCAACAAAAGGATGAGTAAAAAGAAGCGCGAAGAAGGGAGTTCCATGATAGAATGAGTAAAAGAAATGTGAAAAAGGAGGTTTTGACAGAGGGTGTGTAAAAAGGGTGTGAGGAATGGAACTCTGATAGACGATGAGTTTTTGGATATTGGGATTTTAAATTCGTTACTCTTTTTTTTTTTTTTTTAATGAAATTCAAATTTCTTAATTTAAGGTTTTTGAAATATGTGCCAAAAATTTTAAATTTCAATTTTTTTATCCAAAAAGTGTTTTTTACTCTAAAGAATTTTGAATTCATCAAATAAATAAATTATTTTCTTCGATTACCAATCCAATTATCAAGTAAAGGAAACTGTATTTAAATAGTAAATCATACAAATATAAATATGAAGAGTAAAACTTTGTAATATTATTAAAAATAATAAAAAAATAAAAATTCAATAGTAAATATTTTTTTTCTTAAAATTAAAAATATTGAAGAAAGTGTTGAAGAAAAAAGATGCATCCCAAACAGATAATAGATAATTGTAAGACATTTTTGTTTATAAATCAAACTCTTTATTTGAAAAAAAAGAATTCATTACTTAAAATGATCAGAGAGATCATCAGTGTGAAGTAAATGCAGAGACATCACTCGTGGAAATGTTGACTCTGTCGTAACCCAAAATAAGCAAAATCTAGATTCATGAAATCAAAGAACAAAACCCAAAATAATGAATCAGTCTATAATGAAACTTAAATTACTGAAATGAGAAACAAACCTAATATGAATCACTTTGACGATGCACAAATTCTTCCACAAAGAATATACCATGAAAGGGCTCTCTAAAGGTTATCTCAGAATAAGAAAAGATAACATGGAGAAAGCGCGTGGGAGAGTGAAAATAGAAGGAGAGTGAGGAAATAGCTCTGCCAGAGATTGAGTTTCCCAATATTGGAATTTCTGATTTTTATTTTTTAATAAAATTCATATTTCTCAATTTATGTTTTTTGAAATGTGTGCCAACTTTTTAAATTTCAATTTCTTTATCAGTTTTTTTTTATATTTAAAGAATTTTAAATTTATAAAAAAATAAATTATCCTTTTCAATTTTGTTTAAGTAAAAGAAATTTGTACTTAAATAGTAAAACGTACAAATATAAGTATAAAGAGTAATTTTTTTTAAGTATGATTTTAGTTCATGTTATTTTTTAAAGTATATATTTGATCCTTGTATTTGCAAATTGATAATTTTGTTTATCTAACTTATGAATCATTTAAATTATTTTTCATATTTAAATTTAATACTTAATTATTATTTTTACTTTAATATAGCTTATAAAAAGATTAAATGGGATTCTAATATTTTATATATTAATCTAATATTTAGTAATAATTTTTTTATTATCATAAAATTGATAAAATAACTATATTCATATATTTATTTAACTTTAAAGATTAATTTTTGAATTTTTAAAATATGATTAAGGAGAAAAGATGGTGAATCTATTTAACTTTTTTTTATTAATAATAATATCAAATAAAGGTAGTTTATTATAATAATTTTAGTGTTATTTATTATTATTAACATTAAATGAGGGTGTTGTTATTATAGTGATTTTGGTATATCCTAAATATGTTTTATCTGTAATTTATAGAATATTAAATTTTTTTATTATTAATATTAACTGAAGTTGATGTTGTTATAGTATGGATAGAATATTTAATATAATTTCTTAGCTGTAACTGGCTAATTTTTAAATAAAAATTTTAGTGACGAAAAAAATATCATAGGAATTAAGAGAAATTGCTTTTTATTATTAATAATAAGCGAAGGTGATGTTATTATAGCAGTTTTAGTATATTTTTACTATTTCTTAGCCCGTAATTTGGTACAATTTGCGAAAAGAAAAAGTGAATTTCATTCATATATTTAATGTGTCTGAATGACAATTTAAAAAATTAAATAAATTCTATTAATAGGATTAGAAAGATTATGTTAGAAACAAATTTTCTCAAGTAAAATTTACATTAAATTTATTAGATAATAACTATAATCTCCTATTAAATGAAATAAAAAGGAAAATATATTTCCAATACGAAACACACTCCATTTTTTTTTCTAAATTCGATTACATTACAGCTAAGAAATAACACAAAATACACAAAATAAAAGTATTGTAATAACAAAACCTCAGTATTATTAATATTAATACTAATAACAAAAAAATGTTGTGGGGCAAGTTAACGTAGAAAAAGGTGAAAAAGGTTTATGTCTGACACCAGCAAGAGAGAAAATAGTGTGAATGGTCAACAGCAGTGAGTGAAGTAACGCTCACCGCGAAAGGCAGAACCGTTTGTGAATTAAGTTCTGAACTTTGCGGGCTGCATGAAACCTTCCACTCTCTTCGCATTCTCATCGTCTCTCTCATCACTAACATCTTCAAATGCAACCAAACGTTTCTTTTACAATGCCAATGCTCATTTAACTCTCACTTTCTCTCTCACAATCTCTTTCCTCCTTCATTATTCTTCTTCTTCCTGTCTTCTCTCTTCTCTCTTCTCTCAACTCGCCACCTTTCAAGCCATGGAGCCTCACTGGAGCACTCGCCAAACGTGTCATCTCTACCACCTTCACTTTTCAAAGTCTTTTTTTTCATCTGGGTCGTTCTTATTTTTCTGATAACGTTTTTCACTCTCTCATTTTTGAAGGTTTGAACGTTACCTTTATGATTATCTTGTCAAACGCAACATGCACCGCACTGCTGAGGTTTTCAGGAACGAGGCTAATCTTCAGTTGAATCCCGCTGCTTCTTCAAGTGATGGTATAACATTGTGTATTTCGTTTTTTTTTTTTTTGTTTATTCCCTATGGTTCATGCTTTGGTTGCTCTTGTGTAGGATTTTTTCTGGGCATGTTATCTGCCATCTTTTGGTAAAGTTTTTGTCTTATTTTCATTCATATTGTGTTTGGTATAAGAAATTCCTGTGGGGTGTTGTTAAATTTGATGGGAAGGTTGTCATGGTAAGTTATGTTGTTGACTTTCTCATGAAATCATTTTTTTTTTCTCTGTGCATGTTTCCTCTTTATTTTTTTTATTCCAGGGACATGAAAGCAGATAGGAAGAAGAACTTATTTTATGGTCCTGAACCACAATTTTTCAATTTTCAGACAAAAGTTAATAACTTGTTAGAAATTGTTTTATAGAGCAGAGCCACAATTTAAGGAAATGACTAAAAATAACTTGTTAAATAGAAGTTGATTAGCACGGCATGGTCTCATGTCATTTAATAACCATTGATTAAAAATTCAAATGTTGAAATTGTGAAAAAATACTTGTACGTGTAAAATAAATCATGAAGTTTTTAAAATTTCAATATTTGATTTTTAATTAAGAATTACTACTTTACACTTTATCATTATATCACCCTAAAATGTGGAGCTAAGAGGAGTTAAATTTATAGACGGTGTGATTGTAATTGAATGTTGAGTCAAATCCTTAAATGGATTCAGTTTGACAATGTCATCAAATATGTTGATATGACAATGTTTTTAGAATTTAGGATAGGGTTAAAAAAGTAATTAATACAATTTAAATATATTCATATATAACAAATCATATCAGTCCAAAATTACATTTATTGTTGCCATTAATTCTTCATCACCCTCAGGAGTAATTGCCCCTCTTAGCTGTCCCCTTTCATTCCTTAGCAGAACAAACAAGCTTACTTGATGTGTTAGAAGTAAATGGTATATACAAAATCAGTATCATGGATATTCTAAAAGTATGAAATGCTAAAGAAACTAATCCTTTAATGTTAGAATCTACATTACAAGTTCGAATTTTGTGTGTTCAATATTTTCGATAAAGTTAGTTTATGTTGTCATGTTTCTGATGAATTTATGGGGTTTTACAAATGGAAGTACAAAGTAGAGGGTATTTGTGATGATTTTCTTTTTCTTGATTAAAATTGTAAATATTTTTAGTAAGAATTGCTTGATGGTAGTTTCTCCTTGGTAACTTCTGTTCTTCCATAACAATACTATTGCATCTCATGCATTAAATCTGTGCTTGAATGTTCTCACATTGTCAGGAATTTTATAAATTGTTGTGTTACAGTTTTTGTGATTGGAAAATGTGGGATTGATTTTTTCAGCTGTGGATGTCCCGGAAGGATTCTTGCTGGAGTGGTGGTCACTTAACAATGATTTTGACTTCTTTAGACAAATGCATGTAGGTTGCCATGCTTCCTCTAATTGTGGCCCAAGTCAAGTTGGTTTTTCAGTGCAATTATTTGTTCAAATTTCATCTGGATTTAGTTGCAGGACACACATGGGTTACAAGGAATGCAGGGATGTAATAATGCTTTTCAAGATGTAGGGTGTTCCATGAATGTAGAAGGAATGTATCAATTGCCTCATAATTTTACTCCTGGTATGTTTCTTGGTCTGCCATTAGTCTTTCACTGATAACTCGGACGTTTCATAATAAAGTTTGTGTGACATATTCAAGGGTCAATGCAAGCAGGACCTTTCCCTTCCCTCTCCTTACCTATATCTCTCTTCTTCATTTATTTTTTTTGTGTTGCAGTTCAAGCACTCAACATTGGAAGCAACTTAATGCCCTCACATGTAATGAACATTACTTCAGCTAATATATTTTAGTTTGCTTCCGAGAAGATTTAACTTCTATTGTTGAATATGCTAAAAAATATACATTTTTGGGCAGGTAACTGGTGAATTGCCATTATTTTCCTTACCATCTGCACTCCAACAAGTAAATGGTGAACAGTCACAATTTTTATTACCATTTTCCCATCAAGACGTATGTGATGAATTGCAACAACTTCCATCTTCACATCATGCTCCAATGCCAACACCGGCAGAGAGAACAATCGAGGTTTCGAATGTCAAAGGTCCAGAAGCAAAGTCTGAATATACTGGATCTATTGAGGTAATATCAATTGAAGTTGCTAAGTTGAAATTTACACACGATTTCATGTAGTTATACTTCTAATAGTCTCATTATATAGGGAGAATCTGCTGGAATGTTGTGTGACAGAGTTGCCAATGACTGCATGTGTTTTTATAAATATAATTTTTTCTATACAATATTTTACTATAGTAGCATTACTATTTGATTTAATAAAATATTTTGCAGGAAACAGATCCGATAATTGAGAATTTGTTGAATTCTTTTTGGTTGTTCGAACAAGATCAACCAAATTTATTTGAGAAGTCAACGGTGGGAGAGGTATTATGTAATAAAATCATCCAGACTGGATTATGTGTGCTGTACAACTTAACTAGTCATGTCTACTTTATATGCAAAATTTAACTGATCTGTTGAACTGATATACTCTGTCATACACAAAAAGGATGATTTGGTGAATTCTTGGTTCAATTTATTTTGGAGGATAATATATCTTTTTCCTACTTTCTTGAAAGAATTTTTCAAAAAAAAAGTAATTATTCTCCAAAGAAAGTTGTTCCCAAACACATAAATGTATGAAAGACAACTAATTACTTTCTTGTATGACATACATTATTTGGAAATAAGACTTTTTTCTTTCAAATAAAATATGAAATGTTTTGAATGGTAAGAATTTGTAATTGTGTCCATGGGCAATGAGAGGTCTAATCTATTCATACTCATTAATTTTTTCCTCCCTTTATTTATTGGTTCTAGTTTTGTTACATAGTTGTCTCATCAATAGTAATATAGGTCACTAGTCATTGTTTATCAAGATTTAGTGTCGTTTGAAACTCTTTTCAAAAACTAAAATATTGCACATGCATGGGAAAAAAATAATTTGGTATTCTCTTTAACATTAAACTTGTATTATCTCGTGCTTCCGGTACTACAGAGCAGCAGAAATGTGGAGAATTTGCAGGAATGTGATGGAAACACTGGTGTGAATGCAATTGCTGGTTCACGATCAGCATTGGAGGATGATGATAACAGAAGTAACACAAGTGATTGTTCCAGCGATTACCAAATAACTATTACTGATGCAGATGCTTCAACGGGTAACTACTTTTTTGGGGGGATAAATTAACTTGAGTGCATTAGTTGGCATTATCTTATTGCAGTCTGTATAATTTGAATTTTACATGGACCTCCCTTGACATTAGCACTAATTACATTTACATACATGTTGATTGAAAAATTACACTAGCTCCCTTACTTTATATATTATTAACGTTGACAATTATTATCTCTAATTAATGTGGAATTGTCCATAAGAAGAGACATCAATATGGTCAAGTATTAAATTAACATATTGTGACAAGATATTCTTATTTGTGAAATTATGTGGGAGGTCAACTATATTCTCCAAGTTTTAGTACAGACTAAGAATGGTAGAATGAGTTTTTAAGGTAACAAAGCATGCAATCAAATTACAAGATTGATTATTAACAATGTTGTCAATAACACATAATCTTTTTTACTTCAATGATTTCAACTTTTCATATGTACATATATACATATACATACACACATCTATCTCTCTTCTCTGAGTGCGTGTGAACTTTGTCTATTGTACCTTATTCCTATTTCGTTCTAATTATGGAAAATTTGGCTTGCAGGCCATCAGTTGGAATCCAATGAAGAAGCATAAATCAGTATCTTCAAGTATGGAATGTGATATGTTGTCTGCAATAATGAATTACCTTCTGTAAGAGGATTTGTTATTATGATTTAATCAATGTGAAATACTGCAATGCTACTAAATAAGTTTTATCTGAATAATATCCTTCTAGTTCAGTTTTATGTCGTACAGTTAGGCTAGTTACCTGTAATATCTATGTTATTATTTCTTCTTTTCTTTTGTCCCTTTTTAGGGGGAGAATGGTGATGAGCAGATGTGGTTGGATTTGAGAAAATGGAAATACATAATCCATAGACTTTAGTTTCACGTCTGCAACAAATTATTATTGTAGTACATTTGTTGAAGTCAATGGAGAGACATAAGATTATCTCTTTATAATATCATTTAAATATATTTATTTATACATAGTGATGATAAGATTATTTGAAAAATTATGTTATCTGCTGTTGGGTTACAAACTACAAGATAAATATACATTTTGCATAAACATCACAGTACTTATAATCATTGGAGAAATTTCACTCACCCATATAAAGGTTTTTTAGTAGTAATTAGGTTAGTAATTTGTTGGAAGTACACTATTCTTGTTTTAATTATCACATAAAAAGAAATACTTAATAATATTTAGACTAAGGAGTAATTAGGTTAGTTTGCTACTTTTTGATGGACTATCTTTCATTTGATCCATATTAATTATTGAAACCTATGCTGCCATTATTCTCATACAAACAAAGTACCTTAGTCAATTATTTATCATTCCCTCCTCAATATGTGTTACTTTGGACTTCTCCTACATATATTTTTTCTGTTTGTGGATGTCAACTTATCCACCTTAGCATTTTTAACTTCATTACACATGTTTCTTTTGTTGCCACTTTACCAACCATTCATGATTGTAGAACATCAATGGCCTTGTAGCTTCCCTATAGAAACTCCCTTTGAGCTCAATAGGAGCTTTGAGATCCCAATTTATGCTTGAATTTCCATAACCTCATACAAAAGAACTATCCTTTTGAGAGTTAAGATGTTGATATGACTCTTGAAGCCTCAAAACAAGGAGCTCTTCCAACAAACATGATAACGATAGAGAAGATCACGGGGTTAATTGAGAATTGAAGTGTCATAGATAGACTCAATCTCGATTGGAAAAGTGAAGGATGGAATTTTAGCTACAAATAGATGATGTGACTAGGTATCGTGAATATTTTTTGCATTGGGATAGTGATTCTATCTATTTTGTCAAGATAAAGAAGACATGGTCTATCATAACTAGTTCATGTGAAGAAAAAAACGCAATGCAAATAAATCCACGATAGACTATTTGCAAAATAGCCCTGTTGAACAAATAAATCCATGACACAAATCTTTTTCATTTCTCAATTTCCATAATCTCTTACCTTTAAAGAAATTTCCTTTTAAGAATTATGATGCTGATGTACCCTTGAAGCTAGAGAAGGAGGGTACTCTTCCAACAAACATAATAACGATGGAGAAGATCATGGGGTGAATCAACAATTGAAGTGTCATTTATAGAGCCGATCTCCTTAGATGGAAAAGTGAAATATGAAGTTTTAGGTACAATTCCATGGTATACATAAAATCAATCAAAACTATATGCACAAGGTTAACGTGTTAGCAAGGGATCAAAATGTGGACAATCACATAAGGGATATTCCTAGTAGTGCGATTATCTGGAAACTTAGTTGTGATCACGACCTAATCCGAATTTTGATATTTTTGCCACATAAAATATTAAGTCTCTTCAACTACGAAGATCAACTACGGCTAATAACCTTGGTCTGACCATCATGTATTGGCAAGAAGTTGAATAAAACTTTAATTGGTTATGGATGAATAAAGCAATTAATAACTTTAAAATATTTGTCTGATGTATGGTGGTAGGCAACCTTAGTAAGGGAAAAATATCACAAAAACACAAGTTAACGATGAAAAGGTGTCATTTCGTAAAATTTACTGACAAGAGAGATGGAGTCGTAAACAAAGTCTACGCACGGTAAGGTCCTTTCAAGGCTAATACAGTGCAATTAAGAAAAGAATGCATATTTATGAGGAATGTGGTATGAGTATGGATACACAATTTATATAGGTACATTGTTCATTCTTTTACATTATTATCCCAAAACCTCCTTTTAAATGAACCATTGTTGTTGTGATGGTGAATTCAGTCTGTAAGATATAAGGCCATTGAGAAGATTCAATCACTATGGTAAGGAACATACTAGGAAACCTTATCCTTGCTCTCCTTCAGGAAACTTGACCATTCGAGTCATACTGTTTCAATGATTATAAAAAATGTGTCATTTTCAAAAATTAATCAAAAAGGTGGATATAATCATGAACATAGTCTATGGTCAGGGCTTATATAGTGTACATAAAGAAAGTAATTTATAGTTTCAACGCATCTGATACAATTATAGGCAAATAGTTTATATAAGTACATGGTTCATTCATTTACATTATTATCACTAGGATTTCTTTAAAATGAACTAAGAATGTTCTTGTGTGATGGTGAATTCTGTATGCAAGATGTAAGGCTGTTGAGGGACCTAATTAGTATGGTGTAAGGATTAGGCTAGGAAACCTTAGCCTAGTGCTCCTTCAATATACTTGAAGATTTGAGTCACAATGCTCCAATGAGGGATCAATGTTGAAAAAGTTCATGGCAACATCCTTTCAAGGCTTATATGGTGTAGACGAATTCATGGTTACGAGTAAAGATCCCCAATTTATCTTTCTCCTTGGTCATAATTCTTTCTCTAAAACGAACTTGGCTCATTGTTGGTGAAATGGTGAATTAGTTGTCAAGATCATGTTGAGAGAACACTATCACTATCGGAAGGATCATGCTCAAAAAACTTAGCCTATTGCTCCTTCAATAAACTTTAAGATTTTATTCACAATGTTTCAATGACTAACATGTGGAAAGTGTGAAAACTAACTAATTGCAAAGCAAAAGAGATTTTTGTTTGGTTTAGGTGCAAAATCTCCCTTTGTCCAAGTAGAGGTTTAGAATTTGCATCCATAGTCCATACATATCACTAAAAAGTTGGTCATCAAGACTACATTACCTTAATATCTAGAAAAAACTTAATGGGAACCAAATTCTTTGACTAAACCCATAATAAGGTAATATGTGTTGCTTGAATTGAAAGCTACCATCATTCATCAATTCTTAAGAAGATAATGACATCTATATACAGTAGCTAAAAATACATCATTCTATAACTTACTCTAGATTAAGATATCTTCAAAGAATATAAGTAAGAACTAGCCCAATAATAAAGGACAAAAACATAGAATGTTAGGATTCTCAAAAGTAGTTTTCTACACATATCTCTTTAGGTCTAACTTTGGGTGGAAGGTATCTTTCAGAAAACTAGTAATGATTGTGGTTTGTCGTTGGTTTACCTCTATTCAAAGTAGTCAAAGTAGATGGCCTTGCTGGTGAATGATTAATTATGAAGGTAGGGTGGTATCTACAAGAACTCTAACACCAAAATCAGGAAAGTTTTAGTTGAGTAAAAATATTGACAATGGATCGTTGTAACTATGAGAAAGGACCTCATCCTAGATACATGATTGCCTTTCGGGATCATGCCCTTAGCATTCCCCCCTCTTTCTCCAGACCTAATCCTACAACAGTTGACACTAACTTGTCCTCAAGACTGATAGGGAACTATATGTCCTACTATCCTGGAATTCACCAATATTTTTTCTTAAGGATCATTAAAGTATGCACCACAAAATGTGCACAATATGAGTAGCATGTGATTGGAAAGTTAGGTTTTGATACCAATTGGTGTATAAATAGTGAAGAGAAATGGAGAAGGGAGAGAAATATACATAGAGGAAACTTTCATTGTATTGAAACTACCTTCAATTGTAATTCAAAGGACCAGTTGTAATTAAATGGGTCTATCATTGATTTCATTCATCCACGAATTCTTTTAAGAGGGTTACCTTCGTAATATGTAATTGTATATAGCTTTAATACATATTTCTGATTTCAAATTTTTTTTTTTTAAGGAGGATATAGTAACCTCTTTTGTAGCATTGATTACTTGTTTGATGTTGAATAAGATATATGTACAGTATTTAAAATCATCAAAACCAAGATCGCCTTGTTTCGAAAACAGACTATTTTTGTTTTAATATGTATTTCCTTGCATATGCATAAGCGTCACATCAAGCAGAGTGAGAATGAATATGCCTTACTTTTTGTTAATGCATTTCTATGCTGTTGAAGCAACATATAGGGTATTGTTATTTTTCTTCGCCCATTACTAATTTCTCATTGGTTGGACTTCTTATGTCATGTTTCCACAACACGAATCTTGTCAACAACAGAGGTGTCGAAGAATTTGTGATGGACAACAACAAAGGCTTCCAAACTAATTTTTCAACTAAAAAAGAAAATGGTGAGTGTCCAACTTTGTTTTGAAGCTTGAACACAATACCAGCTAACCCAAGTAGACTCTTGATCTCTCAGCAGAAGAAGGAATCAAGGGAAATAGATTATCCATGGTATTAAGAGGTGGTTTGTTTTCGTCTTTTGAAAGCTTTTCTTCTTTTTTTCTTTTATATTATAAATGTTTATGGCTAATAATGTGGTGAAATGTTTACTTTGGGGAATTCCTTTATTTGTAGTACATAAAAGCTGAAGCGGGCTATTGCATTGGCAGTTCAGCTTCTTAGCTTAATATTCAGTAACAGTTTGCTGGCTTGACCTTTTTGTTTGAGTTGTCACTTTGCGGATCAAGCGAATCAATCAAGCATTTGTGTTCACTGCAGCACTTGGAGATCCTTCAGTTAACAAAAGACCTTTTTTGTTTTTCTTCCATTACATGCTGAAACAAATGAACGAGAGAGGAGACATTAAAAATTCCTATTCTGTTAATCATCTCATTTGTGGCTGGCAGGCAAGCATCACTTTAGAGCTAACACTAATTAATGTGTCTCATGACTTCAGCCACATACCAAAAATGAAGTCTCACACTCATAAGGTTCTCACAACTTTTACTTACAGATTTACTAGTACATAACAACAAATCAACTTGTGATACTGCTTTTGTTTCCTTTGCTTTGCTTTGCTTTTTACTATTATATATATAGTTAACCTCGTGATAAAGCTTACCTTTGTTGATTTTAGTCACCACTTATAACTCACTAGCTTCGCTTCTTTCCTGTGGTTATGATTCACATTTGTCATGTTTATTTTTTTCACTGGCTTCGGCTTTATTAACTGATCATCCCTCTCATATCTTTTTAGTTATTTATGGCCATAGCTATTTATAAGATGTTGGTTTCCCTGGGAACCTATTTTCAAAGAAGTAAAGTTTGCACTTGGCGATCTCATTATAATCATATATCTATATTATAACTTTATTTAGTTGCTACAAAAGCACATGCAAAGCCTTGAAGTTTATTAGAGTTCACATATTTTTAATGGTGGTTTGATTTCATTACTTTGATCTTGATTATTTGGGATATTACTTTCCATTTATTTGGAGAGACCAGATCCCACAATGGCAACACCCTCATGCACTAGGCTGTAACCGTAACCCGTTTCTAAACAGAGATCTGTATTCAGTAGTTCCTTTCATGCACATTCTGGTTTAATTCAACATCAATCAACACCAGACTACTGAATTCCTGAAATAAATTAATATTTATGCAGCTAAACTTGATGCTAATATTGTAGAGGAGTTTTCTCCATAGAAAATTAGTCATCAGTCACTATTAATATGCATTTTTCTGTAATTCCTTTTTGGCCCTCGACGTTGGTTGGATTGGAACTATATTTTCTCAAGGGAATGCTGGAATTTCAGAGATAGAAGAATAATGCTAGAATTGTTTGTCAATTGGATTAAGATCCTTGAAAGTCGTTCACTCTGTTTTAATAGCTTCTTTAGAAATGAAAATAAAATTAAAATTCCTTGTGGAACATTCAGTACTGGAAAATGTGGGATTGATTTTTCTAGAAATGGGGGACACAGGGATTTTTTATGTAGCAGTGGTCCCTAGCTATGATGATATTGTTAAGAACATGGCTGCAAATGCATGTGGTATACATTGCTCCCTCTGATAGTGGCCCAATTCAGGTTGGTTTATCAGTGCAATAATGTGTTCAAATCTCACTCGAGTTTAATTGCCGGAGAAACATGGTTTAGAAGCCACTCTAAATCGTAATGCTTCTCAAGAAGCAGGGTGTTCCATGAATGAAGAAGCAAAAAGTCAGTTGTTTGATGATTTTACTCCAGGTGTGTTCCTTTGTCTGCCTAAAACAAATTGAATGACCTACAAAACATTGAATTTGTATTCTTGTGCATATGCACATTCATAATTTGATATGCTTGTGCACTGCCCTTCCCAATGAACTATAGTTTCATATTTATTCTGTAAAGTTTGATGGGATAAGGTTTGTTCCCTGTCGCCAACCTTTCCTAATGGCATGTGTTTTGATTGTTAGCAACTCAAATGAGAATTTTTTTGCCTGGTAGCTTGACTTGAGTTCAACTCGAACCAATTTTTCTGCTTGAACTTGATTCAATTCAAGCTCATGAATTGTTTGGTTAAAGCTCATTAGCTCTACTTGGTTCAATTTTTTATTAAACCAAATGAGTTAATCTAGACCACATGAGTCTAGTTATTGAACCACTTTAATGCATAGCTTTAGTTCATTGCATTTATTTAATGAACTCAATTTTCAACTCAGTTTGGTTCATGAACCAATTTCAACAAATCAATTAGCAAATCAAGTGCCAAATTAATTTCGAGTTGGTTTGACTCGTTATGATCTCTACTTGTAATAGTCTCATTGCATAGAAAGAATCCACTAAAAATTTTTATTGCTGGTGATTGCATGTCAAAAACAACTTTATACAATAATTTTACTATCAATTGCATAACTAGTTGTTTTAATCAAATTATTTTTACTATTAATACATTATTCATAAAAAAATAATTATTATTTAATTTTCTCAATATAGACAAAATTTAGTAATAGAATTGATCTCTCACTGGCAACAATTTCACAATTGATGTCCAATTGTTTTGTTCATATTCATTTGCACAACTAAGTAGCATTAGTTATTATGTTTTTATGTATTAAACATTAAGAAGACCTTTGCAACAAGGTCTAAGATGTCACTAAAGTTAAGAAGTTATTATATCTTTTCTCAAGAAGATATAAAAATATAATGTTGCTTTTATTCTGTGAAATGAATATGAATAAACAATCGAATTATGCTAGAGAGGAATTAATTACTATAAAACATTTTCTCTATATTTATTATCATTTTCACATTAAGAAGCATTGTTAACATCTACAAAGAGAGTAGTTGCTGTGGCCGCAAAAGATCCATAAGCAAAAGCTTAATAGAGTAGATTTAGTGGACTGGTGACAATTGAAGTGGTTAAACTGAAATTTACACACAAGTTTGTGTGATTATACTTGTAATAGTCTTATTCTATAAAGAGGATTTGTTAGAACTTTGTGTGCTACAGTTGTCAATGTCTATCAATAAAGATCATTCTATACAATACTTTTACTATCAATAGCATAACTAGTTGTTCTAATTAAATATTTTTGTATGAAACAAATCCATGTTTGAGAATTTATCAAATTCATTTTGGTTGTATGAACTGATCAACTTAGTCTTTTTGACAGGTCAACTGTGAGAGAAGTAATGCATAAAAAAACATCCAAACCGAATTAAATGTATTGTACAACTTTACATATCATGTCTATTTTATATTTTATATCCAGTCATTGAACTCAATCTATTTTAAAAATATATCTTTATCATAGACAAAAAAATTTAGTATGTGTGATTAAACTTTAATTAGAGGAATAATCATTTTTTAACTTGAAATACTTTTTTGTCAAAAAGTTATTCTTATCAATAGAAAGTTGTTTCTAAGTGAGGTAAATATTGTTACTTGTTAAGTTATAACATTACTTTCTTGTGTAGCACATATTATTTGAAAAATATTTTTTTTTCAAAATAATTCATCTGTGTTTTGCAACAACTTACTTTGGAAAATAATATATTTTTTTTCAAAAATTATTTAAAAAAAACTAGGGAAAAATATTGTCCTCCAAATTATATTGAATATACTGAATCATCAAAGTAGAGAAGATATATTTTTAAAATAGATTGAGTTCAATGATATATTGCTACAAGTCTACAACAAATTTATTTCAATTGTACAACACATTTAATCCAGTTTGGTTTGGATTATTTTATTACATATCATTCCTACCGTTGACTTTTCAAATAGAGTTGATCTTGTTCAAAATCTTTATATTAGTTTCCTGATTGAAAAAACTAGTTATGATATCCTGGGAAAAATATTGTATAAAACAGTTTTTATTTATAAAATTACACGCAGTCATTGGTAACTCTGTCACAAAATTCTTGTTAATTCTTTTTATGGGACAAGATTATTACAAGTATAACTACATGAGATCCTGTCTAACTTTCAGCTTAACCACTTCATAATTGTTACTACCTCATTAAATGTAGTATATTCAGGTTTTGATTCTGGAACATTTGCATTGGCTACATTGACTGTTCTCTGTGCAGATGTTAACATTGCTTCTTGATGTGAAGATGGTAATAAATGTTGGCAATTCACCAGTTATCTGTTGTTGGGAAGAGAAATTTGTGACAGTTCATCACTTCTAGATGTGAAGGTGGTAAGGAAAATAATGGCAATTCACTGGTTACCTGACCAAAATCAGAAAATGTATAGCTTGTCATTCAGGAGGAATTAAAATCTGTTGATCAGAAGAATAAAAGAAGCTACAAATGGATTCAAAAGAAGCTTCGAGCATAGTTTGCAAAAGGACTTACCACCTTATAATACAAGCTTTTTTAAGGTCATTTCTGCAACTTTTCATGGACTTGAATTTTGAATTTAACATCCCTGTTCACATATAACTCCCCAGCTTCTCTTCTTTTCTGTGGTTATAATTCATTTATTCTTTTCACTAGCTAATAGTCAATTAATTTCCTTGAAACCCAATTTTCAAAGTAGTATAGTTTTCACTTGGCAATGTGATTATAACCATGTATGCATATTATAACATTATTTAGTTGCTACAAAACACAAGCAAAGCTTTGAAGTTAATGGTGATTCGATTTCATTGCTTGGTTCTTGATCATTTAGGTTGTTACTTTCCATTTATTAGGAGAGACCAGACCCCACAATGTCAAGGTCTGTGAAGAAAGAAGTCCCACATCCGTGGGAACTTCAATTGGGGGCTCTCCTCTTTCCTATAAAAGGAGCCCCTCCCCCCTTATTTCAAACATCCCAAATATTTCTCCTTCTTTCTCTTTTACTTTCCTAGTATTGGTAATTTCCAATTGTAAAAGGAAAGAGTGGTCATTATAAAATTTTCATTTTTGCCTATTGTCAGGGTTATTTTTCTCGTCTCTATTTTAGTTGTGTGTATTTATGCTTTGGTACTCCGATCCTAACGAGTGGTATCGAGAGCTGCGTTCGAGTTCGTTGCGCGTCACTAGAATAGTGTTGGTAAAATTCGAGTATGCTCTCGTGGTTGCGGTTTAATCGATCTTCCACATCGGAAAGGAGTTATTCTTGGAAAAGGTGTGGTAGTGTGAAAGTACTATTGAGGAAAGTTACGGCTAGGAAAGACTTGGTACTTAAGCGTGTCCATTAGTGACCCACCTCTCTTTCCTGGGAACCTACTTGGTGTACTGGTTCACGGTCTACTACTATTGTTCCAGTAGACAATACTATTCATAAGTGAAAGTTGCATAAGTGGAAACACAACCATGGCAGCAAAGTACGAGATAGAGAAGTTCAACGGGAACAATTTCTCGTTGTGGAAATTGAAGATGAAGGCAATCTTGAGAAAGGACAATTGCGCAGAAGCAATTGAGGGAAAACCTGCAGAAATGGCGGATAAAGATTGGAAGAAAATTGACAGCAACGCTATTGCAAATTTACACTTGGCAATGGCAGACTCAGTTCTATCCAGTGTTGCGGAGAAAGATTCTGCAAAGGAGATTTGGGATGCCCTCATTAAATTATATGAGGTGAAGTCACTTCACACAAGGATATTCCTGAAGAGGAAACTCTATACTCTTCGGATGAGTGAGTCCACATCGGTGACGGACCACATCAACCAACTGAACACCTTGTTTGCCCAATTAGCGGCAGCAAATTTCAACATAATTGAGAATGAGCGTGCGGAGCTTTTACTTCGAGCTTGCCGGACTCGTATGATCAACTTATCATCAACATTACAAATAATAATATTGAAGGACAACTACACTTTGACGATGTTGCGGAGCTATTCTAGAAGAAGAATCCAGGCGAATGAATAAGGTAGAAAGTTCTAAACAAGCAGAAGTTTTGACGATGATGAGAGGAAGATCAACGGAACGTGGCTCAAGTGGGAGTCAAGATCATGGCAGATCGAGCTCTCGAAACAAGAAGACTTTCAAATTTAAATGCTACTACTATGGCAAGAAAGGGCACACGAAGAAAGAGTGTTGGAAGAGGAAGAATGAAGAATCAACCTCACAAGGTTGCATTGCGAGTACTTCGAGAGGAAGGAGTAATTCTGGTAAGCGAAGCGATGAATCAGCTCTAATGGCGGAAACGAATTTCATGACAAGTGGATAATGGATTCAGGTGCAACTTGGCATATGACCCCACACCGAGATTGGTTTCAAACCTACAAGCCTATCTCAGGTGGATCCGTGTTCATGGGAAATGACCATGCATTGGAGATTGCTTGGAGTTGGTACTTGTCAAATTAAAAATGTATGACGGTACTATTTGCACAATCCAAGAAGTACGACATGTGAAGGACTTGAAGAAAAATATATTGTCTATAGGGCAATTGGATGACCTCGACTGCAAGATCCATGTTGAAGGAGGAATCTTAAAGGCAGTGAGGGGAAACATAGTTGTCATGAAAGCGAGAGAAAATCATGGCAAACTTGTATGTGCTTATGGGAGACACCTTGCAAGAAAATCATGCAACAAGCTGCGTCGACAAGCCAAGAAGAAGCGGCGATAACGTGGCACCATAGACTTGGACATATGTCGGAGCGAGGTCTGCAGATTCTTGCGGAACGTGATCTCATACCTGGGCTCAAGAAGGTCGATTTACCCTTCCGTGAGCATTGTGTGACAAGCAAACAACACAGGTTGAAGTTTGCAAGAACCACCACAAGGAGTAAGCAAACTTTGGACTTGATCCATTCGATGTCCGGGAATCACCGAAATTATCTCTCGGAGGAGCAAAATATTTTGTGTCGTTCATCGATGACTACTCGAGGAGATTATGGGTATACCCTATCAAGAAGAAGTCTGAAGTATTTGCGCGGTTCAAAGACTTCAAAGCACAAGTAGAACTTGAGACCGGAAGGAGAATCAAGTGTTTGAGGACAGACAATGGAGGAGAATATGTAGATGGAGATTTTCTAGCATTCTGCAAGCAAGAAGGAATTGTGAGACAATTTTCTGTTCCACACACGCCTCGACGAGAATGGTGTAGCGGAGCGGATGAATAGAACTCTTCTAGAGAGAACCGGAGCTATGCTGCAAGCTGCGAGGCATAACAAAGTCTTTCTGGGCGAGCCGTGAATACTGCCTGTTACTTGATAAATCGGTCTCCATCAACAGCAATTGGGTTGAAAACTCCTATGGAAATGTGGAGTGGAAAATCAACCGATTATTCTTCCTTACATGTGTTTGGTTGTCCCGCGTACGTGATGTACAACACCCAAGAAAGGACGAAGTTGGATCCAAAATCCGGAAATGCATCTTCTTGGGATATGCTGACAATGTGAAGGGGTATCGCTTGTGGGATCCCACTGCCCACAAAGTTATTGTTAGCGAGATGTCGTCTTTGCGAGAAAATGAACTGCAAAGCAAGCGGATAAATGACGGCTCGGAATAGGACAAGACTATAGTACGAGATAGAGAAGAAGACTTCGAACATTCCTCCGAGTTAGAGGAGGAGCATGAAGAACATGAGCCAAATGAGGTGGAAGAAGGAGAACTCCGACGATCAACAAGAGAAAGAGTCGGACCATCTTGGCATTCACAATATGTGATGGCAAGTCATGATGCGTATTGTCTCCTAAGTGAAGAAGGAGAACCTTCAACTTTTCAAGAGGTCGTGAGTGGTTCGAAGCTCCTCTATGGATGGCTGCTATGGAAGAAGAAATTGAAGCTCTTCATAAAAACAAGACATGGCATCTTGTGGAACTTCCAAAAGGTCGCAGAGCCATTGGTTGCAAATGGGTCTATAAGATCAAGAGAGATGCCAATGATCAAGTAGAAAGATATCGTGCTAGACTGGTGGTAAAAGGATATGCTCGGAAAGAAGGCATTGATTTCAACGAGATATTCTCACCAGTTGTTAGATTGACAACAATCGAGAATTGTCCTGGCGATGTGTGTTGCATTTGATTTACATCTTGAGCAATTGGATGTAAAAGCTGCTTTTCTTCATGGAGAACTTGAAGAGGAAATATATATGCTCCAACCAGAAGGCTTCAAAGAGCAAGAAAACTTGGTTTGCGGAGTTGAACAAATCTCTATACGGTCTAAAGCAGGCGCCAAGGTGTTGGTATAAGAGATTTGATTCCTTCATTATTAGCCTCGGATACTACAGACTAAGTTCGGACCATTGTACTTACCACAATAGGTTTGAAGAAAATGATTTCATCATATTGCTGTTGTATGTGGATGACATGTTGGTGGTAGGCCCTAACAAAGCTCGAATCCAAGAATTGAAGGCACAATTGGCTAGGGAGTTTGATATGAAGGACTTGGGACCAGCAAACAAGATTTTAGGGATGCAAATTCACCGAGACAGAAAAGATAGGAAGATTTGGCTTTCTCAAAATAATTATTTACTTAAGATCTTGCGGCGCTTCAACATGCAAGATTGCAAGCCAATTTTTACCCCACTTCCTGTCAACTGTAAGTTATCCTCAAGTATGAGTCCTAGCAGTGAAGCGGAGAGGATCGAAATGTCTCGAGTACCGTATGCATCAGCAGTGGGAAGTCTTATGTATGCCATGATTTGTACAAGACCGGACATTGCACAAGCAGTGGGAGTGGTTAGTAGATTCATGGGGAATCCTGGTGGAGAACATTGGCAAAATGTGAAGAGGGTCCTTAGGTATATAAAAGGAACCTCAAATGTTGCATTATGTTATGGAGGATCGAAGCGGTTGTCGAGAGGCTATGTAGATTCGGATTTTGCAGGTGATCTGGATAAAAGGAAGTCTACTACTGGTTATGTGTTTACCATCAATGGAGGGGCGAGTAAGTTGGTTATCCAAGTTACAAGATGTGGTAGCTCTGTCTACTACTGAAGCTGAATACATGGTCATCACCCAAGCATGTAAAGAAGCTATCTGGATTAAAAGAATAATGGGGGAACTTGGTCACAAGCAACAACAAATTGTTGTGTACTTGTGATAGTCAAAGTGCCTTACACATTGCAAGGAATCCGACCTTTCATTCGAGGACAAAACACATAGGAATAAGATATCATTTTGTTCAGAAGTAGTAGAAGAAGGAAGTGTAGATTTACGGAAGATCCACACTGAGAAGAACCTAGCGAGATGTAATGACAAAGCCGGTTAATGCTGACAAGTTTATAAGGAGTCGATCCCTCTATGGCCTATCGGAAGCATAAGCAACATGGATGTGAGAGAAGAAGACATAGTGTGAAGATTTGATTAATTTCATCAAAATCTTCAAGTGGGAGATTGTGAAGAAAGAAGTCCCACATCCGTGGGAACTTCAATTGGGGGCTCTCCTCTTTCCTATAAAAGGAGCCCCTCCCCCCTTATTTCAAACATCCCAAATATTTCTCCTTCTTTCTCTTTTACTTTCCTAGTATTGGTAATTTCCAATTGTAAAAGGAAAGAGTGGTCATTATAAAATTTTCATTTTTGCCTATTGTCAGGGTTATTTTTCTCGTCTCTATTTTAGTTGTGTGTATTTATGCTGGTACTCTGATCCTAACAAGGTCCTCATGCCCAAGGTTGTCACCCCTTTTATTGCAAACTTGTTTTCATTCAATCATGAGATGTATCTTATTTGCATTCAAGCATTTTCTGATAAATTTGAACATCAATCAACACAAGATTTTTTCTATATTATTTACTATTTTATTTTAGTTTTTGACATAGACGCATAGATACAGCAAAACCAAGAAAACTCTCTTGGAAGGAACATGCTATATTGGCCATTATCACAGTATCAGCAAAATATAGAGATTCTCTTGACGAAAGAGTCCATGCTTAGCCAAAGTATCAGCATCAACAAAATATAGAGATTCTCTTGAAGAAAGAGTCTATGCTTAGCCAAAGTATCAGCAACAACAAAATATAGAGATTCTCTTGAAGAAATAGTCCATGCTTAGTCAAAGTATCAGCAACTTGAGCATGTTGTGCACCCACTGAACCTGTCCTTAGAGAAATGTTATTATTTTCAGCAACCAAAGAAAATGCAGGATAAATACTGTTAACCACTATTTGTCCATAGAAGTATTAGAATATGATCTTCCTAAAGCCTTTATTTTAAAATTTAGGCATTATTTAGGCACTGGTGTGGATTGAAACTGCATTTCTCTAGCCACCTTTCAGACCTTAGTTTGCTTTTTTAAATTTCTTGTACAATTACAGTTGCAGTGTTGAACAACCAAGCACAAATAAATGTTTATATTTTCTTGAATGATCAAATTTAAAATGGGTTTTCAAGTAAATTAAAACTCTACAGTCTACAACTCTCACATCGCAAGTACACCACAATACCCAATTTTAATTTATTCTCACCCAGCAACGAATATAATCTTTTAAAATTCTTACATTTTTAAACTAACATTGGAAAACATATTAGTGAGATGATTTCAATTAATTTTAAATTGTTTCACAAATTTTTTTCTATAATAGGTAATTCAATAGAGTTAAAAATCAATTTCGTTATAACTCAAAAAGATGTGAAGAAAATATGAAGTAGCAATCAACATAAATTGATTTTCTTCGGACACGTCTTATTTTCTTGCAACTTGGTGAGAAAAAAACAAATATTTTCTTAAATTGTTTAATATATAATTTTGGATTTAATTATATTTTTAAATCATATAATAATTCTAGTTATATTTTTTTCCTCTCAAAAATGATTTTTGCCTCGTTATACTAATAAGGGATTGAAACAAATTTTTTAGGGTTTAATTTTTTTCTCTTTCAAATTCATATGATTTTTAACTTCATTAAATTGAAAAAAAAAATTGGAAGTTCAAAACTATAATTATCCTAAATTTAGGGATTAAAATCTTAATTTCTAATCTATTATATATTAAATTTATAAACTTAATTTTAAATAAGTATTAAAAAATCAGAGTGGCGCAGCGGAAGCGTGGTGGGCCCATAACCCACAGGTCCCTCGATCGAAACCAGGCTCTGATATATTTTCATGTTTTTTCTTAACAACAGCATTGCACGTTATGGGCCTTTCGTGGACTTGGATTAGAAGATATTTTGGGCTTGCTTGATTAACGTGTAACCTTTCGTGGGACTTGGATTAGAAAATTGTTCCCTGCATCTTATAATTTCTAACTGCACCACCCATCCAATTTAATGTAAAAGGAAACGTTGAAAAAAGTGTTCTAGGTTACTAGATTTGGAAAAATTTTAAATTTATGAATCCAAAACTATTATAAATTTGTAGATCTAGATAAATTTTGAATTGGTGAAAAAATTTACAAAATTAATTACTAAAATTTCAACATAAAATTAATTAGTAACATGTGGAATAATATTCAAATCGAGATATCTAAATTAGGTGATAAATGTATTTATTTATATATTATAATTTTATCATATTTTTAGTCGATGGAAGATTTCTTAATAAAGTTAGTTATCTCATCATTTCTAAGATAATGACAGAGTTAATTCTATTGGAACGTTATTCATTAATGGTTGTAGATTAAATCACCTGTTATCGAACCAATATTAGATCAATTATCTTAAAAATGAGAGAGTATAATGTAAAAAATCTTTTTTTGATATAAGGAGATGTGATAAAATATTCTCCTCAAAATGGTAGAATATAATGAAAAAAATTCTTTTAAACACGAGAAAATATGCTAAGAAAGTCTATATCAATTAAATATTCGATAATATTATAATATATTGATAAATACAATTATTGCTTGATTGAATTAATTTTGTATAGATGAGTCAATCATTTCTATGATTAATAATTTCAAGATATATTTTCAATTATCCAAATAAATTATTTTTTAAAAAATATTAAAAAAGTATTCCACATTAGTAGATTTGAAAAAAAAACTAAACTTATAAATCAAAATATTCTAAATTAATGGATGTGGATAAATTCCGAATGGGGGATGAACTAGGTGAAAATTTTAAGATTGGCTTTGATAAAAATATCCACTATAATTTCAATTTGGAATTAATCCTTTTAAACTTTGAAGAAAATAGCCCCTCAAGCAAAAGTGTGCAAATGTAGAAACCGAGGACGAAATTGCAATTTCCCATAGTCATAAAATCAAGAAATTTCGCAAACACGCGATGAATCAAGACCAACCAAAATCCCTATTGAATGAAAGTTAACATGATTACAATGAATAGTGATCATAAATTCATGATCTTGGAGATACAATTCAAGTCAATAGCAGAAAACAACAGAAAAATCAAATGCTTATAAACACTTCTTCCGATTGAATATATTTTTTCATTCATTCTGGACATGTTCTTGGTCCTTCAAAATCTTAAATTTGAAAAGGGTTTTATGAAAGATAAAAAGTTCTTAAAATTCATCACATATCCCACTTACTTTGATCACACTTTATAATTAACTTCGTGCATTATGCACAGGTTTGTAGCCTTTATATGCAACACAATGGGATTGCTTTCTTTCTTTCCATTTCTTTTGTGGTTTTCAATCACATCTATTTCACTCCAATTCACCATCTTTGACATGAGTTGACTGCTTTTGAATATATTCTTCTTCTGAAATACTTTTACCTCTTCTATCACCAACTTTTGCTTTTCTTTTCTTTTCTTTTCTTTTCAATGATTTAACACCTATCTACAAACACATAAACCAAATCATTCACCCTGCAATTCTTCAATTCCACCAAAATTTTACAGGCATTTTACATTACCTTTCTTTACGATGAAAATGATTATAAACATATACTTCATTTTCTTACAATGAGAGACTGTTAGGTTAGTCTGAGACTGATACAACCCTATTAGAATTTTTGAACTTCAATTCATGTTGCTGATGAATTTAATGAATGTAGGTGCAGCTCCTTCTACTAGTCAATGCCATTTCTTAGTTCACCTGTTTTCATTTATGATAGACAAGTGAAAGTCCTAACTTTTCCACTCCATTTTCATAATAGTCCCTTCTTCACCTACTAAAAATAAGAGCTTTTTATCTTTCTTTTCAATTTTGATGTTGAGTGTTTGACACTTTACAGGGGCTCAAAATATCTAATTAATTTTATAGGACTATTATCAGAAAATATAGGTGCATGGTGTTTCAATGGTTTACAAATTAGGGATATGCTGTTGGTAGGAACAATAAATACCAAACATTTTACATAGATAATGAATCTAGTGTTTTAAACCAGACATACTAAATACAGTGTCTAATTTATATCACATAGTGAAATAATCATGTGTCTATGCCATCATATATACTTGCAACACCAAAGCTTACGAAAATAATTTTATATGCTATAGAAGACAGTTACAGAAAACCAAGACATGAAGGATACAAGATGAAATGGTAACTAGTACCATAATTAAAACACAACGACAACCTTGAATCCAAATCATAATTTTTTATTTTATTTAAACTAACTTGGATTGCAACCTAAAACACCAAGAGGAATGAATCCACATAATCCAAATGAAACTGAGATATTAATGTCTTCATGTAGCCACTCCTTCAGTTTTAGTTGTCACTCCTGTTAGGTTTGTCTGAATTGAAATCCACCTGAGACATATTTATGCAATTCTCTAAGAAAAAAATGCATAACAATCTCAGAATAGTAAAAGAACAAACTCATCAGAATTCAATATCTGGTTGTTATATTACCTCCATAGAAGGAGCAGGAACCCAATCATTGGTTGCTGGATTGCACTTGCAAGAGTGATGGCAACCAGTGTCATTATCTGGTTCTATGTGAAAGCTTTTTCCACTTTTCTCTACACTGATAAATCCTGTTCCAGTCTGCGGATGACACACATAAATTGTATCAGAAACATTGTCATTCATGTACACCTTTTTACTCTTTTGAAGGATTTAGATGTTATCATATTACAAGTATAAAAACTGTCATTAGAAAAACTAAGGTAATGGTTGGCTAGCATTCAATATAAATTTTCCATTATCAAGAAACATGTTTCAATATTTTGCAATCAAATTCACTAAACCAAAATGAAATTAAATTAATGCAGAGATGTATTTATGAGACAAAAATAAGTGAATACCGTATGGTGGTGTTTGTCCACGTTGTTGAGATCTTTGTAATACTCTGTTTCCACAAATTCTTCTGTTACTTGACTTCCATTGTACACCAATTTCTGAATATAATTAAAGAGTAAGAAAATGTAATGAATTATCTCCAGAATCAAGAGGCAATCTTGAAGATTTATAAGGTACAACTTTAATATATTCTGAAAAAAGTCAGAACAAGCGTTTGTAGTCCAACGGTTAGGATAATTGCCTTCCAAGCAATAGACCCGGGTTCGACTCCCGGCAAACGCATTTAGTTTTGTTAAATTTTCAGAACTGATCCTCCACATACTCTATAAATTATTCTCAATTTTTCAAATTTTTATAAAGAAAAAAGTTTTCTTTTTTAATTCCCCCAATCTGTATAAATCAGGTTAAAAATAAGAACATAAGTAGAGGAAAGTAACCTTCTCTTGGGGATCATTTTCAAGGCGTTGGAAGTGGACCAACTCTGGTATAGAAGATTGATGGGCATTGGAGAAAGCATCGACATATTGAGAAGAATAATCACTGCGTTGAGGCTTGGTGTGGCGTTTCGGTGCGACCCCATCAAAGTAGTCTCTGGTTTTTGCCTCTACGGTGGCTTCTTCCTCCGCTGAGAGATGGATGTCACTCCTGTTTGGCCTTCTGCAGCACTCCATTCTGCTCCTAACTTCTTCACCAACCTTTCTTTTTTGCATTCCAACCATGAGGATGTGTGTGTATTTGTAAGAGTTGGTGGCTGTGGCAGATATTTTTGGATTGGTTGGTCTGAAGTTTAAAAATATCTCTTTTGGAATCACCTTTTTTCGTACAAAATATCTACAAAATCTTATCCATTTCTTCTTGCTAGATGGCTTTGTTTCGTGGAGTACAAGGTCAATCATTGTACTATTTTAAATCAAAACTTATCCTTACGTGATTATAAAAGTTAAATGTCGATTTAATTTCATATATTAATTTTATATTTGATAAAAAATGTTAATCACAAATTTTTATTTAAATTATTTATCTAATATTGAGTTATTTTTCCTAAAAAAGTAGTCAAGTGTCACTGCATCACATAACCCATTATCATATCATATTATTAATATCGATTTAATCTTTATAATAATGATATAATAAACATATTTCAAAAAACTTGTATTTAGTTTTAAACTTAATTATTAATCACATGTCCTAAGTAATATATTGTATCCTTGTTTAACAATGATATCACTCTAATCATTTTTAGGTATAGGCTAATTCCTGATAATCCTTCATTTTTACTAGTACATATACACACTTGAAAGCAAGTTATGGGATATGATCTATTATTCACAACCTAATAACTTTATCTTATTAAATTTGTCACATAAATACTAACCACACCATAACTCAACAATAATTATATGGTAAATACCAATGATAATCACACACACTCTCCACAACACATACTTATCTTGATAGACATATTAATTGTGTCAAATGATTTTCTAATAATCTTACAAACATAAAATATACATGTTTTTAATAACATCAGAATTAAGAAATTAAAAGATATAAAAATTGTAAATTTTACAGTGCTCTGTTTATAAAATTTTCAAATCTCCACTAAAGAAGCTTTTTATTCTCTAATATTTAAAATTTAGAAAACCCCTTCACTTACGAAAAAAAATCTTAATTACACGGAAAGTTGTATTGTATATTTTTAGAAAATTGAGAGAATTGTTGAATTTTTTACTAATATTGAGATAAAATTGAGTAAACTAAACAGATAAAATTAAAATTAAAAATTAATGAAGCCTACTTATCATATTTTAACAGATATAAATATATTATTAATAAAGTACAATACATTTGTATATGTAGCTTTATATTTTGTATTAGTTGAATATAATAAGTCATTTATTATCATCGTTCATTTTTATTCTAAAATTTTAATATATAATTTAATGTTTAATTTCTATTTACTTAACAACAATTGATTAGTAAACATTTATAATAACCTTACCATTATATAATATGGTTCCTAAAAATAATACGGATTTGTTATTTCTATTTTCTGTTCTATTATTAATTATTGAATATATATTATACTGTTACATTAATCTTTAAAACTCAATAAAATTTATATATATTTCCATTTCTTTAAGATTCATATAAATTCTTAAAATGAATCATTTTTTTTATTTTAATTTTTATAATAAAATAGGAAGAGTATAAGTTTTAGTGCATTTGTGTTGTTGTTTTGAAATTATAAAATATAAAAATTATATAACTTAGGATATTACACCTAAGAATATGTTATTGTCTCCACACACTTTTCACTGTATCCTCTCTTATCTCATCACATGCTTCCACTGTTTCTCATTTCATCCACACATTGCTGTACAAAACCAACACCAGTGACGGCTCTCGCCACCGTTAGCCGCCTCACTCCGGCAACAGGTCTATTATCTCTCTCACCTTACTGTAGTCATTGTTTTTTCTTTTCTTTTCTCATTAAATTTTTCACGATAAATACCCAATCTTAAATCTCTCGTAACCTCTTATTCTTCAGTTGTTATTTTCTCAGAAATTACAATTTCTTATCATTATAAGATTATGCAAATAATAATTATTTCTTTTAATTATAAATATACGTTTTCTAATTTTTAAATAAATATTTCAATAAATACTATTCACAGTTTTAATATTTCAATACTATATGTTTATATTTTTTAATTTTTCAAATAAATATTCTTTTAGTAAATAATATCAACCTTCTCTTTAATTTTAATAAAATGAAATTCAATTTCTTTCTTTCATTAAAGATATTATATCAAGAAACATTTATGAAAACTAAAAAATAAAATATGGAAGAAATCTTTAATAAGTAAATAAGATAAAAAAAATGAGTGTGACTTTAAAATACAAGAAAAAACGAAATACATTTGGTTAAAAATATAAAAGAATAAATGTTTATTTTAAAAAACAACTATGAGCATAATTTTGTATAATTTAAGAAAGAATATGACTGAAATTTCTTTTTATGAATCTCAGTATATTGATTTATGCACATTTTCTCTTGCATACCGCGTAGTTATATATAGCTCATCCAGTTTGACACATTCTCACCTAAATTCTCTTTGTTGAGTTAGGTAAGTACTTCATGGAAGGAAAATTTTTTATCCTCTTGTGTGAAAACATAATAAGAAATTAAGGGTATCTTTAGTTACCATTTTTATATATGTCTTTACAAAATTTGTTTTTCCTTCTAAAAGTGGCTTTTAGAGAATACTCAAATAAGAGTTTTATGAACCATTACTTAATAAAAAAAGTATTAAAAAGATATATATTTTAGAAAATTAAAAGATATTCTATGTTTCAAGAATATAAAATTCATTAAATGTTTATCTAAGATTGCATAACAATTAATTAATCCATAGCTATTTAAATTGAAATATTTAAAAGCTACTTCGTTTTATATTATATTAAGGTGGTGATATTATCAAATCTATCCTTTATTATAATAATAATAATAATAATAATAATAAATATATAAATTTAGAAGGTTTTATTAATATTATATTATTAAAACTGAGTTGGTTAATAAATGTTTGACAAGGAAGGTGTGAACTTAATATTTTCCTTGTAATAATTTCAAATACTCAATTATAACAAATAAAGAAGATAAATTTCTAATTATATTTTTTAATTTAAAAATCTAATTAAACATTTCCAATATTTGGGGTGATTGATGGTACGCACCCTCCTCGTGAGTGGTCTGACACTGTTCACTGAATCCAGCAAAGTCACATTCTCGCAAACCACACACTGCACGTGCATGTGTTCCTAATATACATTCTTAATTTTTATACCATTATTATTATTATTATTATTATTATTATTATTATTATTATTATTATTATTATTATTATTATTATTATTATTATTGATGAGTCACACTGGTACGGGTACTGGTCCCGCCTACATTCTCTTACCTTGCCACCATTACTGAGCTTCGCTTCTTTTTTTTTCTCACTAGCTACTCTGTCAAACAAACACAAACGCATCTGGAGTGAACCCATGACACGAAAGGTCTCGAATTTCTCCGATCTGATCCAAAGGGTCACCGCCTCCTGCCTCCTCCACCCCCTCGCCACCGCGGCTAAGGAGGACGAAAACTCGCCATACGACTCTGAGGAGAACCGGAACGAGGAGTACGAGGAAGATGAAGAGAATGAGGAGTACGAGGAGGAAGAGTACGAGGAAGAGAGAGCGGTGGGGCCTTTGAAGGCTCTGAAAGTGAAGCAGATTGAGGCGCTGATGGAGGAGGTGTTCGAAACGGTGTCGTCGATGAAGAGGGCGTATGTGAGGCTGCAGGAGGCGCATTCGCCGTGGGACCCGGAGAGGATGCGGGCTGCTGACGTGGCGGTGGTGGCGGAGCTCCGGAAGCTAGCCGTGCTGAGGGAGCGATTCCGGCGGAGCGGGGGCGGGGAAGGGAGGAGGAAGGGGAGGAAGAGAGGTGGTGGGGTGGCGTCGGTGAGGGAGGTAGTGGCGCCGTACGAGGCGGTGGTGGAGGAGCTGAAGAAGGAGGTGAAGGTGAAGGATTTGGAGGTGAAGAATCTGAGGGAGAAGCTTGATAGTGCTGTTGCTCTCTCTAGTAATGGGAGTGGTGAAAAGAAGCCTGGGAGGTCTTTGTCTAAGAGAAAACTGGGAATTCAAGGTACATTATGCTATATGCATCCCCCTTGATGGAATATTCAGAAAAAAAAAAAAGTGAAAAGTCTCTTTTTGTTATATTTTGTTGCTTTGTACTTGGAAGTATGTTTCGTTCAAAGTAAAGTAGAGAAGTATGTGACTTTTGTTTGAATTGATTCTTGCATGTGCATGGTTTTGCTTTTGGAAAACTCCTACATTGCATGATCTGGGTTTTCTGAAGCTCCTTCAAGCTGAACCAAAGTGTGTTTGGTTGAAGGTGTGAACTACAATAAATTATTTTTGCCTCAAACCTGACTTTAGATTGTGTTTGGGTAAACATTTCCAAACTTGATTTTGAATGAAATTGATTTGAGATGATGTGATTTATATTTTTATTCAAGGTTTAATTTCCAAAAGTTACTTCATCCCTGAATAATTTTTTCATCGTAGAATATGTGAAAAATACCTAAAATTATATTAGCAGATATTTTAACATGAATCCAAGCACTCCATTACACAGTTTTAGACCAAACTTTCAATAAAAATATCCAAATTTGTGGAATCAATTATGTAAACCTTGGCCCAAAGTAACATTTACACTTTGTAGGAGAGGAAATGAATGGAAATTCTCATTCTCTATAATTATGAAATTACTTCTGCAGCAATTGCAGCAACACCAACCCCAGAACTCTTTGAAGCAGCAATGGTGCAAGTGAGAGAAGCGTCAAAGTCCTTCACATCTCTGCTGCTGACTCTAATGCACAATGCACATTGGGACATAACAGCTGCTGTTCGTTCCATTGAAGCTGCTACTGCCTCAACTGACAAATACCATAATACGTCGACAACCACATCCATTGTCTCAGCTCACCATGCCAAGTATGCCCTTGAATCCTATATATCCAGGAAAATCTTTCAAGGGTTCGACCATGAGACTTTCTACATGGATGGAAGCCTTTCCTCCCTCCTCAACCCTGATCAGTTTCGACGGGATTGCTTCACTCAGTACCGGGACATGAAGTCCATGGATCCTACTGAGCTTCTTGGAATCTTACCATCTTGTCACTTTGGCAAATTCTGTTCCAAGAAGTACCTTGCCATTGTCCATCCAAAGATGGAGGAGTCCTTGTTTGGGAACTTGGAGCAGCACAGTCAAGTCCAAGCAGGGAACCACCCCAGGACTGAATTCTACAATGAATTTTTAGGGGTGGCAAAGACAGTGTGGTTACTTCACTTATTGGCATTCTCATTGAACCCTGCACCAAGTCAGTTTGAGGCGAGTCGTGGAGCAGAGTTCCATTCCCAGTATATGGACAGTGTAGTGAAATTTTCGGGTGGGCGAGTGCCAGCTGGTCAAGTTGTAGGGTTTCCAGTTAGCCCTGGATTTAAGCTCGGGAATGGGTCTGTTATAAAAGCCAGGGTTTATTTGATAGCAAGAACGTAAAGTTTTTTTTCCTGGGTGTAAATTCTTTCTGCACCACCTTTTTTCTGGTTCCACCACCTCACTTTTTTACATTCCATAAATTAATTTCTAGAATACTAGAAATTAATTTTTGAAATGTAAAAAATGAAATAAAAATAGGAGAGGAGTGTGAAGGGAAAAAAGAGGATGCAAAGAGAATCACTCTACTGAGTCATGTTTTGAAGAAACTGGTCAGAGTTAGCTAAATATTTGCCTAGCAGGATTCATGGGCTGTTTATGTAATATGAAAAATCCTTCGTCTAGGTTATTGATTTTCAAATGATTGTGTCTGGCCTGGAAGCGGTGATTGTCAAAGTTCGTTCCCAAATCTATATTGTCAAGTTTTTTTTTTTTTTTTTCTCTCTTTCTGTTTATTTGACTTGAAGTTACGAACGAGAGGGAGCCAGCAAGAAAAGTTATTAGATTCCCTAAGTCGAAAATTTTCCGGGATCTCGTATGGAACAAGCAAAAACCGTGTTCGTCATCAATGGCAATAGCCATGATATTTGAATGAAGTAATAAATTATAGATTGTAAATATCAGCTTTCATCGAGTTTCATTTAATTTTCCATTCAATAAGTCGGGGAAAGGGTAACTTATTTCCCAGAAAAATGTATCGATCCAGTACACTGTAGGCCTTTGGAGTAAATGTAATTTCAAGGTCTATCATTGGCTAAGAATGTTGGAAATTTTGAATTGTGGCGTTCACACGGCACAAGCAGGAGACAATCATACACAGGTAATTTGACGGTTTATTCATTGAATAGGAATATATGAAGCGTGATAGCCATCCGCACGGCAGAAGTAGGAAATAAATGCAGAAAGACCACCTTTCTTCTGTAACAAATCCGTTGTTCATCCGATAGCACTCATCCGAGAAGACCACTAATTTTCCTTCGACAATCTCAATCATGAATTAACAACAATTATCCCCTCAAAACTCTTTTTACCTGCCACATGAATCAAATAGCACTTTCAATATCGACGAGCAAATTCTTATAGTCATGTAGAACTTCCTGTTAGATGAAACAGATCCTCAAAAAGAACAAATATTACCATGATGCAAAAGCAGTCTTTCTGTAATTTACAAGTCCAGTTTAATGGGAAAAATCACAGCTGTTTTCATTAAATGTGATTTGAATTTTCTAAAGCAAGAAAGCATGTTAATTGGAAGAGTAATCGTGTAAAATATAGTTAAGTGAAATAGGACCATTCTACCTGGCTATGACAAGTTGGTAAAATTCAGAGATTTGATTCTGATCAAGGAGAAAAATAAGTAACAAAAAGCTATTTTCTATAGAAGACTTGTAATACTAGAAGCTGAAAGGGAAAAATTCGTTGAAAATATTTATTGGACTAAGGCAAATTGCAAGCTGTGTAATGAAACATACACAAGTGGCTTAAACCTTAAATCAGGGCATTTGTAAGTGGACGTCACGGTGCAATACAATATAAAAATTACAATAGATAACAGCATTGCCACGATAGTATGTATATCTTACTTGTTCGAAAGTAAGAAACATAATCACATTCCATGCTCCTACACGACCAAAATTAGGAAGGAAACCTTTATAGAACGCCAAAAATCCCTGCAATACATTTGTGACATCAGTTCAAGCTGTACAGAGAAAAGGATAAACTATATGAATACCTTCATGTTAACTTAATATCAAACGAACAAGCTAGCGGTAACTATTAAAAATATTTTCATTTTGTTCAAGGATCAGAACAACAAACACGGCGGTAAGTATGCAAAACCATATTCATCGTTTGGGATTAAGTGCGCTGCCCAATAGCCTCTTTAAGTATGCACTGAAAAGTTTGTGTCCGGTCTCCCAAGTCACCTCGTATAATTAAGGTGACAACTATTCTAATGAATCTTTCAATTTATAAAAAAATTGGACAAACAAATTAAAAAGTCGAAATAAAAATATAGCATGAAACAGGTGATAACTATTGTAATGAATGTTTCATTTTCCCTTGGTTCAAGATTCTATACAGCAATTATAAAAATGATTAAATCAAATAAGGAAATACATAAACCTCATTAAGCAAAGTCTTGAGAAAGCAGTCAAATGTGCTTTTGTAGGTTGAATCCCCCATCATCCTGGATTTCACCTGAAAAATTACGGGCATGGGCATGGATACAAGTCATCACTTGCTTCATAAAACTGTGTGCTTCTTTATAGGAATTTCACAAATAATGTTAATGAATCTAGCAATAGTTCTGGAATTCCAAAATACCATGTTGCTTATAATTTCACAAAGATGTTTATGGAAGATCACAGACAGAAGTATTGAAAGCAAATTACCCTTGTAAAAAGCGTTTGGGTTACTTTTGGTAAGATCCAGTAAAACTGTAAACTTTAGCTCCACATCATCCATAACCAAAATGTTAAGCCAATTTCAAATTGCACCAATTTTGAATCTTTGATTCCCTTTACTTCTTTTTTGGTCTTTTTTCATTATAAACACAACTGTTATTGCTATCAATGTGTTCTCTTAAACATAATTGCAAACTGCAGACAAAAAAAAGGCGAGAGGAACGGGGGCTGGGGTAGCACCTACCACATCGACAGGAGAACCAATAAATACAGCAAAAAAACCTGCACCTAAGCCAGCAAGGAGGTGAGTATAGACATTGTCCATGAACCCTGGAATTTTCAAAATCGTCTGCATAAGTATAAAGAATCAGAGCAGCATTGCAATTAATTTTATGTAAGGCTGTACTTCGAATTATAGCAAAAATCCAATTTAGAATACCCTATAATGTGATTACCCGTTTCACTTGATCATAGCTAGCTAATTCAGCAGCATTTATAATTGCATTCCTTGCTATGTTTGGTCCAAGCCCAGTCCACAAAGCCCCTACCCCTTCCTAGTTTAACAAAAACAAATAAAGAGAATTGAACTCAATTAGTATATTTTCAACATATTCGAAGGAACAAGACCAAAAAAACTCATACGAAATGCTTACTTGTCTCAATATAGTTAAATACGCATCTATAGCACCAGAATAACGCCTAGGCACCCCATATGGCAGTTGACCTTCAGCTTGAAGCCTAACTTTGACTAGATCAGTTGGGTTAGCAACCGTGATTGCTAAAGCACCTATCACAAGTTAAAAATAAAAATGAGTCAGTGATTGCAACATATAATATAAGACAAAACACACACAGAGTTTCATGTATGTATGTATACATCCATGGGGAATGATAACTTCCTCACCTTTGTGTAGAAGTATAATTCTCCACACCTTGAATTGGATAAGGAACTACTCTCTTTATTTAGAAGGAAAATACAACTTGTGAGCATTTAAATCTTTTAATTAAAAGGAAGACATATCTAAGTAATTCCCTTCTGATTTTTCTTGTCTATTTGCATTTCCCATCCCTCCAATTATAAGTTTTTTTTTCTTTTTCAACTTCTATTATCTAAATGTGAGGTCAATAACTTTACTCTAAATTTACATTATGCAATTACTATTTCAAATTTATTATAAAATCTAGTACCACACTATGAAGATGAAGTTTCTTAATAAATAATAATAAAAAGCAAGGCTAGAAATTTAATTTTCATGTAAATGGGAAAAATGAGCATGGTTCAAGCATCATTTGTGTTTTATTTTATAATATTTTTTTGCCCCACTGACACCAAGGAGGATGGTAATTTCCCCACAAAGGAGAGAATGTAAATGAATGTTATGCGATCTGAACCGAAGCTGGGGACCGTTCAGAAGTACTCACCAGTAAGTAGAGCAGCCAGGATCATATGGTATAGCGGAACCTCTCCAACAAATGCACTACCAACAAGAAATGTTTTGACCTGTTCACGGTGCAGTTCATATGTACAACCCATGTTCCTCCAATGACAGTCTTATTCAATGAAAGTTAGATATTTATACTCACAGGATCATATAACCCAATTCTTAAGCCTCCATATAAACATTGGCGATGCAAACCAGGAACAATTCCTTTCCACAGAGCTGAAATGCCCTCTTCTCTAGCAATTGTCTTAACTGTGCCCAGCAAGCCCTTGTATTTAGGTAAACCCACTCCATCATCAACCCCTACCTTCTTTTGTAGCTGAAGCCTGACCTTAGCTGTGTCCAGAGGAATGGTACAACACTGCAAAATTTGCGTAGCAGTAGTTGGATAAAACATTGGCATAGACATTTATTTATCCAAAATGTAACTTCAAAAAGGCACAAATGAAACATTAAAAAGTTTGAAGCACGATAACTAGCTTTTTAGAGCTTAAAAGATATGCACGGTTAATGTAGAAGTTTCTTAACACCGTTAACTAATTAGAAATCATCCTTGATATATGACGTTTAAGATAGTTATCGTCAAAGTCAACAAAATTACCATTCATGGTGATTTATAATTGATGGTGTCAAATATATACAGTATTTTCTCTTTCACATTAAGAGGAAAAAAAGAAAGTCGTCGAGGAAGAAAAGTAGAGAAAAATATTGCAAATGAAAAATCTATGAACTATGGCATTGAGGTAACCTGTCGTGCCAGTCTATCTGTATAGTAAGAGCATCAAGGATCAATAATGATAGGTATAAATGAACACCTTATTAAGATGTCAACACACGTTCTCCTGAAACTGGAACCAGTGTGTAACCTCTCTTCATTCACTAGGATGATTTTAAATAGTTAGACTTCGCTGTGATGAGCGATATCGTATTCACTCTGCTCATAATCCTACTTAACGGGTTTAATTTTAATTCAATGAACTGTCACTTTAAGTAAAATTAATCAATTCAATGAACTGTCCCTTTAAGTAAAATTAATCGGAAATCATTATTGATATTAGTATAACTTCAAAAATAATTATTATGATAAAAATTCACAAATTGGATTACAGCACAAAACACACTCTTTACATCTTTAGTGCACAAACTATTTACTCAATATTAAATGAAAGGAACTTATATAATGCACATTGCGCACAAATTGACTTCTCATAACTCCTGCACAAACAAAAAACATAACCTCAAATCACACAATTGAATCCTTATTTATCATTCCCTGTTTATCGTTCCCTTGGCTTATAGATGTACGATTCAGTTTCTGTCCAAAACAATCGGATATGCGAGTAGCTATGTTCCAAGATCCAAATGCTGAATCGAAACGGAAGGAGTCGGTTAGAGAAGGAAGGTTACCTCGGCGAAACAAGCGGCGAAAGCGCTGCACAAGAAGGCTAGAACGAACGAAATCTGGTTCGGATCTGACATTGTTGACGCTAGCTAGGCACTGGGAATAAGAAATGGTTGTGAGAGAGCTTAAGAAGCTGATGGAGAGTAGTGGCATTAACGCAACCACTTTCGGCTAACCACACTCAAACTAGTTCAGGGTAAATTAATACGTAAGTGTTAGTTGCGTTACTTTCACACTCCCAACAGAAAGCTAATCGTCATTTGCATCACAAAAATATAGTTGTTGACAACTGTCTCGTTGTCGTGACTGATTGTTTTCAATTTGCCTCTAAAAGTTAAAAACAACGTAAAAAAAAATTAATTGTGTAAAAATAATACTATTTTATTAAATGTCAAGGAACTCGTGTGTCTCTCTACCTTGAAGTGGGAGACCAACTATTTTTTGAATTAATGTAACAGCGTCGATGGGACCACGTTTATCGGATAAGGGAGCAAATATTAAGAAAAACTATCTAATATATTAAATTTTATATAACATGTATATAATTAAGTATATATTGATCTAATTAATAATCTACGAAAACATGTTATCTTCAACACTTATATAATGAATTTACATTAACTTTTTAGTTATTTTCTTTACTAATGCAGTCTTCCTCTAATTATCGTTAAAATACATTATATATATATATATATATATATATATATATATATATATATATAAAGAATGCCATCATAATAACATTTCAAAAAAAGGGAAAAATCAAATTATTTAAATAATATTTCAAAAGAGATATATTTTTCATCTCAATCAGTTATTTGTTTATAATAATAATTCTAAAAAATAATTTAAATTAAAAAATGAGGTCCAATGTTTTATTCAAAACATTTTACAATTAAGTAACACTAAAATTTTATTAAATTAAAGATAACATTAAACGCCCTGAAAAGTTTGAGTCGACTTAATATTGACTAGTGTTTTTCAATTATTGAATATTATTCGATATATAAAGTAAAATATTTTATTTAGTAATAATAAAATTATTCTATTTAAGTAAGCATAGAATGTAATAAAATTAAATCGTTTTATCCCGATAAGGAATTTGAAAAATAATCAAAATTTAAATTAAAAGTAATTTTAATTTTTTGGAATGGTAAAATTTTCCACTGAAACATATGATCAAGGTAGATTAAGATTTGTTAAAGAGCACACATTTAAACTTTTCAGTTTTCCTAACTTGTTCAATGCTAGGATTAATAAGTATAATAAAACATTTTTCTATGTTTTATGACTACATTTTGAACGTGAAAAACACCCTAAGATCCGGTAAAAATTGTTATTAGTATAAGTTTTAAAGTAATTATTTTTAAGTTCAACAAATTTATATACATGTTTAATTATTGAATTTGTTAGGTTGAAGAACAACTTAGACATATTCTCTAACAATCTTAAATTATTATTACTAAGAAAATATTTAAATGACATATAAATTTGAAGATTTTTTTTATTTATACAAAGTTTCACATATATATATATATATATATATATTAATTATGCCACAAAATATTAAATATAAAATAATAATACATTTAACATTAATTTCATCTTAGTTAATTGGTAGATTAATACTTATATTAAATACTTTATACAAGCATATCTCCCTAATACTCATTATAGTGTAACACAATATCAAAATTGTCTCATTACCATTTTCAAATTTATATAATCTTATATACATGAATAATATACAAATATTATCTTCTATATTTACATGTAAGAGATAAAAAACTATAAGGATTATTATTGAGATATTATCATGATTATTTATTATGATTATATTTAGGAGATTTTAAACCTAATTATGGATATGTTTAGTGATTATAATTTTGTTGATCAACGTTAATTTGTTATGTATTTATATTGCTAATTTGATAAATAAAACCAGATTTTATTGTAGTAAATCTTATCATGGTATTAGAGTTAGGGAAAATCCTAGGCAGAAATTAAAACACTAATTTTTTATAGAATCATAAGAGATTATGATTGAAAACCATGATAAAGTCAAGAAGAGAGTCGAGTTGGTTTTTTTTTCTAGGGCCAAGTGACATTATAGGCAGCATGATTACACTAATCCAATTACATGGTCCGAATCATGATGAATGGATAAGGCCAATTCGAAATTCATTATAAATGAAGGAAAAATATGGATTTTGTGGAAGGAAAAGTTTCAAAACCAACTACTCTTAATAAATTGGAGGACTGGAATGCAGTGCATTCAATACTTATAACGTGGGTGCTCAACATCATCTAGTTATCACTACGCTCTACTCTTTCTTCTTATGATGATGCTCAATCCTTGTGGACACATCTCAAGCAACGTTTTTGCATTGTCAACGGGACTTGTTTATGTTAATTAAAAACATCATTGGGAGAATGCAAGTAAGGCAAAGGTGAAAAGGTGTCAACTTACTTTAGTTGTCTATCTCATTTATGGGATGAACTTGTGACTTATGTTAAAAAACCGACTCGCGAATACATAAAATATACATGTGATATAGCTAGACAAGTGGTTGATTTACATGTGGAAGATTACTTGCATCATTTTCTCATTGGTTTAGATAGGGCTTATATAACAATTTGCTCAAATTTGCTTTCTCAATATTCGTTGCCAATCATTCATCAAGCATATCAGCGAGTCATACAAGATGAAAGATTGTTATGGGAACAATCCACACCTCATCTGAATGATGACAATGTCATGGCTTTTAGAGTTACACTTGATACATGTGGTAAATCTAAACATGTGGACAATTCTAACTAACTTTGTACTCACTGCAATAGAGGAGAACATGATGTAAGCTCGTGTGTCCAACTTCATAGATTCCCTCATTGGTGGGGGGATCGTCCTCGGGGTGGTCATGGATCAGGAAAAGAAGGCATGGTAGGGGAACAAACAATGCATCTGTACATACAAACAAAACCACAACAAGAAGTTGTAGCAATGGTGCTAAAGGTGGACAATCTCATCCTCTATCAAACCCAGGTGAGTCAACAGGAATATCTGACATCAGTCTAGAATAATGACAACAACTTCTTGATATTTTGAATGTTCCTAAAACCAAGAATCGTCTTCACGGTAAAAATTAAATTCCTTAAATTATTGACATGAGAGCGTCACACTACATGACATGAAATTTATCTTGTTTGATAAATGTGAAAAAAAATTACAAACATACTGGTGAGAATGCTAGATGGGAAAGATGTTAACGTTATAAAGGAGGGCAGTGTGATTTTGGATGGTGGTTTACAGCTTGCGAATATTCTTTTTGTGCCTCAATTAACTTGCAACTTAATTTTTGTATCACAATTAATTGATGTCTCAAATTGTATCATTCAATTTACTAATACATTATGCATAATACAAGACCAAACAACAAGGACATTGATTGGAGTCGGTGAACAAACCGATGAACTTTATTTTATTCGGGGTATTTTGAAGGTGCATGCATTAATATTTGGTAAAGATTCGTCAATTGATCTATGACATAAACGTTTGGGGCACCCATTGGAAAAGATGTTAAAGTTCATTCCTCATGTGAGTCAGTTTAATAGAAGCAATAATAATAAAATCTATGATGTTTGTCCATGTGCTAAACAACATAGAGATCGTTTTTTATTAAGTGAGTACAATGTAAGTAGTTCATTTGAATTAGGTCATTGTGATCTATGGGGAGCTTATCGCACTCCTTCATCATGTAGGACACAATATTACTTAACAATTGTAGATTATTATTCATGTGCAATTTGAGTTCATTTGTTATGCAATAAAATTGAAGTTAAGTCTATATTTATGAACTTTGTTACATTTGTTGAAAGACAATTTGATATGAAAATAAATAAATTACGAAGCGACAATGACAATAAATTTAACTATCTACGTGATCTTTCTTTAAAGAATGAGATTGTGTTTGAGACATCATGTGTAGGTACTCCACAACAAAATGAGAGAGTGGAAAGAAAACATCAACATATTATGAATATTGCATGAGCACTCAAATTTAAGGGTGATTTATCAATGTAATTTTGGGGATAATGTGTGTTAGCAACATGTTATTTAATTAATTACACGTCCAATATGCTTAATTATCTAACTCCTAATGAAAAATAATTCGATAAAATGCCTAAATTTGATAATATGAAAGTTTTTTGTTGCATATGTTATGCTCATCATCAACGTCGTGGTAGGGATAAATTTGCAAGTAGATGTCGAAAGTGTATATTTGTGGGATACCCATATGGGAAAAATAGATGGAAATTATATGATTTGGAATCTCATGAATATTTTGTTTCTAGAGATGTGAAATTTTATGAACATGAATTTCCATTTGTTTGGTCATCGGACAACACTCCTTATACTCCTCACATGAATTATGATATGGAGTATGAGAGACTTATGATGCATCACTCACCAAGGGGGGTGTATTCGTGGCCTTGCAAGGAGAAGAAAAGTTGCAACTTCAAGAGGGATTATCTGAAGATTATAATGAACCTACTAGTGGTTGATGAGGAAGTAAGTATGAGTGGTGTGGATGGTGAAGTAATGTCTCCACACAATGTTGATGTGGTTGATGTTGTAGAGGTGCAAGAAAAAAATATGGAGACAAAAATGGGAAGGGGAATGAGAAACAAAATTCCATCAACAATATATAAGGATTTTGTCACTCATATCATTTGGAAAGTAAACTCCTCAAAAAGTTCATATGTTCAACAACATGTCTCAAACACTCCTTATCTTATACTTACTTTGTAAATTGAAAGTGATTTTCTGTCAAATATCGAAATTTTGTTACAGTTGTGACAGTAGGGAAAGAACTTACAAATTTTAGGGAAGTCATAAATGATTTTGGTTGGCGTGCTGCAATGGCCAACGAGATATAAGCCTTAGAAGAGAATGAGACATGAGTTCTGCAGAAACTGTGGTATGGAAAAAAAAGCACTAGGAAGTAAATGAGTATACAAAATAAAATATCACGCATATGGGAGAGTAAAACGTTTGAAAGTGAGACTTGTCATATTTGGACATCATTAGAAGGAGGAAATAAACTATAATGAAACATTTGTTCTAATGGAAAAAATGGTGATTGTACATACCTTCTTAGCATTAGCAACAATTAAAAAATGGGAAGTACAGAAAGTGGATGTGCATAATGTGTTTCTCCATGGTGATTTGATTGAGAAAGTATACATGAAAGTTCCTCCAGGTTTTAAAAACACGGACCCAAATTTGGTTTGCAGTTTGAAAGTTGTACAGATTAAAACATGTTCCTCGTTGTTGATTTGCTAAGTTAGCTACAACATTGAAGAACTATGATTTTGCCCAATCCTATTCAAATTACTCACTCTTTATATTACATAAGCGAGAAATATATCTTTATGTACTAGCCTATGTGGATGACTTAATTATTGCAAGGAATGATGTTTCAGCCATGAAGATTTTTAAAACTTACTTAAGGTCTTGCTTCCATATGAAGGACTTGGGAAATATTTTTTAGGGTTGGAGGTAGTCCGTAATCCTGAGAGGATTTATCTCTATCAGAGAAAATATGTTTTGGACATCATTGAAGATACATGCTTATTAGGTGCCAAGCCTACGAAATTTCCAATGGAATGACACCACCAACTAACATTGACTTCTGGTATCGAAGACTTATTGGGCAATTAATTTGTTTGTTTGTGACTAGATTTGATCTTATTTACTCTGTACACCTTTTATCTCAATTTATGCAACAACATCTTGAAGAGCATTAGGAGACAATCTTAAGGGTTATTAAATAGTTGAAAAAATATCTGAGGTAAGGTATTCTACTTCGATCTGATAGTAATCTGGATTTAGAGGGATGATGTGATTCGGATTAGGCAAGTTGTCCACTTACAAGATGTTCTTTGACCGACTGGGTGGTGCTTCTTGGTTCTCCTCTAATGTCTTGGAAAACTAAGAAACAATCAACAGTCTCTCGCTCTTCTGCAAAGACTGAATATCGCTCCATGACGGTGACTACATGTGAGTTAAAATGACTCAAACAGTTATTTGGTGATCCAAGGATTAGTAATTCTAAATGGATGTGATTGTATTGTGATAGTCAATCAAAATTACATATAGTTCAAAGTTCAGTATTTCATGAAAGAACGAAACATATTAAAGCTTATTGTCATTGTATTCGTAATGCAATAACAACCGACATCATTTTTCTCTTGCATATTCCTACCCAGATACAACTAGCAGACATTTCTGCAAAGGTCCTAGGAAAAACAAAATTTGAATTTCTTTTTGACAAGTTAAGCATTTAAGATCCTCATGCTCTAATTTAAAGGGGTTATTGAGATATTATCATTACGATTATTTATTATTACTATATTTAGGAGATTTTGAATCTAATCATAAATGTATTTAGTGATTGTAATTCCGTTGATCAATTGTAATTTGTTATGTATTTATAATGCTTGTTTGATGAATTAAGTCAAATTTTATTGTAGTCAATCTTATCAATTATTATTTGAGTAATAGGCTTAATGACTTAACCAATATTTTTTAAAAAATATTTTCTATATATTATTTTTGTTTTAGCATATATACTATCGTTTGAACAAAGTCTTATAATACAACACATTTATCATCATTAGAAGTTATTATATAAACAAGTTTCTTATCTAAACTTTCACTTTCGAAGATAAGATTGAAACAATTATTTTTTTCTTTTTGAGTTTTACCGTTCAAGCAACAAACTGATTGTTTAAGTAAAAAAAAACTTTAAAATTGATTTATTTATCAAGTTACATCTTTATTTGAACTACCAATTCCTTGAGTGAAATATAAAAAAAAAAGATTTTTATATAAATAACTATCTCAATTCATATATATTCCAATATAAATTTAAAAGATTTTAACTAATATTTTCACATAAAAACTAGTTTAATTAAAATGACCTAAACCTTAACATTTTGTACGGATAATAGTAACATTCTTAAACCAAATTAATCATTTGCAAATATTAAGTAGATGGTAAAACATTTATATATTTCAAACACAAAATTCAATTATAATCTTAGCAAAAATAATATTAATGACCAAATCACTCCATGTCATTTCTTTTTTAAAGTATTAAGAAATTGAAAAATTATTTTTCTTATCTTTCTTAAAAATTATATAAAATATAAATCCTATTTATAAAATACATCATTCAACAAAGAAAACAAAACGTTGGAATTTTATATTAGGAAATTTTCATTTTATTCAAAAAATAACAAATACAAATACCATAACCCACCTATTCAAATAAATATAAAAGTATCTTATTCTATGTCAAAAATGTTAAAGCGAGATTCAAATTAAACAATACGAGATAATAATAACATATCTTAAAAAAAAAGAGTTTAAGGTTTTATAAATAGAGTAATTTTATATAAATAAATATTTATTTTTTTTATAACTTTTTAATTTAATCTATAAAATATTTATCTTCCATTTAATTTAATCACCTTTACTTATATACTTAAATAAAATTATTCCTTACATCTTCCACTCGCATATTATAGAAAACTCTCAATCTACCGGACCAAATCTCAGTTGGTATCTCAATTAAATTGGGTTCCATTGTGATCTGGGCCTTTATATGACGTTTAGACCAACATGGTCTTTGTCATTTCCCATCTTCTTTAACTCTAAGTTCACCCCCTCCCTTTCTTCTAAACTTCCCTCAAGCGAATTAATTAAAGTACATGGTTTCAAAACTTGACCCAATTAAATTAACTTTTTCAGTTTTATTTTTTTTTTGCAATTAGTAGTCTGTTTTGATTTTCAAATTTTATCTGATTTTTTTGTTCCGATTTTTATTTGGACTGAATAATTTTATTTACGAGTTTGGTTTGGATTAGATTCCACTATTTCCGAAATTGATATAATTAAAATAAATCCACAGTTGTGATTTCCAGTTAGTGTTTTTTAATTTTAAAAATAAAAATTGAAATATTTCCCTCTCCCAGCAGAACCCATTTAACGTCGTGGCGGGAATCCTTCCCCCAAAATCCCGCGCCAACTGCTTCTAGAAGTTTCTCTTTATAAACCCCTCTCCATTTCCGTTGCCCTCATTTTCACTCGAAATCCTAAACCGTCCCAAATCGAAACCCTAATCCTCTTTTCGCAAACCCTCGACCAAGATGTTGGAACTCCGTCTTGTGCAAGGTTCCCTTCTGAAAAAGGTTCTGGAATCCATCAAGGAGCTTGTAAACGATGCCAACTTCGATTGCTCCTCCACTGGCTTCTCCCTCCAGGCCATGGACTCCAGCCACGTCGCGCTTGTCGCGCTCCTCCTCCGCTCCGAGGGCTTCGAGCATTACCGCTGCGACCGCAACATGTCCATGGGCATGAACCTCAATAACATGGCTAAAATGCTGAAATGCGCTGGAAATGATGATATCATCACCATCAAAGCCGATGATGGCGGCGATACCGTCACTTTTATGTTCGAAAGTCCTAGTACGTTCCCATTTCTCTAGTGTTTTTTAAATTATTGCTTGAGCTTTCCGATTTAGGGTTTTGTTATTTGTTCATATGATTTGTTTTTGTTTCCATTCTACCGCCATGATTATTGCGTGCATTTGGCGCGGGTAAACAGAATTATTTTGGATGAATGTGGGTTTGATGAATTAGTTGTGTAAAGTTACCGAGATGAGTGTTCTTAAAGCAAATCTGAACACGCTCTGCTTTCTTTTCGTGGAAATCCATCTTAAAGTAGATTAACGAATTGATGTTATAGAGGCAGAGTGTCTATGATATACAATGTGATGTATCAGAATTGGCATATTAGAAAGAAATGACGAGTGTTGGTAACGTGATTGTATTTGTCAGGTGCAAAAGCATTTCTATTTATTTTTTTATATGATTTATATTTGTGGCTTTGTCGTGCAGCGCAAGACAAGATATCTGATTTTGAGATGAAGCTGATGGATATTGATAGCGAGCATCTTGGAATACCGGAGGCAGAGTATCATGCCATTGTTAAGATGCCATCTTCTGAGTTTGCTAGGATCTGCAGGGATCTCAGTAGCATTGGTGACACTGGTAATAGGCTTTTATCCTCAGTTTCTTTGATTTGTCAATTTTATGTTTTTGTTCAGAATGTTGTGTTGATAAGTGTTGATGTTTTGTGGTGTCTGTTGAAGTTGTCATTTCTGTTACCAAGGAGGGTGTGAAGTTTTCCACCAGAGGAGATATTGGAAGTGCAAATATAGTCTGCAGGCAGAATACTTCTGTGGACAAGGTGGGTTGAGATTTGTTTTGCTTTATTTCAGCAACATAAACAACTTGAATTTATTGGTTTTAATTTTACATACTGGGGGAGTTTTTACATAGTTGTTTATGGGCTAATGTGCAGCCTGAAGAATCTACTGTGATTGATATGAACGAGCCTGTGTCTTTGACATTTGCGTTGCGTTACATGAACTCTTTCACAAAGGCAACGCCCTTGTCCAATACAGTCTCCATTAGTCTGTCAAATGAGCTACCAGTTGTGGTTGAATACAAGATTGCAGAGATGGGTTACGTGCGGTTCTATTTGGCACCCAAGATTGAAGAGGAAGAAGAAGATACCAAACCTTAAATGTAATGTATCTATTGCATGATGGGTTAGGATATTAGGATTTTTATTTCGGTCGATGGGTGGTTTTCTTTATACATTTCTTTTGAAGATATTTTAACTGAACGACGAATTTGGATTTTAAGTATTTCACGTATATTGGTTCCCCACTGCCACTTCATTTTTGCCTATAATTTGTTGCTTAGTGTAACAATTGGCGAGTTGATGCGCTATTTCTTTTGTGAACCGTAACAAATTATGCAAAACAATAGAAGAGTGCTAATAGAAGCTCTGCCTAAATATGAAAGTATTAACGATAGGCACTTAATTAAAATTGCATTTGCTTACAGTACATTTATATATCACAACATGGAGAGTAAAAAGAACGAGAAATTATTTGGTGTTTTGGATTATTACTACTGTATAGTAAATATTATTAACTGTTTATTATTTTAAATTTAAATGTTTGAGATTAATTAAAAAAATATAGAAAGTGTGTGGTAGTTGAAGAGCACTTAGTATTTAATAGCGTTTAATCACGGACATCATTCTTTTCAAAAAATTGTACTCTAGGCCACCAAATTCCAAAACATTTCAAGCCTGAAAATTTGTCTAAATACTATCGAAGCTGGCTGAAGTGGTAAAATATTTACACTCTAATTGAATCAAGGATTGAATTCTATATATACATATTCTGTCCAAGGAGGTCTTTACTATAGTTACATCTGCAGTTGTAAGAGTGGATATATGCAATATTTGATCTGTGGCAAAATAATGACTCTATTTACTCCGTTTCTTGGCTTCACTGTATAGGACAACGCCAATGACTGTGAGAGAATATCCACACATTCCAGTCACTGATACAGGATTTCGAAATATCAAAATGGAGATAACAACTGCCACAGCTCCCTTTGCATTTCCTAGCACCTGCACAGAATTACCACAATTTAACAACGTACAATATTATTAATTGCTAATCATTTATCAAACAAAAAGGCTTGGTTTAATAAGTTTATGAGGGAGCCAGGTAACCAAACATGAGCCGTATGAATAAACTTAACAAGCAAGCAATTCAAGTTATTTTATACAAACATGGACACGAACTTTCATACAGAAAATCCTTCAAAGCTGTAAGGGACCCCATGTTATTCAGATGTGGACACCAGAACATCAAGCATTATTACATATGAGGATTGGGAGGAAAATGTGAGGGTAAGGCAAACCTGCTAACATGGTCGGTCAGTCAGAATACAAGGGTCAGAGAGAAGTTAGAAAAAAAAAATTGTTTCTATGCATACACATGATATGATCATTCTTCGTGTTCTAATGGTTTTAAAAATTCCTATAATTTCAAAGGGGCAAGGGGAGGGATGATTACCTGAAGTGTCAATGCACTGGTGTGCTTTGTGACTAGGAAATTGGTCAAGTTGACACAATATGCCAATGCAGAATTTACCAAAAGTAACCACAAAATACTTGAATCTTCTCTAGCAAGAGCAATTGTGATTCCAATTACATCTTCCTCCATTATGATTGAAGTTGGAAGAAGGAATGCAACAGCCACTGGAGCCATGTACATAAGAAGGTTCATAGAATTGAGCTTTTCCCTGGGAAACCAAAGAAATCATCTCACTACTGATCTGGCCAAAATATCTTAAAGATAGTATGCTGGAAAGTTTAGCTCATTACGCTTCAGAAGACAGCAAGACCCCTTGAAGCACTGTTTTCAGTGCCCTGGCTGCAGTAGCACTGATACACATTATGAATCCAAATAGATGGAAACTTGGTTCTCCCTTCATCCATGCAATTGAAAAGATATAGGAAAATCAATAACTATAGCTTGTTACTCCAAGCAGCACCCCATTTTCATCTACATTTATGGCATTGACACCTTAACATTAGGACAAATAATCTTAGGTGGTCCTAGACCACATGCTCTCCATTGATCTCTACATATTCACAATTTCGCAACTTCCAAGACAATAATATATACCAGTCCAATATAATAGTTATTTCACTCGTATGTACAACACAACAAAACATACACCAAAATAAGGTAACAACAATATTTATATATGTCTAAATTAAATTTTCTTATAAACACTTTTAAATAACAACAAATGATATAAACATTTCATAAAGTAAAATTTACTTATACATAAAAGCTATTTTTTAAATATGTTAATTTTAATGAACATCACCAAATTAACTTATATATAAATTCAATATAAAGATTGATATTAATTATATTAACATGTTCAACTTATATATAAGTAAATTTTTATTTTTATTTTTATTTTCTCTACCAGAAGTTCTAGTCGATAAATTCATCCAATCATACCTTTAGTGCAATTACCTACTTTATTATCCTTCACATGGAAAAAGAAATTCAAAGAGATACAAGAGTTTTTTATTTTTTATTTTTTCAAAAACTGTTTTTCAATGAAACAATCCGTTATTACAATTTTTAATATGTTGCAGTAAATTTATTTAAAAAACAAATAGAAAAAAAGTTCCACTTGTTTAAAACATTAAATTTTTTATAAAAGCAAATGAGGTAGAAGAATTAAAAGAAGAAAACATAAAAATTCATATAACAATCACTTAAACAGATAACTTTTTAACGAAAATATTTCTAAGCATGAATAAAGAGAAAGAAGTGATCATATATACCCCACTAGCAATAATAACGCCTGCAACAACCGGAACAAGTGCGACGTACGTGAGCCACCTCTCGCGGCGGAGGGTGGCGAAATAGGCGAAGACCGCCGTGAAGAAGGGCGTGGTGGCGCCGACGGCCTGGTTGAAGGAGACTGGGAGGTAGCGGAGCGAGATGTTGCCCCCGACGACGGACAAGCAGAAGATGAGTCCGAGAGAGGAAATCTTGACGAACTGCACCTTGGAACCCACCGTTTGCATGGGCACCATCTTGAGCCACGCAATGGCGACGTAGCTGAGGATGGAACACGCCATCATGTGGCACAGCGTCAGGAATATGGGGTACCTGAAACCGTAGTTGCTGAGGAGGTACTTGTTCAGCAGCAACACTCCAATGTTTGAGGCGTACCAGAAGCTTATCAGCCCCACTGTGAACACCTTTCCCGACACCGAAACCTTCATTGTCGTGTTAATGTGGTCGTTGCTACTTTTGGTTTTGTTTTTTTTGTTCTGGTGGTGAAATGGAAAAAGAGAGGATTTTGATGATGTGGGTAGAAGGAAAGGTTGATCGGAGAAATGGATGATTCAGAGTGAGAAGCTCTAAGGAGGTTGTGTTTGAAGAGTTTTGTCAGGAGAGTTCTAAAACATGAGGGGATATTATTAGTTATGCTATAATTGAAATAATGCAATACAACATGAATATATACATGTTTTTTAAGAATGAAAAAAATGGAAACACTTGTTGGTGGTGTTCTTGGAAGTTGATTTTTAAAAAAAGAAAAAAAAATTTATCCAATATACATTTAAAGAAAAAAAAATGAACTTGTGTAGATAAAAAATTATATGGGAGAATTAACATGTTCTTAGTTACCACACAAGTATTAATTGGTATTCAACAATTATAATGTGAAAGCAACACAGTTTTAAATAATCTCTATTTAGTAGTTATTTTATTTAAGTTTTTAATTTTAATTACTTATTTGCTTTCTAATTTATAAACATTTATCAATATTAATGCTTAGGGTTTGGTGGCTTTTTTATCATATTTGGTAAAAAAAAACTTTGATTTTATCATGTTGAAAATTTTAAAATTTTTCAAAATGGGTTAAATCGTGTTGATATGATTTTGAGAGTGAAATCAAATTTAGAAATATACTTTGACTAATTTAATAGTACGATTTGATTTTTTTTTTAACATGTTTGAGTTTCTATTTTTTTTTTTAGAAAAATATGATTTGTTTATTCTTTTAAATATATTATTTATTAAATAAATATTTTCAATTGAATTATTAATTTAATAAAAAGTAAAAATATTTAGATAAATATGATTAAATTTAATTCACCATATTTTTATTGAAATATTACATGCATATATATATATATATATATATATATATATATATATATATATATATATATATATTATCACAAAAATTATGAGATCTTGTTTTATAAGTTAATTTTTTTATTTGTCATCTTGGTTTACGTGATTGGTCTTCAGTTGTTGTGCTTGTGTAACATGTCTACAACTCGTGATGGTTGATGTTAAATGTTTGTTTGTCTATCATCATCGTGATGTTGCCTCTTCATTTGCATATTACATAAGAAGAATATTGGACATAATAGTCATAAAAGATGTTTGATTGTATGTTGATGGTGGTGTCATGGAAGAGGTGAAAAACATATTTGTTTCATATGGGGATAAATGTATGAGAAACTTGTCCACAAAATTAAAATTGTATAATTAAATTTTGAAGTTGACCTACATATCCAAAATATGGATAAGATTGTTGATGGCTGTAGTGACCAATATGGTGATGAAGATGGACATGACTAGGTTTAAAAGTTACGATTACTCGAAACTGGGGAGGCGAAGGGATTAGGAATAAGATGGTAGCTTTTGGTTTTAAAAACTAAGCGTGGTGGGGTTAGCAAAATGGAGTGGGAATAACATTCCTTCAAACGCCAAGGTTGAAGTCTGTTTCTCATTAGCCCAACGAAATGCTAGGGCCCAAATATTGTGTCCAAAGATATCAAAACAATGAACATTTTTTGTTACTTCTCATCCTCCTCTGACACTAACACCCAACATAAAAAAATTGAGGGAAAAATAATATATTAATAAGCCATAAAATTATTAAAAATAGTTACTCAAATTATATAAACTTGACTCGGTAATAAAGACAGAGTAAATTAAAAGAAGAGTAAGATAATTATGAGTTTGATTTCTCTCACCACAGAGAAATAATATATTAATAACTAAAAATTATTAAAAAAAAAAATCTAAAGAAAATATCCTCTGTTTGGATCAATGAAAACTAGCACTTGAAAAAAAAAAAAAAATGTTACGAAAAGAAAGTCCAACCACGCAAGTGTCTACAGTTGGATATAAAGATACAGTTCCTTTAAGAAATGGTTCACCAAGACATATTCAAATATGTTCACAATAAAATATAATTTTGTTCCGTACACTATGTTATAAAATAAGTCAATGGTTTTGGAATGAAATAATTAAAAATGATATTTTGATAATTATTTTTTTCATATATAATTAGTTAGACAATTTTTTTTAATAATATAATAATTATAATTATTATGTAATTTTCTTATGTCTCTAGTTTATTATAGATAAATAATTAAATTCATGATTTTCATGTAATAATATAAATCAAAATAAAAAGACTAACACTATCTTATAAGAGATATCTAATAAAAATATGTTTTTTAATGTCTTTATTCTCTCACCTCCTCTACCAAATCTATCTCTTTATCTTTCTTTTTTTATTACACTTTTATAGTGATTTATTTTAAGAAAAATCTTATAATAAAAAATAGAACCTTATTTATCTTAATTAACCAACGTTCATCAAATTTGTTATTATAAGATTTTATTTTATTTTATCTTTATTTTATTATAACTTATCCTTATATTTTATTAAATTATATTTAAGTCCATCATTACATTTCACATGAGTTACATAATATAATTGATTAATTAAATTAATTCCAACATTACGTGTGATAGAAGTTAAAATTAATAATAATTTATATATATCATCTTTTTTCGATTAAATTATACGTCTTTTAATAATAAAATTTTGATAGATAAAAACTTTAAAATAGACAATATTTCATATATAAAAATTGATTATAATGATATTATCATAAAAACATGAGAATAATACACTCATTCTTATATAAAATAAAAATAATAATAATTTTTATTATATATTTTATTATTAAATTATTATAAAGGATTATCAAATAATTATTATAAAAATAATCATCAAAATATTATTAAAATGATATATATATATATATATATATATATATATATATATATATATATATATATAAAGGAACAAACTAACCTTTCGTTGTATTAAAACATAATGAATACTTTGTGGGTACACTTTGTCACTTTGAAGATTAATTGGTGGACTGGAGAGCGTGGTAGTCTGCTGATGTGTTTCATCAAGGTAGTAATAGATTAACTGAAAAATGTAAGAAAAAGTAGACGAAAAATTGGACTTTAAAGACAACAAATGAAATTAACCTGTCATAAGTTGACTTTTTTTTCAATTTAATTTTAATTCTATAACAAATTTAATGAGATTAGACCTCGTTTATTATATAGTACTTGTCATTGTCTTAGATTATTATTACTAATTGATTAATATTAAGATTTTATTAGTCAAGTATCTAAAGTCAAATTGTTAGACTTAATCTTTCAAGTCAAAAACATAATTGTACTTTTAATCTTACATGCTAAGTTAAGCATATTTCACCGTGTTGTAGTAAATATTTTATTTGTGATTAATTAATCTGTTATTCTTGCAATTTGTGTAAGATAACATCGTTAATAAATTATTATGGTTAAATATTTATTTTAAATAAATAAATAAATAATATTTTATACAAAAATAGAAGTATTTAAAATTTTTATTGATTATAATAATAATATTATAATAAATTATTATATTTAAAATATTATTTGTTTTAAAATTTTATCACGTTATAATTTTATTATTAAAAAAAAATTATATATATAAAAAAATAATATATATATATAAATTATTTAATCTCGATTTTAAATGATAAAAAATATATAAATATACCTAAATAATTAATGTAAATTATATATAAATTATATTTTATACATGAATAATAGAGGGGCATTATTTATAAAATTCAAATGTTGGCTTTTAAAAAAATTAAAATTAAAATTATATAAAAAAATATTTTTATTAAATGATTTAATATAAAAATTATACTGATAAATATAATTATTTAATTATTAACAAATAAAATGATGTATTGTGACTTTTAAGTATATTGGGTAAGGATATACTTTCTTATTGAAATAAAATGCTTAGTTAAGTTTAAAATTACATGAGACTAAATAATTTTAAAATTATTGTTATTATTTATAAAATAATGTTAACCTATTGGAAGGTTGCTTCGACTAACATAATTCTTCAATCTATTAAGTTTCTCGAAATTTTGAAGTTAAGGAAATTGGTTGATGATTGTGGTCTCTGAGGGAAATTATTATATATCACCTTAAAATTTATTAGATAATAATTTTTAAAATATAATATATTAAATTATAGTATTTTAAAATAATTCAAATATTTTTATAAAAATTCTCAAAAATTTATTTTTTTATAATTTTTTAAAAAGAATAATATTCTGCAAATATTTAAATATAATCATTTGCTTGTTTTTTGAATTGACTTTTTGTATTGTCTGGAAGTATTCCAAGGAAACAAGAAACATGGTTCATCATGGAATTGAAACTTTTCAACATCCACATTAAAATAAATATAGTAATCAATGGTCATGATTTTTCGTTAATTTTATTTTTGGTATTAATATAAATTAAGTAAAAAACGTGAACAATTTTTCTGAAAATAATACATCAAGGAATCAAACATGGTTGATGAAAAAACTTGATGTTGTGTAATTTAAAATGCAATCGCTCTTCTCTGAATTTAACATTTGAGACAATTAAAGTGTTAATTAAATTTTAGTTAAAAGATATTTTTTTTAAAATAAATGATTTTCCTTCATGTAAAAATATGTTGGTAATAATTATTTTTCACCAATTTTTCTCGGTACATTTATATATTTATTGTATAAATATGTTACTAATAATCCTTTTTCACCAATTTATCTAAATTGGGACTATTGAAATTGAAAAATTTCATCTGTTCTTAAGAAGTTTTTTTTTCAAATTTCAGTATATTTGTGACATGAATTAGAATTCAGTAAAATGATAAATTTTTAAAATAAATTATTTTCGTACAACTTTCAACATTTTTTTCTCGATGCAATTTTAATTATTATTAATAAAAACATAGGTGTTAGTGCCCATATATTTTCATATTATCCTATTTTAATAAATTAAAATTTAATACTTATAGAATTTATATAATTGTATCATGAGAAATTAAAAAAATGTGTATTTGATTTAATAAAATAAGTGTTATTATAAAGAAATAAAAAAAGAGTGGGTTATTTCTTGTGAATGACAGTTTTTTTTCTATGATTTTTCAATTATTTTTCTGTTACTCATCATTTAATATATTAATAATAATTTTATTATTTCTTTAATTTTTTAAGTTTAATGATTTTCTATTATCTCTCCTTTTTTTCTCAATGATGTCTCATTTTTAAGTATTGAATTTTTTAAAATCCATGTTTCAATAATATTATTAATTATCTAATGAAAAATACAATATTTATGTGATGATAATATGTAACAATATTGATAAGATTATATCTTTAATAATATTACTAAAATAAAGAATATATTATTTCATTTTTTGAAAAGTAGAATCAAATTAAAGTAAAAATGAAAAATGTAATGGAATAAATTTTGATAATATAATTTTAAAACATTATTCAAAATATAGTGGTAAAATAATTTGTGTACATTAAAATAAATTCATCATGTATTTAATTTCACGTAATTTATATTTTATTCAAATATAAATTAAATATATTATTATTTAAAATAAATTTATGAATATATTTTAAATTATTTTGAATTATAATTAAAAAAAATAATTTTAAATTATTTGTAAATAAATAATTATAAAAAAAATAAGAAAAAAGATCCATGAAGAAGTGAGGACAAAAAAGTTAGTTTAATAAATTATATATATATATATATATATATATATTAATCTTACTAATTTAATAAATACTTTAATTTTATTGTATAAAAAATAAAGAAAATAATTAATAAAGATGAGAAATAATATTTTTAAAATTACCCTAAACTTAATTATTCAATTCCCATATAAATTTAATCCATAAAAAAAGATTAAGGTAGTGAGTAGAAAGATTGAAATGGTATGAATGAAGATTAAAATAAAATAAGTAATTATAGGTATAATAAATTTAAGTGACAGGTAGCACCTGAGGAATGTCTTATCTAAACTTTATAAATTACTCCTCCCCTATGTAATTTGTCCAAATTACTTTCTAACAGTCAAAATATTCATTCACTTTCTCGTCACCATGGAAAAAGCCTACACTGCTTTCATGGGCGTCTGCATAAATTTGCTCACGCTCAGGTCCTACCCCACCATACTGCTCCACTTTGTTGCCCTATCCGTAACAGAACCCAGTTTCACAACTACACTAATCTTCCATATTTCTGGCATATTTGCATGTGAAACACTCATCTATGTTATTCTGACTCACTCATGGCCGTGGTGGTATTATATCATCAATGCCTTGTTTTTTATCCTTGCAACCTTCTTCTTCAAGGATCATATAACTCACTTCTTCCGAGGAGAGGACCAACACACAGCTTCAAACGCTCAGGACATGCCAGATTTGGAAGCCCAGCAGCAAGTTGAGATGTGATGAACACAAGTTGAGAAGTGGACCTTTGGTTTTGTTTCCTTGTAAAAATTTTGTTATGTTATGTTATGCAGTTGTTCACTTTATAATATCTATGTTAGCTCGGTTTGTTTTCCAATACAAATTTTCTTATGTTTTGTTATGCATGATTTCTCAGGTCAATGCCCTCTCTCTCTATCTTGTATGCTTTGGATTGTTTCCCTATTCCACTAGAACTAGTTGCCATGCCATATTATATTTTTAAAAGACTGTTAACGGAGTTTGCAAAATGCCGAGGATGTTTTTTTTTTCCTTTTTCTTCCAATTAAGCAAAAGAAATGGATGAGATCTGAGCCGGCAATTAATTTTAATATTTGATTGATAAATCTTATCTCTTCCCTCTTACATCCTCAGAGGGAAGGTGGTCCCTACTCACCTGGAATCTCTCCAAACAAATCAGAACGAGTCTCTCAGGCAGGATCCAACACAGATATTTCTCTTTTATCCGCCGCAACAAATTTTCCGGTGAGATCCTCGGCCAACTCTTCCACTGGGTCCCGACCAGCTAGTGTTTTGTAGGTAGTATAAATAAGAGTACCCTTCTCACTTTTAATATCTTTTTCAAAACTATCAACTCACAGAATCATTTCTTTCCCGGTTTCTCTCTTTTTGTTCTTTGAGCTGTGACCTTTTTCTACAGAACATGTATCTTCTATCAAATTGTTCTTTCCTGAAAAAAAAAACTCTATGTGATTAGGAAACGTGATCTTTGATGTTAAGCTGTTGAGCAGCATATTGACTTTTTTAACTATCTCTTCAATAAGGTAGATCCAGTTGATGCAGATCTGTGTCTTCTCTTATCATAGATCCCATGGTGGCCATGGATTGTAGCCGTAGTAATTGGCGTTTTATTGAGAAAAAATAGTCAACTATTGATAGACAGACAAAAATATTAGGAGTCACTAACCTCTCCCGGCAACGTACTCGACGGAGAACTATCGGAGTAATATTGAAACTTCATCAGCCTTGACTTCCTCGGCTTCTCTTTGGCAGGAGCAGAGGCTTTGATTCCCAACAAGCCTTAACATCACTGCCCTTTATTTACATGACGTTTAACAAGCTGTATGGTGCTTTGAATAGGGAAACTGGGTTGCTTCCAAAATTAGAAACATCTTCAACGCATGCCCAGAGTATGATTGGTTTCGATTCTCAATCTGTACTTCTTTGTTTTATTATTATTCCATTGATTAGGGTTTTGTTATGATCTTTTATGAGCTTGACTTTGAAACGCGGGTCAGAGAGGATTTGCTAGATACAAAGAAAAAGTTCAATAAAACAGTAGATCATTTTGTTTGAAGTCTCTTCAAAGTAAAATTCTTTTACATTGTAATGTTCGTATCCTTTTACATTGTGTATTTTTGATAACTGGTTTGGTTCTTTCTGGTAGAGGAATACATAAGCTGACCTGAAAACAGTTTATATTGCAGAAAACTGAAAAGAGAAAATTCTTGTGTATACTATCAAGCAGAATAGTTTTCTACTACAGCTGAATTTCACTTTTCTGGAAACCTGTATGCACAAACTTCAGCAATAAACCAAACAAGCATGAAACTCAGTCCTAAACTGTGGGTCATCATTGCTTTTTCTATCAAAATGTTTGTCCTAAAAGTTTCAATGCATAACACTGCTTGAGTTTTATCCTTGAAAATACAACTTTGGGCCTCGGAGATTCAAATGTAGTTTTGTCCTAATTCATTTGGGATTTCTTAACCCAAGAGCTAGTTATGCTGCTGTTGTTTATTCAGAGATATTTTATGCTCCATCAATGGATTGTTTGTGTTTATCATACTTACATTCGACACCCTCACAACAAGAAGGAAGAAACAAACCTGGTACTTTACAATGAGGCCAAAAGATCTCATTTGAACAGAGTATATTTTGCTGAAAACTTGTATATAGCTGCATTGTTTACAATTGAATATCATCTACTTGAGCCTTATTAGATGCCCACACCAACTTCTGCATCAAACAGTTACAACCCCCAAAACTCAGTCCTAAACTTCAGGATCACCACTGCTTTTGCTGTCAAAATACCCGTCCTAAAATTCCCACAATATATAATAAATATTTCTTGACCAAATTGCTTAGTTTGCTGCTGAGACATTTCCTACTTCTTTATACTCTTCAACTTCAAAACTAGATGTCATTTCTGATTTTTTTATTTTTTTTAATATTCATCTTGATTACTTTCCGAATATTATAAAACTATAACTTAAAATAAAGCCTCCTAATTTTCAAGCTTATTCTATATTAAATCAAATATTTTATTATTATTTTTTAATAATCTTAGACTTGCCTATTTATATTTATTATTTTCGAATCGTTCTCTTGAACTAATAATTTTCGAATACTATTTGGAATTATATAACTTTAAACATAATTTTTTAAATTCTCTCTATAGATAGAAGAAAATATAAAAGAAGGGAAAATTTGAGACGAGTACCAAGTGTAGTTAATCTAAAATAAAGATAAAAAATTGTCTCGTGAAATGAAGCAAGAGGGAAGTTTCAGCGTGGAATTGAAGCTTCAATAACGACATCCAGGTGTATAGTAAGAGACGGTCATAAGAGAAATACAAGTTTGTTAATAATTTATTTATCACAACCAAAATGTTTTCAATCGTTTTTCTTTTAATTTTTATTCAACAATAATTGACATGAGAGGTTTGAGATCCGTGATGGAACTATGATCCTTCAAACGTTTGGGAGCACCAACATTCTTCTTCCACAGTCAACATTTGATTCTCACACAAACCATGTTGCAGTTTTTTCAGTCAATCACAACTGAAATATCTTACAGTGCCAATCTCCTCAGATCATATAATTAACTTATTTTCTTTACTTCAATTGCCAATGAATATGGACATCAAGAAGACCCACCGAACAAAACCTCGTGATTTGGAGGCGCCACCAGGTAGATCAGTCAAGTAACCAATGACATGCGTACAAAATTTGAAGAATAAAGATTCCATTTGCTGTCATTTTCATTCTAATTTCCACGTAAATATTAAATGAATAATTAATCATCATTAGACAATGTCGTCATAGCACGTAATAGAAAAATACCTGGATTTGTCATCGCATCCGTTCCGTTCGTGCGTTGCCTAATTACGACTCTTAAACACAAGAGTGTTGAACCGCAGTCCTCCGTTTTCTCTGACTCCCTTCATGATGAAGTCCGGGCAAAGAGACAGATTTGAACAATGGAAATATAATTTCTCGGAAATTAATTTTCAACTTTTCTTGCTTCTTACGTTTGGACCTGTTTTATACATTGATACACATATTAAAAGTAAAATAACTGAAATTTATATTAAAATGCATGAAAACTTTCCTAAAAGAAATATCCAGAGGGAATGGACATGAAAAAAACAGTCGCATTATATTTTTTAGGACATTTCGACATCAAAATTAGTTAAAAAAATTATGCTCTATTTGTTAAAGATTAAAGTGAAGAATATATATATATATATATATATATATATATATATATATATATATATATATATATATATATAAAGAAAGAGACAGTAATAGTTTGGTTATAAGGAGAAAATAATAAAATTTTATATAAAAAAATGTTTCACTTTTCATACAAAATAGAAGAAAAAGGTTAATTTTTTTTGTTATATTAATTGTATTTAAAATATAATAAATTATGTTAAAATATTTAAATACTTATTTATATATATATATATATATATATATATATATATAATTGATTGTGATTATAGCTATTCTTATTTTACTATAATATTTTTTAATAAAATGATAATACAAAATATAATATTATTTTATTTTTAAAAAATTTTAATGCAAAAATAGTTTGTAAATTTTCTTATCAATTTTTTTTAGAAAAATATCTTTATTTTAACTTATAGTATTATGTGAGGTCCTTCAAAAAGATTTATCTTAAATAAACAATACTAATAAGAAATGAGTCTAACTCATATCTCTCACAACTCAAAATTTTAAGACATTTACTTATAGGTTATAATTTTTTATACATGTTACTTAACTTTTTCATTTTTATTCAACGTAAAATTTAAATTCACTATTTTCCAAAAAAACTCATTACTCAATATAAATATATATATATATATATATATATATATATATATATATATTAATTATGTTTAACATAACCTTAATAGAGTAGAATAAAATTGAAAACCAACTCAATTTAATCTAATATTGTCTTGACCACCTAATAAAACTGCAATAAAACAAAAATATCGACTATAAAATTGAAAGTCTCATCCAATCCAAGCCATAGTAGAAAAAAGAGTTTTATTATAAGAAATGAGAGGATTTAATAATAATCTTAGAATTTAAATACACTATTAAGATTTAGAAGTATTATTAAAAAAAGTTACGTGATCTCTTCTTGTATTTATTTTCTAATTCTCATGTTATTTTTATAGGTTTCCTTCACTTATTGAGATATGTTTGTATCGCTGGGATGGTGCTTGTTTTACATGTGTGTCTTTTCTCAATTCTTCGAATTTCTTAAATTAATCACCCTCTAAAATCAGGATTTTCAATCTTATCGTGAAAGAAACTTACAAGAATGGAAGAAAAATGCGAGAATAGATTATTTAACTCTTTTAATTACACTTTTAAATTTTGATTTTGTATTAAACCCTCTCAAATAGATTTTGCAAAATATATCAAAATATAAATAGTTTGATTACTTTCTTATTTTTATTAAGTTTTAATAAAAATTAACTGAAAAAGAGATAATAAAAAATTATAATTAAATTGATAAAATTTATATACTTAATAATATAATAATTAATGAAAAATATTAAGGTATAAGTTCATCATTCCTCGTTTTATACACATAGGGTGCCTCACACTATGCTTCGTTATTTTCGTCAGCTACAAGGTTTTGGCGCAACACTAAAACAAAGCAAGCTTCGTTATTTTCGTCAGGTACGTGGTTTTATACGCCAAAGCTTCATTGTTTTTGTCATAAGCTACATGATTTTGGCGCAAAACTTTTCGAAGCAGTTGAATGGCGCTTTATTCTAAGCTTCTCTCTATATAAAGACTCCCCCCCCCATCTTGTTGTTAACTCCCTTTCTCCTTGTAGTGTTCATCAACACAGTACTATGAAGAATTCTCATTGCTTTGGAGTTAACATCAAGTGGACTACGTATTACGAGTCTGATATAAGGATTAAGGTCAATCACATTGCTATATTTTGTCTTTCATGCATACCCTCGCATCTATCGCAGGCAAGAACTTGCCAACTTCCATCATAACATTGATTCCTCACATGTGGGAGGAGAGTGGATGGGATGCGAGGCACGTATTCTTCAGTTTTTGAGGTACTGGCACTACATCGTACATATACAACGTTTGTTGTTCTTCGAAAATTTGTATTCTTCCATGGAAGAATTTGCATGGAAGGAGAGACATGTGTTATATATATAGCATCTCTGTTCAGCCTTTGATTCAACATTACATCACAGAGTAAATATATTCGTGCAGCGTATTGCCAACGAAGGAGTGGTATGTTAAAGTTTGGTGAAGATGCAGTGTTTGGTGAAGTTTCTGGTAGAGTGTTTGATAAATTATTGGCTGAGGGTTTCTGGCTTCGTGTAACCCTCACATGGTGATCAGAACAGTGATCAACTTCTACGAAACAAGTGTAACGAATTGGAGGAAACTGATGAAGTGCTGATATTGAAACAGGTGGCGTCGGCAAAACAACTATTGCACAACTCTGTATATTAATATAACATGATTCAATTATAAAAAATAATTCAAAATTATTATTATATTAATAAATGAATTGTTGAATAATTCATGGTAAAATATAAGCAGTTTTGTTACAATACCTATGTTTTTTGGATGTTTGTAATTCTGCTACAACCTGTGCCTTATCAATCATATTTATCTCTTTGCTGACAAAAAAAAAATTGCAGAATAGATTCATGGACTTGTTTGGATCCAAGAGTTATGTAATTTCTGCTGATATATGTTTATTTTTCTATCAATAAATTTTGTTGATGTAACAGTTTTGATGATTCTCATGATTCAGGCCAGTTTTAATCACATGTAGGAATGTTTTCTTTTTTCTTTTTTTTGCAGGAACCGGACATATATTTGTTAAATTTAAAATTATAAAAACAAGAGTTTTGACACAAATCATGCATGGGGCGATGGATTTCATGTAGATACCTCGTCCAATACGAAATCGCACACCAAATATCATTCTCCTGTGTATTTTATTCGTCCTGTAAAAGTATATATATGTTTTGATGCCCAAACCTAACTCCAAAAAATCACAATTTCCTAAACCGTACATTTAACTACATTAAAACAAAATATTAGCTTGGGTTTTTTATATAAGAAACAAAACAAAACTTTTAATATTTTAATGTAAGGAATAAATGTAAACTATTAACTTGTTAATGTATTATAACAGGACATTTATTCGTTTATTGTGTATGTATTTGTTGCAATATTATAACAATATGTTAGTAACTATTTATTGTTGACAATTTTACCTCTTAAATTATGAGTAATATTATAAACTCCATGGCATTGATGAAATAAAACTCAGATTTAAGAAGTGTTAATTAAAATTAACGAAGTTATCTATGTTTATTTATGTATTAAGTACTCTTTTTCGTTTTTAGAATCCAAATTAAAAGTTTTGTTGGATTTTTTTGTAAGAAACAAATCTTTAATGTTTCTTTTATTTATATGATACGATGGAAAGCGACACTGCAGTGGGCATTGTTGAGACACAAGCATGATATTTAACACCCAGTAGAATGTATCGTTCGAAAAATACAATGCGAAGAACATTTGTACCAAATAAATATAAGTGTATAACATTGGTTACTTCGAAACTTGGTTATCGACGACATGTTTTGCCGCCACATTCTAACTGTATTGGCCGTGAAGCCTTCGCCTGAAGCAGTTATATAAGTATACTGACAGCAAGATCACCTTATGAACTCAACTTGTCCATTTTCTTCCAACACCGCCATGAAGAAGCACAAAGCCTATGCTGTTCTCATGGCCCTGGAGCTAGCTTCGATTGAAATCAAGTATGGAATCTCAAGCAACACGAATCCCTTCCAACAACTTAGCCCCACCACGTTGCTTTTCGTCGTTGCTATATTTTGCCATGCCCTAGCCGCCATAGCCGACACCAGGTTTGCAACTACCCTCATAACATTTCATGTGTCAGGAGTAGTTGGATGCGAAACGCTCTTGTGGGTGTTCCTCGATGAGTTTCTGAGATACTACATCATCAACGCTCTGCTTCTTCTGGTGGCCTTGTTCTGCTTCTTCAACTATCTCAGGTGTGACACTCCTTCTGATGTTGATCAGGTGTCAAACATGGAATCGCTGGAAACTCAAATGTCACATTCGTGACATACAAATGTCTTTCATTTGAAGAAAAATAGACTGTATTCAATAAGTGCTTGTTAAGAGGATGTCTAATTAATATATTTGTTCGGTATTCCATTTAGGGCTATGGTATACTTTATTCATGTTGATAACTATGTAGAACCCTAATCACTGTCACTAGTTTAAACCTTTGATTGAGTGTTTACATTTACACTTTTCTTTTAATCTAATTAACCTATTTTGATGAAAATAATGGTCTAAAGGTTTACATTTACATTCATAATTATTTTTGTGCGTTTTCGCCACCATTCTTGATTCTTCCCCTTTTTACTATTATTCTTGTTTATGAGGATGTTATATATTGGCCAACTCAATACTCCACACCTTTTCAATCTCTGTGGCCAGAAAAATCTAAATACCTTGAACAAAATTGCAATGAGGCTATATGAAAAGGAAACAGTAAATAAGATATATTCTCATCTCTAAAATTATATATTATTATCAGATTGAGGTTATATATTAATTATACTGCAATTAATTTTCTTAACTTTTTTACTTTTCACAAATAATAACACGATCTATACATAAGATAATAAATATGATTAGATAAGATAATAGATAGAATAAAATAAGATATTAAGTAAAATCTTGATACAAACTATCAATTTAACTGCACGATAAATAAAATGATATTAAGATAAAACAATATTATGTCTAAAAGATATTAGTTTATTAAATTTACGGATAATGTATTCTTAACTTATAACATTTTGAATTTGTAAAAAAAATATCATTTTAACTATATTATATTTTATTTATATAAATACTTTCTTATACTATTAAAAACTATATAAAATTTTAAAAATAAACTTAAATCTTATAAATATTTGAATTATTTTATTTAATTTTAACAAATAATATAATTTAAATTTCTATGTCACAACATAATTGCAAGTTAAATATAAAACATGTTATATATTATCATATAAATTAATATTATATTTAAATCCTTTCCGTTTTGTATTTTTGTATATTTAGTTTAAAAGTTTCAATTTTTTAATGTACGTGTCAAAAAAAAATCATTTTTAACTAAAATGTTTAAATGAATTATTAGAATTAACTGAGTGTTTGTTATGGGAGTTTTAAATGTTGATGATTCAAATGTTTAAGAGGCTTGTTGCAGTATTTCATATTTAAAAATATAATTTTTGTTTTTTTAATAAAATATTAAATATATTAAAAGACACATTAGTAAATTCTGCTAAGTCAATAATTTTTTTTACCTCGTAAGTTTTTTTAAATATAATATATTAATTTATAATATTTTAAAATTAAATATTTAAATTAAAAGACTCATTTATTTATTAAAAAATTTATTATTAAAAAATATAATAGTTAATTATTAATGCATATATATATATATATATAATTGATTAATTAAAAAAAGTCTTATCTCTTAAAAAAGAGATAAATTTGTAATTAATGCTAAAAAGAAATAATAAGGTGAGTATATTTAGGTAGATTATGGGAAAAAATAATGAAAGAAAAGAGAGAAGAAAAATAAAATAAAATAAAATTTTAGTGTGTAATTTATAATTATTAAAATAAGAGAATAAAATATTTATTATTTTATTTATAATTATGATTACGGAATGAATTATTTTTAATTTAATTTTATTTATTTTTTTATATTTAATTTATCTTTGATTATCTTTTATATTTATTTATTAATTTATCTTTAGTGTAACTGATATTTTTATATTTATTTATTTTTAATTATGTATTAATTTTTATTTATGTTTATTTCTAATTTCGTATTTATTCTTTTTATATTTATTTGTATGTTTAGTTTTTATTATTAATTCTTGTTTATATTATTTATAATGATGAATTGTAAAATAATAGTGATAATTTTTTTATCACAGTTAATAATAATAATTAATTTTAATATGCATTTTTCCATAATTAATAATTATTTTTTATTATCGTTTTTTTGTTTTCATTATTAATAATTTATAATAATAATAATAATTTTTTAATATTACAGTTATATATAAAATGCTAATAATAAATTAATTGTAAATGATAATAATATGTAATATAATAATTTGTTAATAAATTTTATTATCCTATAATATGTTTTTAGTTATTTTTCATTATTAATACTAATAGAAACATGTCTACGTTTTTTATAATTGTTTTTTAAAATACTATTTCATTTTATTTTTTGACTCTTTAAATATAAGATTAATTACAAAAGGATAAAAAGAAAGTTTTAGAAAAGATGACAAATTGAGAGAAATTTTTTTTTTATTAATGAATAAGTTATGACGAGAGACATTGGACTGTAGCTTCCTTTAAAAGAATTTAATGAACTTGTTGGCAAACTCTCAAACCTTTATATCCCTAATATTTATGAAAATCAGTGTAAGAATAGTTGAATCCATTTGGTTGATGAGTGATGTTATTTAGTAGTGTTTGATTGAAGTGTATATGATGAGGCATGTTAAGAGGATTTGGTTGCATTCCAGTAGGAGGAGACGTGTTTTGTAAAACCATATCATGGATGCTTTTTCTTTTCTTTTTTTCCTTTGAGTGAAGATAATATTTTTGAGCGTGGCTTCCCACTTGAGTTGGAGTTTTTGTTTTCACGTATGTTGAAATGTTTTTCCAATCACCTCTACCGTGTATGTTAAGCCCTTCTAGAAACAATCTACAATGAAAAAATGTTAAACATAAATATTATAAAAAAAAAAAAAAAAAAAAAAAAACTTTTCTTATACCTGTGCTCTTCTTCCGTCCATGTAATGCGTTTGGGTTGTGGTTTTGGAGGGTCGGGTGCTACTTGAAGAGGAAGATCGTTGAAGTTCTCCGGCAGCACAGTTGCAGTCTTCATACCCGGAAAGACATCGAACACCTCCTTACGTAGATCACTCCACCATTCATTGCTCAGCCTATTCATTCCTTCTTCTTCCTTAGGATCCATCAATTCAACAAAAAAAAAGTTAACTTTTTTTCCTTCTTAACTTTTCACTTCTTTCACACTTCACTTTTCAATTTTCATTCACACATAAATACTCAATATATAGGTAGCGTAATAACTAGGATTAGATAAAAGTCCATCAATTTAATTATATAATAAATAAAATAATATTAAAATATAACAATATAAGAAATATCATTTTGATAAATTATATTTTATTTCTATAGATACTTTCTTATATTATTAAAACTTATATAAATATTTGAACTGTTATATTTAGTTTTAACAAATAATATAATTCAAATCTCAATGTCATAAGTTAGATAAAAATTATGTTATATGTTATCATATAAATTCATATTAATAAAATTATATTTAAATCCTTTCCGTTTTGTATTTTTTTATATTATGTTTAAAAGTTTCAATTTTGCTGGTGTTTTTTTAAGAAAAAGTTCATTTTTAATTAGAATGTTTAAATACATTATCAAAGGTAATTGAATGTTTGTTATCGGTGTTTTAAATGTTGGTAATTTAAACTTTTAAAAAACTCATTGTAGTATTTTATGTTTGAAAAATATAATTTGTCTTTTTTAATAAAAATATTAAATATATTAAAAGACACTAGTAAATTTTGTCAACTAACTTTTTTAGTTAAAAAAATTAAAATATAAAAAAAAATAACAGATTGTGTTTTTCAATTTCTTAATATACTAAACGCAAAACATATATAAAGGAGTAAAAAAATGTAATATTTAGTCTATTTTATTTACATAATTAGTTTTCTTTAAAATTATAAATAAGTTATATGAATTTTGTAAAAGTACTACTATGAATAATTTTTTTTAATATTATTTTTAAAATATTTTACTATAAAGAATCAAGATATTTTATATTATATCTTGCAAATTTTAGTTTTTTTTATTAAAATAATATTTTTCATCATCAAACTTTTCTGAATATAGAATCGAGATAGTTTAATGTATGTTTAAACTTTTAATTTATCTTTTAAATTCTTTTAGATTATATTATTTTAATTATTTAAATAACATAATATATTATCATGTTAATTTTTTAAATAATATATTTATTGATTTATTAAAAGTGATATTTATTTCACTTGTATTAACTTATTAAGATAATACACATGATTATGTCATTTGCACGAAAGACAGTCCTAAATAAGTGTTTGTTAAGATATGTCTAAGTATTAATATATTTGAATAAAAATCCAACCTAATTTTGAAAATGTGATGAATAAATTTTTTGATTAGTATTAGATACCAATTAAAGATTTTTAATTGAGATTAATAAAATTAAGTGATGTTAAATGAATTTCTCAATATATGGAACTGATGATTTATACTTATATTTAACTCATTTCTGTTCCATAACAAATATGAGATAAAAATGTTCAAACATAAGATAAAAAATTCTTTCAGATGTCAACTAACAAATGAGATAATGAATATAATAAGATAAAGATATTACTATTACAAGTCTCACAAACCATCAATAATAATAATAATAATAATAATAATAATAATAATAATAAGATATAACAATATTATATTTAAAAGATAATTATTTTTTCATTAATTTTATGTATACTTTTTTTAAACTAACTCTTAATTTAAATTATGGAAATTGTAAAAATTATCATTTGAATTAAATTAGGTTTTATTTATATAATTTTTTATAGTATTAAAAATTATAAATATTTGAATCATTATATTTTGTTTTAATAAACAATATAATTTAAATTTCTATGTCACTATAGTTGTAAATATATATATATATATATATATATATATATATATATATATATATATACGATAAATGTTAAATAAAAGTTATATCATATATAACTATATAATATGAATAAAGTTATATCTTAATATTTTACTTTTTTTATACCCTAAACCCTATATATGAGAGACACATTAGTCAATTCCATCAACCTAATTAATATTTTATATAAATATTATATATATTTAAATTTTATAAATATTTTAATTATTATATATAACTTTGATAAATAATATAATTTAAATTTCTATGTCTGTAAATATAAATATCTAGATTTTATATAAATTTTATGTAAAAATTATTTTATATATTATTACATAAATTCAATGTTAACAAAACCATATTTTAATTATTTACTTTTTTTTTGTAATTTTGAATATTAAGTTTAAAAGTATCGGTTTGTTATTGTATGTTTTAGAAAAATATACATATCATTTTTAACTAACATGTTTAAATAGATTAATATAGTTAATTGAATTAATGTTATCATTAAATTGGATAATTTTATGATCTAATTCTACATTTTGTGTTCCAAACTCAAGTTGCTTCAACCTAATATTAAATTCGCGATTCAATTTAAATTAATTTGAACAAATTTGTCACATAATATTAATACTATTAGTAATATAATTATTATTTAATTAATTAATTTATTAAATATATTATTTAAATATATATATATATATATATATGTATATACATTTATATCCTAAAAAATAATATTTTAATTTTAATTTTTTGGAATGTTAATTATTAACTCAATCCAATTAATTTTTTAATTGGCTTATGTATAATGAGTTTAAAACTCACCTAAGGCAATCTAATCGATATACACTCTAACTATTTTTATATTATTTTTTTTATGAAAGTTTTAGAAATTTATAATTTAAATTTTTAAATGACTTATTTTAGTGTTTTATGTTAAAAAATATTTTTAATCTATTTTAATAAAATATTATATATTTTGAAGAAGAAGTTAGTCAATTCTATCAATCTAGTAAACAATTTTAAAAAATAAATAAATAAACTTTGCAGAAAATAATGTAGCAAATGGAGTTTTTCAAATCTTAATATACTAAAATGCAAAACATGGAGGAGTAAATAAATACGTATTTAGTTTATTATATTTGTGTAATTAATTATTCTTCAAAATTATAAATAAGTTATAAAAATTTTGATATTTAAATATATTTTTTCACTAATACAAAAATTAGTTTTAATATTAGTTATCATTATAATTTAAATCTAAGATATAATTATGATTTTAATTTATACACAAAAAGATATTTAAATTTAAGTTAGTTTTTCTTGCTATCGAAAGTAATAATGACAAGATAATAAGTGGCAAATTTTGACTTAATGCTTTGCAGAAATGAAAAGTTTTCGATTTCACATATATAAAGTATAGTTATTATTATATTCAATTTTTTTATAAAGTCAATTTGTATATGTTAAAAAAATTGACCACTACTAAAAGTAATATTATTATATCATATTATCAAAACATAAAACCTATATATATAACTATTATATTTTATCATGTCATCAAAAAAATTTTAATCATTAAAAAACATTTCATTATCATTTTTTTTATTTAATACAGAATCAACAATAATTTAATGTATGTTTAAATTTTAAAAGTATATTTAAAATTTCTTTAAGTTTAATTATTTTATATTTAAATAATATAATCTATTATAATGTTAAAATTTATTTTTAAATTAATATATTTATTAAATTATTAAGCATTAGATTTATTTAACTTATGTTGATGTATACATTGATTAATGTTGATTAACTTATTTATAAGCATGTTTGGAATTCTATATAATAATATTAGTATTGAATATTATGCTATTATCCATATAAACACGTGATAATCATGCAATTTTTTTAAAAATTCATTCAAAGAACTTATCGTAAAATCCTTAATTTTTTATTTTTTTTATATTTAATCAATATTTAGGGTTAATGATTAATCTCATATGCCAAACAATTTTAAAATAATGGCAAAAAAATTATTAAGAAAAAATGAGTTATTTAGTAAGATGTTATGAGTTGTGTTAACGAAAAAGGAAAAGTTAATAGTTTTTTTATTTAGGATGAAATAGGTTTCAAATAAAGAAAAAAATAAACCATAATGTAAATCTAAGTCACAAATGATCTTATACACAAAGAATGTATCTCTTCCATGGTAAAAACTAATTTAAATTTAAATTGTTACGCAATATATTATGCTACATTATTTATAGTTAATTTGTGAGTATAACTATACAATCTAAAAATATAGTATAACTTATATTTTTAAAAATTCTCATTTTTAATAATTTTAACTCAAATGATTGATACTTCTAAAAGTTTTTTACTGTAAATTTTTCGTTATATAAAATAAAATCTATCCATTACAATACATATACTAAGATACTAGTTACTGAATAAAACATTCAAAAGTTAAATTAATTAAATACTATTATCATATTGTTTCAGAAAGTGTTTGTGGGAAAAACTACAAAGATGATCATAGTATAGAATCAATCTTGATTAGGATTAGGATTGAATGAATTCCGTTGAAGTCAAGCAAAAGAAATCATAAATATAGTAATTGCTGCAACAATATGTCTCCCTTTGGTTTAGGCTACCACAAAAGCACTGGATGAACCTGTAAAGTGATGAATTGATCCAAATAATCCCTTTGCAGCACCAAAATGTGTCAATCTGTATACACCAGGAGTAACACCCTGTGGTATCCTCCATTCCAATGTTGCTCTACTCTTTGAACTGAGTTTGTAAGGCCTTGACCACTTGTAACGCAGACAGAAATCATCATCATCATATGCAGGAATCCAAGAATCCTTTTCTTGGAGGAACTCCACCAGTGCAAAGGTGCCTTCAGTCATAAGGTCATTGCGGGGACACGAAGACCAGAATGAAGCTGTCACCATATCATCACTCTTGAAGGTGGAGTTCTGCAGTACATCAGCGCAAACATCCCCAAAATTTACTCCAAGAGGAGTTGCATCCACCACTACTGGTGGAAGTAAGCTTATTTGCTTCTCAAAGAGATCAGGGGGTTGAGGACCAGGTTCTACTGGTTCGTTGTTGATGAGGGCCTCCGCAAGTTTCTTAAACTCTTGAATGTATGCACTCAGTGTGTGGGGGCCATATAGTGTAGAAGCACCCTGACAACAAGAAAATTCAAGTCAGAAAGTTGTATACAATAGCCACACAAAAAATGCATTGGCACTGTAACATTCTCCACATGCCTGTGCATGTTAACACATATGCACAATGTTTAGTCTAGCTCTAGTACATGACTCAAGAAGGAACAGATTTTCAGAAATGCTAAAAATGTCTATCTGTTTGTTTCCATGTATCTTTTGCCAATACAGAGTAAAATGATTTGATTAAGAACTTGGATAACTATAAAGAAACTTTCTTCGGTGTTTCATTTGTTCTTGCTATATGGTAATCTAAGAAATGTGAAATGTTTGTTGTGAGCTTCATGCTCTTACAACTGACCTCGTATCTTTGCACCTGGTACTCTTCATATGTAGTGATGTACTGTGAATAAGTATTAGTTAACCCTGCTATAACAATGTAAGTGTCATCATATTCAAAATCTTCTTCACTAGTTAGCACTGTCCTCACTGCATCACGAAGACGCCTCCCAGCCATTGTTGTAAATTCTGTCAAATGATTATAATTACACGCGAGTATGAAGCACCAGAAAGAAACACAAGGAGCAAAATAAGTTGTTTCACAGACACTTCAATGAATACATGAAACATAATAAAGTTAAATACTCGTTCCTCTTAGAGAGGCTTAAATAACACTATTAAGTCATAAGCTTTTAACCATGTTGATGTGAACAAATCTGTTTATATTTTAGTCAAGAGGTATAAATAACTTTTAAGGTCACTAATTGGTTCAAAATTAATTGTATTTACTATTGAGAAACATGACATAAGAAAATTTTATTCTAAGAAGCTTCTTCACATTAAATTGGATTTTATCTTAAAATGTAGATTTGGGCTTAACTCAACTCCACAAAGCGGAGAAACTGGATTGTAATGTGAAATTTGCAATCTCTTTATATACTCTCTTTTAACTATATCACAAGTCAATGTGTGTGACAAATACAAGTGACCCAATAATGGATTTATACCATTATAGAATGTCAATTTAGATTTAACTCGACAATTTAGATTTAACTCGACGACCGATTTATAAGATGAGATTTGAACTTTATTTACATACTCTATTTTATCCATATCCGTGGTCAACGTAGAACTTAACACCACTTTTGAGGCTGCAACTTAGGCAGGCTAGGAGTGACCAAAAGCAGTTTTCCAACAGATTAAATTGTAGAGCCTATTAGGAAAGACATTTAGATTGCATTTTATCTCAAAAGGTTTATACAGATATATTAGAAGGAAAGAGAAAGGTATATAAGGTACTGTCAGGCTTTGAGCTTCAAAAAGCACAAGCAAAAACCAATATACATAATAATATGGTATCAACAAAAGTTGTTCAATAAAATATAGTTTTTAAAGCCAATCAACAACTAGATCTATCCATCTTTATTTTTCATTTAGATGGTCATATATATAACAGTTTCTGTCATAATTTTAAACAAGAGTTGAGAACATGAAGGGTAGAGATTCCAACAATAACATATTACAGCAAAATAAGAGAGCAGGAGACAAGGTGGTACCTCCTGGTACAGAAAGAATGACCAATTGCCCAATTCGAATGATCTGAATTGGAAGTATGGAAGGCTGCAAAGTTAACATGAACATGAAAGCTTTATATAAGTAAACGTTACTTTTTATTAGCACATGCTATATCTTCATGACCTGAAAGCTATACAGCAAATCTTGTATATAAAACTTCCGTTAACAGAGAGCATGATTAGGAAAAAATTTAACACACATTGGATATAAAATCTATGTAATGAAAAAATAGATCCTCGTGTATCCAAAATTCTTATCAAAAACATATATGTCTGATACTTAATCTGATTTCAACCTTTGTGTGAAGCTTGGTTTAGAACAACAACTTTGTATAATTAGTTGGAACTAAAATTTGTCAAAAGTATAAAATAAATAACAGAAGAAGCCGCTAGGCAATGTCCAATAATACAAAGGTCATGGAAAAATGTATACCACTGGCATGGTATATTTCACATTATAAAATCCACCCTAAAGATAAGAGTGGGGGATGTGACTGTATTATATCTGCTGATTGCTAAAAAGAGACCTTATCCAATCAACACAGGAGATAATTGAACTGAACCAAGGGACTACGAAATTGTTATATTAAGGATTTATGAGTAACTTACAGCCCAATCATATGGTTTCTTCATTTCACCAGTATCTAGCAAAATGGGTTTTGGGTGATGACAATCTATCTGTTCTTTGCTTGGTGTCTTAAGCATGTCACGCACCAGCTTCCAGAAAGGATTGCCCTGACAGGTATCAGAACATATAATAAGCATACACCATAACAGGTATTTAAGACTACTAGTCCAGGAAAATGCAATATGAAAGAATGATTACCTTATCATCACCTTGTGTAAAATCAAAAGCTCCAGGTCCATCTGTTGTTCCAGCTGCAAAGGCAAATCCCATTGCAGCGGGGCATGTCTTTACAACCTCAGAATCTCCTTCATCAGAAACGGTTACCTCAAGTTGGGAGAAATCTATGTAGGCATGTCGAAAATCAACCTCCCCTTCAATCTCTTCATCCGCAGCAGTAAAAAGATCTACTGCTTTTCTAAATTGTCTTTCCCCAATAATGCGTGTACTTTCAAATTCATCTGGGTAGCTGTCACGTAAATAATGAGATGCAATTTATTAATTTCAAAGGCTTAGCTGACATATCCATGCACTTATGAAACAGAGTATGCAATAAATAATTACCCAGGTCCTCGGCTATAGCATAATTCATTCTTTCCTCCACATGTACTATGATTGAAGTCACATGGTAGTCCAGTGTCTATACAAAATGCTCCAAGCACATTTGGACTAACATCTCCGCAATTTGATTGGCAGAATGCAGATACAAATCTAGGCTTCTCAACCTTCCCATGAGCACCTCTCACACGTTTAGCAACACTTGAAGTTTTGGTTGCTGGTCTACCAGAAGAAGACTGGAACGAGGTAGCAATTTCTAGTAATTTGTGCTCTGCATCAATAAATTTTAAATGAGAATATAAATATTATTCATTTGTTATTTTCAGATATCTTTCTTTTGCTGAGCAAGGTACATAACATCAATCATGCAAAGTTCGGCATCATTCGTTCCATAGATTGCTCAGTTAGCTATAGCTTTCATATTTGCATCTTTCTCTCTCGTGTATGAAGACAATAGCCAATAAATGTTAGGAATTTCAAGCTGGAAAGTGTTGTAACTTTAAATTCCATGTGAGATATCATGCTGGTTCATCTACAAAAGCCATTTTAGGACACTTGTACTGACTCAACTACATCACCATCAAGGGTTTCAAAATGTGTTAGCTTTCCAAATGATGGATTCATCTGACGTACAAAAATACAAATATCCATGCTATTTAATTAGGATACTTACCTTGTTTCTTAGATATGTGTTGGAAAAGAAATACAAATTTCAACAATGGATGCATTACATAAAAAAACGAAGTATATCTTACTACTATTATGAAGGTTGGGAATTATATTTGAGATTTTTCGAGGCAAACCACGATCTTCAAATACAGCAGAATCCATTCTTTCATAACCTTGTTGCTCAAACCAGTCTTCCATGAATCGTGCAGCAGCACCTTTATTATCCCCACTAATTAATGAGTTTGTACGACTCATTGATGTTCCATGAGTAGGAAACCAGTTGAAGCTTCCAACAGGTCCCCATTCATCATCAACAAATTTTAAAAGAGTCATTTCTTTATCAACATTATACTTGTACTTTCTTCTCTCTGCAGCAGGATTATTGAGATAAGCACTGGGACTGCGATTCACACCAGCATCTAAGAGTTCTCCTGCAAGTTAAAGATAATCTTCAAATTATAAGTTATTACCATCCAAGTTCAGTATTTGATCAATCAAGCTTGACATACATGATACAGTGCAGCAATTAACACTAAAGATCGTACATAAGAATTCAAAACGAAAGTTATGAAGTGGTCTTGAAAGAATAACTTCAAAATGTTACAATTTCAAAATAAAAGTAAGAGAAAACTCCAATTCCCTCTCCAACTTTATGGTCATGTATTTTTTGTCACAAACTTTAAAAACATACAACACAAATTGTTAACTAAAATCGATTCCTGTAGTTTTTCATATTTTCTGAAAGGATTCAATAGTATGCACAAGCACAACTGCCATCTGTCATGACGAAGTTGATATAAAAGCTGTGTATGTGAGATTGCAAGCTTGTACCTGTGTAAGAGAGCCTAGGGAGGAAAAAGTGTGCAAATTTTATCCCTTACCCTTATTGACAAATATTGATCCTGGGCGGAGATTTTCATGGGCCTGGATAATGCATTTCTCAATGCCATCGACAATGACATCAAAAGACTGATGCACAAATCCAAAAGATGTTATAATATACACAACATATTGGAGATAACCCCCAGGACCAGCATGAGTGTGAATTCCACTAATGGCTACATTATTTTCTGTATATAGATCACCATATCTGTCAAACAGAATGAAAATAGTGCTTAATCACTCAACTATTGAGATCAGAATATTTTACTAGGATTTGATTCATCTAAAGTAAGTAAATATAAAATAAGCAATTTCCATCTTCAATGAAAAAATCTACAGTCGATATTCTAATACAATCATAATTTGTTATGTATGTGTGTGCGTAACATCAACCATTTTTTTCTCATTAATGAATAAGATTACTTATTTTACTCTCTGAATTCAATTGCTCATTTTAGAGGATCTAGATCCATTTTCTCAAGATACCACAATTTCTTTGTCACAGTAACTCTTGATAACTGAAACTAGTCACTGCTAGTACCTTGCTTTTAACCTCTCGATTAATTTGATTTTCACAATCTGTGAAGCCATGCAAGCATCAAGGTTCACAAACACTACCCGGTTACTCTTTGGCTCTGCAACAATGAAAGCACGAGCCCGTAGCCTGAAGTGAATTCCAGATGCAATCTGTCCTGTGTTAGCATAGCCCATCATGTTAACATCAGCAGCAGGGCCTGTAATGTCATAGCTTCCAAGACCAACCAAGTAGTCAGAACTAGAACACACAACATCAGTCTCCAGTAGCAGGAGGAGTAAGAAAAGGGTCCAAACTCGCATATTTGCACATGCCATCCAAAAATTCGAACGAAAAAAGGAAGGAAACTCCATCACGCACTCAAGTTCAAAGCAAAAATGACCAATTTTTCCAAGCTTAGCAAGTTCTTCTCATTTCACCTTCACCAAAGCACACCCACAAACGAAACTTTCAGTGGTCTTAACAATAAACATGAATCAAAATTGAAATTCCAGACCTAACTATGCTACGTGCATGATCAGAACTCAATAATCGAACATACCTCCTTCACAATCAATCATGAAAAATGATATTTCAAAATTATAGGGTAACAATAATAAAGGAGAAAAATTAAACTTTTCTCACCGCCAAGAGAAAAATAAAATAAAATCTAACTTTACATGAGGATAAACATGGGGAAGTAATATGCAATATGCAGTCCAGTCTCGAAACTATTGATTACATAGACACTGAACCAGAAAATACGTGTGAGCGAAAGAGAGGGTTTAATGGAGTAAGTAAGAGCAAGGAAAGAGAGTGGAAGGACAAGTTATGTAATTAGTAACATGATTTGTTCGAAGCAACTGCAGGTGTCAACTGCCAACGACCTTGGGCAGACACCAACGGGTAATTTCCCTATGAAATTTGAAGCTTCCCACTTTGACATTATTAATAAATAAATAAAATAAGGCTGTTAGAAAAACAAATAAAAACATTGATTTTCTTTGTCCTAGGCGAGGAAATTTTACAATTCCATGAAGTCCTCTGCATAATGCATAGAGTTTGCGATAAAACCAAATGCCAAATTTTTGCAATAAAAAATGGTTGTACTTACTGAGTTATGAAGTGTATGCTGCGTAATTAAATTGGAATGGTAGGTAGATAAATATGCAGTTATAAGTAGATGATGAGTTTATGTATTTCTGCATGAAAAATTAACTTCAAAATTTATATCTTATTGCAACAGAAATGTGTTAAAGTTGTGTGACTGTATTTTAAATATTTTGAGTAACTTATTGAACTTTACTTTACTTGCTGAAAAAAAGAAATAGAGCCTTATTTTATGGGGTGTATAAGAAAAAGTGAAATTTACATAAAAATATAAATGGAAAGTAAGTGTACAATAAATTACGTGTAGATTCTTAAAGCAAATTCTCTTTTTATTTTTTCTTATTTTTTATTTCTTTCCATTATTATTTTTTTCTTATCTTCTATTTTATGTCCGACTTCCTTTGTTTTAATTATATAAGCAGATAAAGACTAATTATACAAAAATTATAATAATATCAGATGAAAGTTACATTTATCTATTAAAATATAATAATCTACAAATTTTATTATTTTTATAGAGATTATATAATAAAAAATAATGTAATTTTTATTAAAAATTTACGTTTTTAAGATTTTGAATATAAACATATGTATTTTTTATCATTTATTTATAATTTTATGGAAAAATAATTTATATCGAAACTAATAATATTATTTAATTTTAATTTATATAATTAATTAATATTTTAATTTTTAAAATTATATATGTAATTTATTGTTTATGTCAGAATATTAAAATACTAATAAATAATATATTTTAATTATAATAAATAAAATATTTATTTTTTAATTAGATGAATAATTACTTTATTAGCATAAAATAATTTTAAGTTAGTTAGTTATTATCATTATAAACATTTTTTTAATTGTTTCATGTTATACATAACACTTTTTTTTTTTAACAGTTTAGTTTTCCTTCTAACGTTATTATTCTTTTAAGAGTTGACGTTAATCAAATATTAGGACTTTAATCAAATATAAATGGAAGCAATAATTGTTATTATAGAAGATGAAAACTAATGTAGAGACTCAAAATTTAAAAACCACGTGAATAATTACTCAATTTGAGATTTATATAGTTTTTTGAATATTAATAATAATATATTAATATTAATAGTAGTATTATAAAAAATAAAGTTAATTGTCACATAGAATGGGAAACAACATTATCAGATAGCCTATGGTAAATATTTTTAATGTATGATTTGCACTTTGCAACATTACTTCTATACTTAGTTATCATGTCTAAATTTTTTGAAGGTATTATGGATTGTCTCAAGATGTGAAAAAACTCAAACATTTATAAATTAAAATAAAATTGGGTTTCGATTCATATTACGTGTAATTACCATTAATAAAATTATATCGTATTTTTCTCTTAAAAATATATCATTCACTTAAATAACCAACTTGTACTTTTTTTTTTTTACCTGTTCATGTTCTGTTATGACTCATTGAATTATTTTTGTAAACATTAAATTATTTATTTTAATTAATTTTAAAATTGTATTAACTATTCGTGTTGAGTCTCTCTATATAATAAATAGATGATAGTTTGACTAAGTAATATTTTCATTATTTATTGATATTTGAAGGATAACATATTTATATTTTATTAAAAAATGTATGAATATTTAATATAATAATATTTAATTGTACTTGTCGATAAAAAAACATGATTTCAAATTTTTTTTTATTAAAATCATATATTTTCTTATATAGTAAATTAATCCTTCAACATTGAATTATCATCAATTTTAAATCTATTAATCTATAAAACGAAATAAAAATAACAAAATTGTGTTAGTTTTATATATATATATATCCTAAATCTTAAACTGATTTAAATTAAATTTTTATCTTCGGAACTCATGCAACAAATAGTTGTTTTAACTAAGTAATAACGCAAAATATACATGTCCGAGTCTTACCCATTTGTGTATAGCATGGAGATAAATTGAACAGATTTTATTATAACAATATTTCATTTGTAATTATTCGCATGTAAAATATACATTTTTGTTCTTCTTCTTATTATTAAAAAAAATTATGTATTTTTTAATTAAATTTTAACTGTCATTTTTTTAATAAAGTGTCTAATATTTTTAATCTGTAACAAATGATTATTATTTTGCTTGTTTTAAGATGAAAAACCACTAAGCCCAAAACTCAGCACATGTAAGAGGGTTTTGGGTTTTTCAAGGTTACAATTTATATGGTCACCACCAGCCATTAACGTATCAGTTTCACAATCTTACTCTCACAAATCCTCAAAACCCTAACTATCCCCTTACTCTGCCTCCGTTTTTTCCACCGCCGTTACCATGGCGGAGCTGAAACTCTCCGAGAGCCGCGACCTTACCCGCATCGAGCGTGTGGGCGCTCACTCCCATATCCGCGGTCTCGGCCTCGACTCCTCCCTCGAGGCGCGCGACGTCTCCGAGGGCATGGTTGGTCAGACCGCCGCGCGCAAGGCCGCCGGCGTCATCCTCCGCATGATTAAAGACGGCAAGATCGCGGGCCGCGCGGTCCTGCTCGCTGGACAGCCCGGCACCGGCAAGACTGCCATAGCCATGGGCATGGCCAAGTCCCTCGGCCTCGAAACTCCCTTCGCCATGATCGCCGCCAGCGAAATCTTCTCGCTTGAAATGTCCAAGACTGAGGCGCTCACTCAGGCGTTTCGCAAGGCCATCGGCGTGCGCATCAAGGAGGAGACCGAGGTCATCGAGGGCGAGGTCGTTGAGGTCCAAATCGACCGCCCCGCAGTGGCCGGCGCCGCAGCCAAGACCGGAAAGCTCACGCTGAAAACCACCGAAATGGAGACCGTATACGACCTCGGCGCGAAGATGATTGAGGCGCTGGGGAAGGAGAAGGTTAGCAGTGGCGATGTTATTGCAATTGATAAGGCTTCCGGGAAGATTACCAAGCTCGGGAGGTCGTTTTCTAGGTCGAGGGACTTCGACGCTATGGGGCCGCAGGTGAAGTTCGTGCAGTGCCCTGATGGGGAGTTGCAGAAGAGGAAGGAGGTGGTGCATTGCGTCACTCTTCATGAAATTGATGTCATCAATAGCAGGTTGCTCGTATTCCCTTTTTGCTTTTATTTAGGTTTTTCAGAATTTCTTCATTTGGTTAACCAGTTAGTAGTTAATAGTTAGGACTGGCTATGAACTGAACCCACTCGTAATTAGCTTGAGACTTAATTTGTTGAACTTGGTTCATGAACCAAATTAGCTGAACTTGAGTTGAAAATTGAGTTAGTGAAGTAATTGACCTAAGTTTGAGTTCTTCATAGTTCAGTTTTTGAGGAAGAGTTGTTCACAAGCTTAAATCGAGACAAGTGAGATGGAAAAGAGGTCTCATATTGAGCTAGAGTTGAGCTACGTGCCGATCACATTTTTATAAAGCTGGGTTAAACTTGAATTGACTCATTTTCAACCCTGGTCAAAGCCATGGTTTTATTTCTTGACGTAGTGAAAAATTTAGGGGAAATATGGCTATAATTGCAGTTGCCCCCAAAAAAATCAATTCTTATCAAGTTAGGTTCATCGTCGTTCTCAACCCTAGTCAAGGTTTCATTTCTTCATGTTGCGAAAAATTAATGGCAAATTTGGCTACAACTGCAGTTGCGTTCAGGTAGCGGATGCCAGAAAAACCTCCCTGTTGCCAAAGAAATGGTGATGATAGACCATGTTTTGAAACCCTGGCCAAGGTCTTAGGAAAAGTCTGTAACATCAATTTCAGTTGCAACTTCAAGAGTTTTTGGTATTCACGGCTACATTTTTCAGCAATTTCACGCAATGCCAAGGGATGCAACCGATCTGTGACCTAAGTTGTTTCTGGTTTTGTCACAATTATTTGACATTGTAGAATATTTCAGTCAAATGTGCCTGATATGGTCGTGGAGAGCCTAAAGATCTTCGCATTGGGGCTGAAATTGGGGTTGCTGTCTTGTTTTTAGAGCCTTGGTTATAGTTTGGGTAATCAATTATAATCTCGGCAGTGACTGCGTTATGGGGCTGGGGAATTCTTTGAACTAGTATCTGTTGTAATCCAAACATGCATTTTAAAAATGTTGCTATTTGCCTTAAATCTTAAATTGGTAGATAGGTCTATGCATTTTGTGTGTTTTTCATCTTTTTGACTCCCAGTTTAATATGATCCTTGAGCTGGATTGGAATGTTCTATAAAAATAATGTGAGGGTTTATATTGATGATTTTGATGCGTGGTGTGGAGCCCGAGTTGGAATTTTAGAGTTGTCAAGGGGGGAATGGATGATTTTTGTGGGGATGGGGATCATTATATCCTCGCTGAAGCAAATGCATTATTCTCTTTAATTAATTTATTGATATTGTGTTTAGTGAAATTGGTAGTGAAAGATTCACAAGTGAAAGGCATTTTTCACCAAGTTTCAATACGTTCTGAACAGATAGAAGCTTTTGATTAAGTTTTCCATCTTATCCGTATGACTTTGTTAGCTGCTTACTTCCTTTGTCATTGAAGGATATATACTTGTTAATTTCCTTACAGTTTACATTTTAGTTATTTTATCATCTAATTCTGTTATGTTAATCTCAGAACACAGGGATTTCTGGCTCTTTTCACTGGCGATACAGGTGAAATCCGAGCAGAAGTCAGAGAGCAAATTGACACCAAAGTGGCAGAGTGGAGAGAAGAAGGAAAGGCAGAGATTGTGCCTGGTGTTCTTTTCATTGATGAGGTGCACATGCTTGACATAGAGTGTTTTTCATTCCTCAATCGGGCTCTGGAGAATGAAATGGCTCCCATATTGGTTGTTGCTACCAACAGAGGCATCACAACTATTAGAGGCACGAATTACAAATCCCCACACGGGATTCCCATTGACCTGTTGGATAGACTGCTCATCATCTCTACTCAACCTTACACAGAGGATGAAATTCGCAAGATTCTGGATATCAGATGCCAAGAGGAAGAAGTGGAAATGAGTGAAGGTGCAAAGCATTTGTTAACCAAAATAGGTGTGGAAACATCCTTGAGATATGCCATTCATCTTATCACAGCAGCTGCATTGGCAGCCCAAAAGCGAAAGGGAAAAACAGTGGATCTGGAAGATATTAATCGGGTTTACAATCTGTTTTTGGATGTCAAAAGATCAACACAGTACTTAATGGAGTATCAGAGTCAGTACATGTTCAGTGATACAGGAGAAGCTGATGAAGATGAAACCAATGCCATGGCCTCGTAGTACAAACATCAGCTAGAGAGTTTGTAAGTACCTTAGTGTTTGTACAAGTTATTTGTTCTATCTGATTGGTCTATGCACTTCAATTGTGTTGGATACAGATCACCAGAAATTTTCTGTGATTGAACTCTGCTCATGAGTTTGCAACTATTATGAACATGAGAAGCTGTACCCAATTTCTGTTACTACTGAGCATTTCCTCCCTTTTTTTTTGCTGTATCATGCATGAACAAATCGTCAACAGAGAGTTGCAAACAGTAATTATTAGACATGATTTCGGTAAGCAGTCAAAATGTTACATGTGGAGAGCACAAAGTTATATGCTGTTGATTGGGTGTATTTTGTGCTGTTGTCTTATTAAATTAGCATTGGAGTTTTATTTGGTGGTGTTATCCTGTTAAATTATAAATTGAGTTTTATATTGATCACGCACTCTTACGTTTCGGCCACAGGATGGAATGAAAAACCGTACAAGCTACTGAAATGAAATATCACATTGCAAAGAAACTGAAGCATTACCAAATGTTGAAGTAAACGCAAAGTGATAGACGTAGTTTGCTTTTTCTTTTCTCAATCTGTTTTTACCGTTTTATTTGATTGAAAGTAAAGTCATTGCGTAATATCAACAGTGTATATTTTTGAAGCGTTCGATTCATACCCACAATGATTCTTTTCTGAATAAAATTGCAGTGTTATTTGCATAATAACTAGTTTTAAGCCACTTATATTTTTATAATATATTTTTTGCAAATGCATATACCACATATGGAACGTTATCTTGCATATGAACTGATCTTGTTGTCTTCTTCTTTCAGTAACTTTATTTAAAATTCTAAATATTTCAGTGATGGCTTTGAGGAATTTGTGTTAATATCAGTAATATGTATTAAAAATCTCAAAGCTTAAATTAAGGATATTTTTAAAAATTGCTAATCAGAGTTTGGGTTGCTATCAGCTCTTTATTTAGGAATAACTTTTTATTTGGCGAGATCTACCCAATCTGCTCTTAGTCTTCGTCAAAAGGATGGCAAAGTGATACAAAAGATAATATTTTTCAATAATATATGTAACTAATCGATGAAGGATACTATTTTAAAAGATAAAATGCCTCATCACCATTAAGTTGTGGGGCATTTGGTTGGATTCGTCAATCGACATACACAGAAGTGTAAGGACAAAATTAAAGATTTTACAAATTAAAAGTTAAAAATATTATATTTAAAGTAAAGACACATTCTTTCTTGTCACTGCTGTTTCAGCATAGCCAACATTTGTAATGCCCAAAAGTAAAACAAATTAATTAGGCTTTTGTAATCAATAATTTCTTTGCTTAAAGAATCGTTCTCCTATGTTTGTATCTAACTTAATGTTATATATTCAAATGTAAATTTTGTTTTACTTTTACCATAAACATATTGTTTTATTAGAAGTAAAATCCTATTAGAAGCATAGACAACATTTGTAATGCCACATTTCACACTTCACACAACAATAAAATGTAAAGGACAGAAGGATAAAATTATTATATTCAACATACCCATTTGTTTTGCCTAAATCTTTTAACAAAACAAGTTTGGAAATTTTAGGATAATTTAATATTTTTTCGTAACCAAACCTAATTTTCTAAAAGTAATAAGTTGTATAAAAATTTAGCAAAGACTAACCCGATCAAGAAACTCCCTTTTAGTATTGAAAAAACAAACATTATGTATTTTATGTACTTTTTATCTCCTCGTATTAAACATTTTATATGAAAATTATTTTATTGTACTATAATATAAAGCATATTTTTTATTTTTTAATCATTAGTCATTATTTTTATTCCTAAAAAAGCTTTTTATGTTATTTAATTATTTTTTCGTTCAAAGAAAATAGGAACCCAACACAATCATTAGTACATGCCTCATCACATCAACACAACTCTAAAATGATCTACAATCTCAAGCTAGGACCACAAATTAGAAGAAGAGAAGAAGAATACAGCTCTCAAATATATATATATATATATATATATATATATATATATATATATATATATATATATATATATATATAAATCTTTTTTCGCTTAAAACAGTTACTTAATTTCTATTTCCAAAAACTAATTTTAGTTAAAAAAGAAAACATATTACTCCCAGTCAAATTCATGTCTCACCCTATGAAGAGAAACAATAAAACAATTTTCTTTTATTAAATAATTATTTGGAAGAGAAACCAATTATTAAAAAATATATATTAGAAAACATTTTAAAAATGCCTTAATTAATAAAATTTAAAACATGGTGGATCAAGCCAAGTAAAATTTGTGTTAAAAAAAACAAAGAATAAAATAATTAATTTGATTTTAATTTAGAGTGAAAATTTAATTAACCAAACCCATTTGTGTGTAGTTGGCATCAACAAACCTCACACTCACAAAGTGCTCATATATAATAATATTATGTTAATAAAATGAGAAAAACAAAAAACAAGTCTCTTTTGCTATCGCTTCATTATTTTCTCTCTCTTCATCGTTTTGTAAGTTAGAATCTCCTCCGTCTTGAACGAGCTTCCGCCACTGTCACCGTCGCCGTCGCCGTCGCCGCCTACCTCCGCCGCACCCATGCCAACGCCGTCCGCTTCTTCGGCCACGGGACTCTCATCCTCCGATCCGATCCTCGACCGCCTCGCCTCCTCCGATGGATCGGTGAAATTCAGAGCCATCCGCGAGGTGAAGAACCACATCATCGGAAACCGAACTAAGAAGCTCTCATATATCAAGCTCGGCGCCGTCCCTGCAGTCGCCGCTGCGCTCGCCGATTCCGACCCCAACCTCATTGTCCAGTCCGCCGCCGCACTCGGCAGCTTTGCCTGCGGAGTAGACGCCGGCGTCCGCGCCGTCCTGGACGCAGGAGCTTTTCCTCGTTTGATTGGACTCCTCTCCGCTCCCGATGAGAAGGTTTATTCAAATATTCAACCGTTTGCAACCGTTTTTTAACACATTTTTAATGTTTGGTTTGTCGGAAAATTGATCCATGCTGTAATCAGTGTGCTACTGGTTTGAGTTTTAGAAAGAACATGAAATGTGGATTGTTTGATTCATAATTTGTTAGGTTTTCGTCGTTGTAATCCAATGAAACCGAAAGTTACAACTCTGACTGTTACGGTTTTATTTCATTTCGAAATGGTTAATCTCTCTGCCAAGTGCTTCTTTGGAATTCAATTAACTTTTCTGGAAATTAATTATGGTTTTGGTAACATAGTTTATGTTTCCTACTTCTTGTCCACTGCTATAATTTTTCTATGAATTCTTCGATGTTTCTGTTTAGTGATAGGTTATTGATGTGTTCAATCCTGTTATTGAGATTGGGTTTACTTGTACATAAATCTGCTTTGCTTTGGTGAGAACAATGCCGGGTTAGAGGTCTGGAGGTCAGGTGTATTACTTGTGTTGTCAGGCCGTCGAGAAGAACTTTTACATTTCTTTCTCAGTGAAATTGAGATTTAGAATTAGGAAAATGTGGAAAGTTAATGGAAAAGGGGCAAAAATTGATGCAGTGGAGTGATGGCAGTACTTTGTTGGACATGTTGACTTCATTATTTATGATGTTTTGTTCTTTTTTAATGCTATTTTCATTTGGAATGCCATTTAATCGCCTGTCTTGCTTCTTATCAGGTGGTGGATGCTGCTGCTCGTTCTTTAAGAATGGTTTATCAATCAAAACTAGCTCCAAAGTATGATTTTTTTCAAGAGGAAAACATGCAATTTCTTCTTTCATTATTGAGAAGTGAGAATGAAAATCTTACTGGGCTAGGTGCTGGCATTGTTATTCATTCTTGCAAGACAATTGGAGAACAAAATATATTATGCCACACTGGTGTTTTAGAGAAACTTTCTAGTCTTCTTGATGGTTCTCTAAGTCAGCGAGATGCTAGTCTAGAGTCTTTAGCTGCAATAATTAGAGACAACCCAGCAGCTGTCTCTAACTTCGTGGAACTTCGATGTGGAAGAGCTTTACGTTCTGTTACTGAATTAACTAAAGACAAATATCCTAGAACAAGGTTACTAGCCTGCTTGTGCTTGATTTCTGTGAAGAATTCTTCGACTTGCTATCTTCAAGACATAGGAATCAAGACCAAATTGGTATACATTTTGCTTGAGCTACTCGATGATTCTGGTCAAGTTGGAGATGAAGCTTCTTTTGCTTTCTCAAGTTTAATTGCAGAGAAGGAAGATTTGCAGAAGTTAGCGTTTGAGGCAAATGCTATTAATAAGTTCCACTGCCTTTTGCAAAAGCATCCCGTACAACCTAAACGGCTTGAAGGGGTATTTCTGGCCTTGGCTGATCTTTGCTCAAAATTGGAGTGCTGCAGGTCTAGTTTTCTTTCATTGCAGGTCTGTTGCTTGTGTCCGTGTTTTTGATTTTGAACACATGCATGATTCTCTTCATTACTGCAAAATTGAGATATTAAAGTTATAAAGAAAAAGGTTCACTAAACCATTTTTATCGTCATTCATTATAGTAGCGCCATATTGGTCTGATGCACCAACATGTGGTTTTTGCCCCCTATCAGTATTGGATATGTATCCAATACTGATACATTCGGATACGGGATAGATATATGCCCCATCAGTATACATTTTCTTTTTAGTTAAAAAGTACACATTAAAATATCAGATACATTGAGATAATCTGAAAACACGATTTTTTGAAGATTTATTATTTGCTCATATGGGACTTGTGCAAGTTGTTTATATGATCGAATTGCTTCAAACAAGAAAGAAGTTCAGTTACACATGTTTGATAGAAAACGAAAGTCTAGAGGGAATAGTCGGTGGTTGCGCTGGTGTGTCTCTGTACACGGAAGCAACACAATGGTTGTTGCCTTTATTCATACTTTTAAATTTTATATTGTTTGCTACTTTTGTCTTTTTAACTGCACTAATGTAACCAAAAGCTTTATTTCATTTTCAAAACTAATATTTTAATATCTATATCAATATACCTTCTAAAACTTTATATTTATTTTTTGTCCCTTTTAGCACCGCCCCAAAATTACCAAAAGTTGTATTAGAATTTATACTTTTATGTTAATATTTTATCTTAGTAACGATAATATATGTTATTATTATATTAACTATCATGGTGTAAAATATATTTCATAGTTATACAATACAATCTTGTTTTTACTTTTGCCCTAAATCCTAAATATGCATTGTTAGAATTTTTATTTTATTTTTAGTAATACTTTAAAGTAAAAATATATTTTTAATTTAGATGATAGGTATTTGTAATTCTTATTTTAGATAAAAGAATATGTTAGTTTAATTTTTTTAATAACATGTCTTAAAGTATCATATTCTATATTTTCAAAATTTAGCATTATTGTATCGAATACATAATGTATCCGATACTCACATTTTATCCATTCATCATAGGTTATAGATAATGTGGCAGGGTGCAAATTAAGAATCCTGAAACTAATAGGCTTGCTAATTAGAGTTCTGATGCGATTTTTCTTTATTTTAGGAGTTTAGTGACATCTCTATATTTTCCATTTTGTCTAGGTACCTGTGTGGTTAGATGCAGTTTCTTGCACGTCTATATGTACTGCATTTGTTTTCTAGGACAATATTTTTTTAACTGATCATTTTTACTTTACTTAGGTCATTATTTTCTTACTCGCAATATCAGGCGACTTGTATGGGATTTTATATTCAAATATACTTTTGCTGATATTTTCAGATGTAAAAGTATGTCAGCAGAAGCAGCATATCAAAGATGCCATTTTATTTTTCCTACCATTAATTTGATTGATTAGCGTCAAGTTGCAACTAATTAACCAATTTTGACATTATACCCCAAAGTCTGCCATAAACAACAACAAAACCTTATCTCACTAGGGTGAATTCTAAAATCTGCCTTAAAGATGGAACTTTTTGCACTCCTATAAAGGGACTGTTAACAGTTTTCTGGTGCTCGCATCAATTATTTATAGGTGTTGGTGGTTTTGGACATTTATTGTTGTCTAAAGTATGTTTTATACCACCCCTTGTTCCCATTTCTGAACATGTTTAAATCAGTGCTAAGCTGTATTTCTTCCTGATAGATGACTAGAGCCAATTCTGGTGTTTCTTCTCAAACTCAATGGATGAAGTTATAATAAGGCTTGCACCAATAAACTACGTATGGATGAATTTATAATAAGGCTTGCACCAATACACTATGCTTTCAAATCCCAAGTCCATTTTCAACTTCTAATACACTTTTGTGATACAGGTCTTGAATCTAGTAATTGATGCCCTAACTCATGAGGACCCCAGTGTTCGCGCTGCAGCTTGCATTTGCTTGAGAAGCGTCTCTCGCTCAATCAAGGTATGAAACATGAGATGACATCTGGTACTTGAAGTGTATTATGCTATTGCTATGTACAGATTCTCATAAAACTCTGTTCAGAATTTGAGTGCAGGTCGATTTATGAATGAAAGGGTTGTCTTTCCTTTGGTTCAGCTTCTCTCTGATCTATCTACTTCTGTCCAGGTAATTTGGATGTATCTATAAATTTCATTTTTCTGATTATGCTGTGTTGACTAGTTTCTAGATTACTAAAGGATGAACTTCTAAAATTTAGAAATTGAGGGGTACAGAATATTATATACATCCACTCATAATGTAGCTATGTCTATGCTATTGTGATGATAATTCTGATGCTATTCTCCATTGATCTGAATTTGAAACATTCATGTTCCATACATAAAAAAGGCTGTTGCTAGAAGCGCTGGCATATTGATGGACAAATTCAAATGATTTAGCACTGAAAATGTTATATCTCACATTAAGTGAGCTGTCTCAAGGGGATAATATGTTGTTCTGTTGCTAAGATTACCTGTTATTTCACCCATTTTGTATCTTGGACTTGCATGATGAGGCTATCACAAGGCTGTATATAATTTGTTGGGAGGCTTAACTTAGCATTAATTAGACTCAAGTCATAGATCATAATGTCCACTCTCCCGATGACTTTTTTGTTGGCAAAAAATTGATTTACTTGTAATTAAACAGACGTGGCCTCATAAATTTTGAAGTTTAGTAACTTTTCTGTTTTATCTTCCAGGTTGCAGCCCTTGGTGCCATCAGTAATATAGTGGTTGACTTTTTGCCGCACAAATCAACATTCATACAGTGTGGGGGCATTAAGGAGCTTGTGCAACTGACCAAGTCGATGGATTCATCTTTAAGATTAAATGCTGTATGGGCATTGAGGAACATGGTATTCCTTGCAGACACAATATGCAAGGAAGGAATTTTCACGGAGTTAACAGCATCTTCAATGGCTAGTCTTATTTGTGGTATTTATTGACACTTCGGATTTTTTGTTATATTGGTACCTATTTCCAAATAAATTGTCCTTGATTGTGTATACCTTGCAGATCCTGAACCTTCTGTTCAAGAACAAGCTCTGGCCCTTGTTCGCAATTTTGTTGATGGATGTCTGTACTCTGTTGAACATGCTTTTGCTGAAGATGGTATCATACTAGATGCTGTTGGAAGACAATTACAAAAATCTTCAAAAATTGAAATTGGGATACAGGTTGGAATTAACTTCTGAAATTAATTTTTTTGTAGAATGATGGTATAGATTTCTACACTTTACAATCATTCTCAAGTTGTTTATTTATTATATATATGCCTTTTGATTTTATTTTCCACGCAGGGTATGTATATTCTCAGCAATATTGCAAGTGGCAATGAGTTTCATAAGGAAGCAGTTATGCAGCTACTCTTCCCTCAAGATGATAGTGGGTCTCACTCTTTCTTCGAGCAGATTTTGCAGAGTCATGACAGCCGCTTACGCACAGCTGCAGTGTGGGTTGTAGTAAACCTCACTTTTCCTGCTAGTCCTGGTGCATTTGGCCGGATTGTAAATCTGCGTAGTTTTGGCATTGTTTCTCGGATAAAGAAGATGGTCAATGATTCTTGCATGGATGTGAAGGTCCTTTAATCTTCATTCTGAATTTTTAATGTTCTGTACTATAAGTAGTTGGTTTGTAAATGCTCTTCTTTTGATGCAGCTTCGTGCGAGACTTGCACTTGGGCAGATTATTACTTTTGGTGATAGCTAAGTGCAATAAAATCCTCTGTTCCAAGTCCTTTGGCTAAGAACAAAGTCAAGATAAGGGATATTGATAGAATTTTATTTTCTCATGTGTTCTTTATAATACAATGTGGTCTCCTGCCGTCTGCATCAACTTTCAATATGGTATGTTTCAATTAATGTTCTACAACTTTTTTTTCTCCTTTCACTTAACATTGTTTACCATTCCAGACACTACCATTTGTATGTTTCCCCTCAAGTGTCTTGACTAGATGCTATTGGATTTCTAACGCATCAAACTACAATTTTTATTTTTTGCAGGTGTATCAATATGCTTTAGTTTATCTTTGAGTAAACTTAAGTTGGTATTCTATAGATTCCAGTGTAACCTCATAAGCCGTCCTAAGATTTTTGTCCCCAGTATGTCACCTCAAAAGATCCGAACTGTCACCAAATGACTATCCGTGATACAAAAAAGACGGATTTGGTTACTCTTTTATATCTTTGAATAGATTAATTGGATGACAAGAATCTTTAGAGGACTAATGTGGCAACACATTAATCTTTGAGAACCTATGTAAGGGTTTACTCTTTCTTCTAACCAGTCGGAGTAGTGTGAGAGCTTCGTGGTTCTGTAAGCACTCTTGGCCAGGTTACCCTCAAAATCTCATTTTTCTTCCTCGTGTACAATATGTATTACTTTTTTGTAAATCAGATGATCATAGACTCATAGTATACAGGCTTTAGTGTTGTAAGATATGAGTAGTAAATGTCAATTAGAACCGAGTTTCAATTTAATTTTGGTTATATTAAATGGCAGAAATGTTTATTGCATTGATGCATGCATGCCTTGTAATTTTCATTTTCTTGGTTTTTGTTTATGAATTCCTTGACTTTCGGTTAATAAAGCTCGTGGATGTTATATGGCAATGGTTTGTATGAGAACAATTTTAAAAGGAAGCTTATTCTTATTTTCAAAATATTGTCAATTTAGAAAGAAAAGTTCATAAATATTTATGGGGGGATGGATGACCATGACTATGATGATGGTGATCATGATTCATGGTGGTAGTGGCTATATTTGGTGAGGATGCTGGGACAAGTTATGAAAGGTAAGTGTTTTCTTTTTTGTTATTATTACCTTTTGCATTTTGTTATTGAAATTTGAGAAAGGGCAACCACCCACAGTCACCATCGCTATGAGAACCTTTTTATGCTTAACAATATTTCTCGATTATCTTGTGTTAAGAAACTTTGGTCAGTTGCATGCACATGACATGACATTTACAGATGATAACAAATTCACCATTGAAGAGTTGATGCTTTGAGTTTGGATGAAATTCACTTTATTAATCTATGGAACTTCTTATCTGCCTGAAATGGCTGTTGGAACGAAAATACTACTTCCATTTGTCACACTTGTTTAGAGGTTCAATATCTCCCCAAAATTCTATTTCACAAAACTAATATTTAAAACAAAAATATACTTTGACACCTTTTTTTAATAAACAACATTAAACAACTCAACATAATAATATATTACTATATTACATTATCTAATGGATATTTTTGAGAAACTGAATTGTTAAGATATAACTACCCTATTTAAAAAGGATATATTAGTTATTTATACATTTAAAATATAACTTAAATATCTATAAATTAGTGATTATCATTACATCAGTTAGGCTATGAGAGTTTAATTATTTTTTATTATATATTTAATATAATGTTTTGGTTATAACGGGATTATAAGAATTAATATCTAATTATATCTTTAATTTAAAATAAAAGTTTAGTAAATTCTACATGAAAACATTTAGTAAGAAGAAAACCCTTTCAACTCAATTTCTCACTATTTATAATTATTTACTTAATATAATTTTTTTTGTTTATTTAATAACTTTGAGCATTATTTTGACATTTTTTATAAGAGCAATTTAATACGATTTTTTTTCGTATTAGATTTCATATGATTAAATGTTATTACAATATTTGAACAATATTGAAAATAAGCATTTCCTTCATTAAGGATTTTGATTTTGATTTATTCTAATTTTATTCCATTTTCACATTTTTTTTAAATTTATTTTCACGTCAAAAATATGACCCATAAAATTTAGTCACATGTAGTTTAAGACATCCTATAAGGATTGATATTCTAAAAATTTATTTTCTTTCATAAACTAGAATAATAAAATTTACACTTAAAATCTAATTTTATTTATGATTAAAAGATGATATATTTTTATCTGTACAAAAGAAATATGAAGATACATAATCGTTAATTTTATTTAATGAAACTGTTAAAAGTAATAAAATTATACACTAATATTTAAATTTTTAAATGAAAAATATTTTTAAATAAAAGTTTAAGTAATTAAATTAATAATTGCTTTTAAGCAAATATGGTATACGAAAAAATAAACATAAAAAATATCCTTTTTTGTGATTTTATATTTATTAGCCAGTTCAATTTTTAACTTTACCATTCACTTTAAATTTAAGAAGTTAAATTGGAAGCTGATATGGATTATGGATTGTGCATTTAACAAGCAATATATAATGAATAATGTATTAAACATTCTTGGTAAATGCCTAAAATTTTCAACCCCCTCGTCAATTCATCTGAAACTAGCGATATATAATGGATTGTGTATTTAACAAGGTACAGTTATATACATAATTTACATAACGTAAAACTGAGAATGCTATTAAAGGAAAATGACAGAAATAAGAATTTTGGAAGCAAAACAGATTGATATTGAAACAAAAAAATATACCTAGACTAAGAAGAGGCTCAAGACAGAAACTAAAGAATTATCAGCCAATTTTTTCTGTGTTTGTGTCATCTGAGGGCCAGATTACTGTCTCCATCAGGCGTTCCCTCATCAACTCCAAGTTTTCATCAGAGATTTCTTTGTATATCTCAGCATGATTACATTTCTGCACAAATTAATAGCCATGCACAATGGTTGTAAAGTTGAGTACATCATGCATACCTTCACAAAACATTGCATGCTTATATAATCAGAGATAGTTATTGAATTGTATTACCTTGACCCATTTACCATAAAGGTGAAGCCGAGTTACCATCACTCTTTCAGCAAGCTCTTGTTGCTCCTAACAATTGGGAGAGGAAATAGACGACATCATTGGCTTTGACAAGATGTGTTAATAAATGATTTGCTACAGAAAAAATATTCTAGGGAATGTGTTACAGCTAATTATTCCATTTCTTTTGTAAAAATGAAGAAACAAAATTTACATTTAGATTAAAGATCAATGGATATAACATGTATAAAGGAATGTAATAATTTGTTTAAAGAAGCCACAATGACATACCATATATCCTTATTGAAAATTTTCAACTAATGAACTAACTTACGGGCATAAAAGTTTACCTTCCCAAGGGATCGAATAAATCGTTTCCCATCTCCTGGTTTGTTTGATGCAACAAAACTGCAAAACATTACAAACAATTATCTAAATAATTGTGAGATACCAATTGAATCACCAGGTTCTGGTTTAATAATCATACTGAACCTTCTTTAATTACTCAAATCCCTCAACAATCTTTAATTACTAGCAAGTTTGGAGAGAGGAAAATATTCAATGCATTTGATTTGTTTTATTTTGAGTTGCCATGTTTTCACTGATAATTGAAAATTGTCACATTTTTATTCTATTCCATGCTTTTAAGAATTTGCAAAGGATATAATAAAACCAACAAAATATTCTTTTCACCACTTGGTTCACTTAGACTTCACAAAAAACATCATTTCAAACTAAAATACATGGGCATGTAAATCTTGGTTGAAACATTTGTCCTCCAATTAATAGAAACTTCACTTACTTGTAGAACCACGTATATTTAGGTGGGTTCATCTCATACAACTGATGAAGAACAGTCCTCACAGCCTTGTATGTGAAATAGTTGAGCATTTGCTGTTTACAAAGATGAGTCAGTTAGATTCCATACAAATTTCAATGTACTTGTATCATATCGGTCAGGTCGTTGATGATTCAAGGTAGAAATGTCAAAAAAATCCATATTCCTCTTATTTAAGAATGCAAACTGGTTTTACAATTTGTAGTAGTACTACGTGCATGAGTTGTTTGATACTTGCTCTGTTACATGAGCTATATTAGAAGTAAAATGATCAATTATATTAAAAGGAAACAACTCTCGTCTTTGTAATGGAGAGAATTCAAAGCAGCATTTTGAGAAAATACACACGTACATGTAAAGGTTGAAATTGAAGAAAATCAGAAGGAGACTGTTTCTCACATACAATTTAAAATCTTCATTATTGTAATACAAGACATTACAATGCATACACTACTCTTTCTGGTCCCTCTTGTTACATTTTCATTATGAGATAAACAGTTCTGCATTCTTAGATCTGATGCAAGAAAGAAAAGGAAAGGAGCAGATGGTAGAAAGAGGGTTAATCATTTCAGAGTTTTAGGGACTCTCTTACTATTGCAAGCCACAACTCACAATCATCTAACAAATGACTTTTTTTCCACAATAATACAATGTTAAAAAGCTTTGCAACAAAATTAAAATGTCTTAGAAATTAGAATTAGAATTATGTTATAACGCTATCAATCAGAAAAGGTAAAACAAAGCAATGCTAAAGGAGAAACTGAGTTATAATAAACTTAAACCAGATAAAAAGGGTATCATAGTTTTCTGTAAGATACCTCTTATTGTCCCTTCAAAAATGAAACTAAAAAGTTTCTTGTATGATTTTCAGTTAGTTCTGATTATAGAGCGGGTTTAGTCTCAATTTTATGTTTCTGCAAACACAGCTGGTATAAAACGAAATTCATTGGAACTTAACTTTACAAACTTAAATTAAAAAATGCCCTAAAATACCAGATCTAAGTGTTTTGTATATTCTTTTGTTATATTATATCCACAAATTATAAACATGTTACCGTTTTAACATCTTCAAAACTTTCTTCATATTGGCCTCCAAGCTCGTTGACAATGGCCACTCTCCTATCCTTACGCTGCCTCTTGCAAGTTCTGCTAACAAAGAGTCTCCACGCTCTTCCAGGATCAATGAAAGAACTGCTCAACTTCATAGTCCCTCCACCATGCTTCGTCAAGTGCTTCCTTCCCATCAAATTCTTGCACGAAACAACATCTCCACCACTCTTGAGATTGACACTGGTTGTTGTGGGGAGAGCATCCACACACAAACAAGGGCCAGTGTGAGAGTCCATCACTGATGATCCCACAACAGATAGAGCACCCACCATCCTCTCTCACTATCCCAACCTCCACAGAAAAACTCTTCAAGACACACACACCAGGTTCAAACTTGCCTCAAAAGACAATGGAACTCTATAAATAAAGATACCCTTCAACACAGACTACACCTAGGGAGGAAGAGCAATAGAGGGTGTCCAGGAAAATTGGAAATTGAAGACGTTGTTGTGGTCAAAGACGCATGCAGAGTTTGTGGGAAGGTTGAACAAGAGAAGTAGCAGGCATTTGGGTGCAAGGAAAAGTAAACTAAAACTGTAGAGGTGAGATTTTTGAAGGGTGGGAGTGAACCTTCACCAGACAATTTTTTGAGGTCCAAAATTGTCCAACAGAAAAAAGAAAAAGTGAAGGATTCAAATTGACAATGGAATCTCCTTAGATTTTCACACACACGTTTTGGAATTGATTTTATATAAAATTAGTTTTGATTACAATTGAATTTAAAAGTGATGTAATTCCACAAAATAATTTAATTGAGGTTATCTTAAACTGATTGATAGCTGGGATCTTTTGCTCCTCTCACTCTACTCAACTTAGACTCTAACCGACATCAGTTATTTACATTTATTTCAACTCAAGATGAATTTTAAACATGAAATCAATATAAAAACAATTATCTAAAACTGTGTAAACATATTTGAATTGTAATGTAAAGTGAATAAAAACCATACTAAACTGGTGGAGCAAAGTTATCTGATTTGATGGGTTTGGTGAATGTGGAGCCACGTGGTTGTGAATCTTTGTCGCCGTTCAATGTTTATAGTTTGTATTGTAGTACTTTGTTGAAACACATGTTAGATGCAGCATAAATGAAGATGGGGAAGGTGAGTGACAAGTGTCCCACATCGTCTTTCACGCAGCCACATGTGCTTTCTCAAGGATTCCAACTCAACGAATGTAGCTCACATGTTGGATCACATTCACATTTTCCCATTTATTGCTCCCTTCATAACCTAATTTCATCAAATCAAATCATACACAAGCATGTCTTCTAAATTTGGAAATTTCACGTGATTTTCTTCATCAAGAGTTTATTCAATTGGTTGTTGCAACATTCTTAACGAGAGGTAGAGTGGAAATCGAACAATATCTTCAGAAAAAATCTTAACAAAAACACTAGTTTTAGTACACTTTCCACCTTAATTATAAGAAAATTGAATTGTTTAACTTTTACATTTAGGTTTAAGTATAATTTGCCAACAAAATCCTATTTTTTTTTTCATACATCAAATCTAATACATAATTGTGAATTATATAGATTTTAAAATAGATTGTTTAGTTTTCTTAAAGTCTAAGGTGCTTATAAATAATAATTAAATTCGTACTCGCATGTTTACCAGTAAAATATTCATATATTTATCTTCATACGTATAAACACATTGTCTGTTAAAAACAAAGAGATTATGTTTATTTTTATGACAAAAGTAATATTTAACAAGGTCATGTAATACAAAATTAAATAATATATATAGAGTTATATTTCTCACGCCATTATTACTACTACTACTATTATTATTATTATTATTATTATTATTATTATTATTATTATTATTATTATTATTATTATTATTATTATTATTATTATTATCAAAAATTAATAAATTTTTAACACATTGATATGTTATATTTATACATAATTCAGTTATCAATATATTATCGTCAATTCTAATTTTACGAAATACTTCAATTGAAATAAAATAAATTCATACTAATAAAAAAATATTAATTTTATATACTGGTTTTTAATATTTAGAATATATTTTTATAAAAAAATAAAAGTTTAATAATAATAAAAGTTTAATATATTTTAGAATATATTTTTAATATTTTAGAATATGATGAATATTTAAACAAAAGTTTTTTTTTCAAAAATTTAAATATAAAGTATAATAATGAAAAAAATAATTAGTTTATTTTGTTACCATTAAAAAATTAAAAATAAAATCTACAAAATAAAAATTGAGATATTAGTTTCTGTTGAGAATATTTATTTTTCATTATTTTTTGTTAAGTAACTTGTTTCTACAAATAAGGTTACTAAAATTTAAGAAACTTGTTTCTCATTATTTTTTTATTAAGTAACGAGTTAAACAATCTCAACTCCGATAAATTACTTATACAAGTTTGTGTTGACTCAATTTAAATTAGATTTAAAATATTATAAAGTTTAGGTTTGGATCAATAATTATTAGAACGATTTTAAAAAATAAATTTTAAAAATATTTATTTTGAAACTTAAGTGTGATAAAAAAAAATCAGTATAATAATTTAATACATAAATTATAATATATATATATATATATATATATATATATATTAATAAAATGTCATTTTTTTATAATGTAATTATTATTTTACTAAAGTAAACATAAAATTTATTTTCCGTTCAAATCCACTTAAGGAAGAGTTAAATAGTCCTGTCAAAACAATATTCAATTTAATTTAAACCATTTTTTTCTCTATATTAACACTTATTATACACTATAAAAATATATATTAAATGCCATAGTTGAATCAACATCAATCCACTAAAAATATATTAAATTGTATTGACCTAGAGTTTTTTTTTTTTTTTTTATAGATTTTTGCTATATGTTCGATCAACTATCGTGTGATTAAATATAATATTTTATTAAATAGGATCAACTTAATGTTATTTTATTATTCTACTTTGCATTTGTTTAACCTAGGTTTTAAAGAAAATATGGTAAGATAATTTAAAAGGATATACTCTAGTAATTGTAAAATTATATTCAAATGTTTTTTTATTTATATTTTAAATCAACTTTTAAATACATTTTCATATTTTTTTATGATCAACGGAATACAATTTGATATTAATTCTTAATTGAATTATATTGAAAATTTTAATTTAATTTTAAATCTAATAGATAAAATAATAAAATGGGTTAAATCTGACAAGTTGTCCGTCGTCTCACTTAAAAAGTGATGGGAGGGATTAATGATTTTAACCTATCAATCTGTTTTATTCAGTTCACCAATTTGACGAATTAAGGATGAGACAAGTTAGCACATTGATATGTTTTAAAATAATATTTATATATTAAAATAAAAAATAATTATAATTAAAAATATTATATTTTTATTGTTATATTATTGAGATATCTAAATAAATTATAATAATATAATTAAAAGTAATTAATTAGATTTAAATTATTAATTATAATTAATTATTTTGACACGTAAATATAATAAATTTTTTAATTAATAAATAAAAACTTAAAAAGATTCATATAATTAAAGATATATTTTAATATATATAAATCTTTATATAAAAAAATTTATTTATGGATTGACTTGTTGGTCTGTTAGTCCATTCTTAACTATAGCAGGTCAGTCTGCTCTTTAATATAATAGATAAGCACGGGTCAGTTCTTTATTGTAGTGGGTCAGTCCGCTCCACTTCAATTTTTTTAAGACAAAAAATGGGTAAATATAAGATTAACTAATCTGTTTTGTCAGTACATTTAATATTAATATAAAATTATATAATTTAAATATATATATATATATATAATTTTATTTAATCATTTAATTTTGTTTTCAATATATTTCTAAAATTGTAAATTAAAAACCGATAAAAATGGTTTAATAATGCAATATATACGTTTGATCTTTTAGTTAAAAATATTTTTGTTATTTTGTGTATATAATTTAGTTTGTCATGAAAAAAATTATAGACTTTAGAAATGCATGGTCGTGAAATCTGTCCACATGGTTGTAATGGAGAATAGGCATGGTAATTTTTTTTTTTTTTTATCAATAGAAATTTTCAATCTAACAACAGAATAAAATAATTTTTATTACAAAATATATTTTCAATTTTAATATATATATATATATATATATATATATATATATATATATATATATATATATATAAGTGGGATAAAACATCTTTCGAAGCATAAAAAGTTGAAAACTATATGGTAATTGCTATTCATTAATCTATTGTTTTATTTTAGGGATAGATAATCAATTTTTTATTTATTTTAAAGATAGATGAATAAAATATTTTTAATGTTATTTAATGCATGATAAGTTTTTATGTTCTTATTAACAAGCAGACTAGTGTAAATTAATATGAAAAACACTGTTATTTATTATATATATTTTTTGTATTTGTCTATTTTTAATATATTGACTCATTAGTTGTTGTATTTTTTTTTTTACTTTAATATCAACTTTTAGAAATTAAATATTAATTTATATCAAACAAGACTTATATATTTATATAATGACACGTTATAAAAAAATACACCTTATAATTGTGTTTCAAACTAAAAATACACCTTATAATATGAAAAAAAAATATATATATATATATATATATATATATAAATTAAACCTAAAAAATTGTCTTATTTTTAGTTGATTTTATAAAATAAATAAATTTGAATTCATATTAAACCTAAATCTAATTAATTTGATTAAATTTTAAATATATAAAAAATGTTCATGAAAATTGACTTAAAATAATTTAGATTTAAATATTTATATTTTTAAAAAAATATTTATAACATTATTTACTTTGTTATATTTTTATCAAAAACAAATTTAAACTAAATTAAATGCAGAAAAAATAAATATTTGTTTTTTATTACTTTTACATTAATATATTTTTACAAAATTATAAAATAATAAATAAACACTTTAAAAGTTATAATAGTATATTGTTAACTTAATATGTTACAACACTAATATGTTAAAAAGTAATTTATAAATATAAAAAAAAACAAATATATGATAAATATTATTGTTTGATACTAAGTAAATAAACCAAATTATTACTAAAGAACATGAGAAGGTTTCCTACAGATACAAAAGAAAAATGTATAGGACAACACTTTGTATGTAACAAAAACAATTTAATTAAAATATATTGATAATGTATTTTTTATAATGTCATTTAATTATAAATGATCATGTGTGGTATTATATAATAATAATAATAATAATTATTATTATTATTATTATTTAAAAAACATATTGAAGGTATTTCTAATTATTAATCCTAAGAAATAGTTAAACTATATGGTAAAAAATAATATATATATATATATATAGTTATAATTATAACTGTCTAACTTTTATTAATGTTACCTAATTAATGAATTTATATTTAATTTTTTACTTAATTGTTAAATTTGTAATTTATATTATCATAATTATTCATGTAAATTTTTATTACAATGGAATAATAATAACAAATTATCAAAATATATAATCTATATAAATAAAACATAAAAAATATTATATTAATATAAAATTTCATATATATAATTTATGGAAAATGAACTTTCAATATGATGAATTATGAAAAATATAAGATTAAACAATATAATATCTATTAAAAGTCACACTGATATATATGGAGAGAGTACTGTATGGGAACAAATTAAAAAAAAAGACTATAGACAAGTCTTTATAATTATTTTTAATATAATTAATTAAAAATATAATAAAAAATTTAAATAATAAAAACATGAGTAAATATAGTTTATAATATAACATGAAATCTACATAATCATCAAGCACATATCTCATAATAAAAAATTAGAATATATAATTTTAAAAAAATTTAAAAAATTAAAAAACTTGAGTCTCTCCAAATGTGTAAGTCTGTTTTATTTTCACTAATTTTTTTATATTTACTCTCATAATTTTTATAATTATTTTTTTAAAAGTGAAAAATATTTTTATAGATAAAAATTACATTTTTAACTCTTTAAATATTTTTTTCATAAAATAAATAAATAGATATATGTTTATGTCTTTTTTACAATTAAATATATATATATATATATATAGAGAGAGAGAGAGAGAGAGAAAAAAAAAAAAGATAGAGGGAGAGGGAGAGGGAGAGAGAGGGCTAAGGTACTCCCAATTTCAATACATTTCATTCATTTATACAGAATACAGCCAGACACAGACAAAGAGGGAAGACAAGAGTGGGTTGTTGTCCCCTTCAATTCATCATCCTCTTCTCAATCTTCTACAATGTTCTATAGAGGGTACCTTCTTTTTCTTGTTCTTCTGCCTTTCCCCTAATCAAGTTTCTACCTTTTTTCTAAATCTTAGGTTTATTTCACAATTTTATCTATTGGATTTTATACTGGTTTACGTTCTGTTTAATTTGGTATGTAATTATTTTTCGGGTTGTCAAATTGTTGAGACCCTCACAATTTTCGTTATTTTTTTGTGTTTTGCGAAATCTTAGAGCAGTTAAGTTATGCTGTGTAAAACTGGCACCTGGGAAGGGATGAACACTTAATTCTTACCAATCATTTGCCTTAAAATGATTTTTTATTCAATATGATGTTATTACCTAGAGGAGAACTTTGAAGTTGTGGTTGTGGTTGAATTGATACATCTTTTCTAAGATGTTTGCAGCCAAGATTTTTCTGTTATTCCATTGGGTTTCTTTTACACTTAATACTTAGAGGATCTTAGGGTGAATAATAAATATCCTCTGAGAATTTGATCCTTAACCAGCTCAGAAACATGTGTAATAATTTAGATGACTTCACCTGGTGGGATGACTTTTGTTGTTGCTGTAAAAGTGTAATGTTTCTGTGTTAAACTGTTTATCTTGTGTAATTCTTCCATTTTGCTCATGGACATTGTTTGGATTCTATTATTCTTCTTTCTGTTTGCTGGATATAATCACTTGTATTATTAGTGATTAAATTAATGCTAGGAAAATGACACCTTTTAGTCCTCTTGGAAAGAGGATTTTGAATGCATGGGAATCTCCTGCCTAATCTTTACTTGCTCATGTAGATGATTATGTTTTCTAGATAAAATAATATCAAGGTATGGGAAAATGAATGTTTGTCTTTGCTTCATATTGAATGAGAAAAACTATCATGGGTAAAGGTCTTGTGTAGCTTTGCTGTTAAGCTTTGTGCTTGTGATGCTAATATAGATATTTAGTCCCTGTTTGGTCGTGTAAGGAAATGTTATCTGTTTTTTTTCCTTTTTATTTTCACTAATAATTACAATCTTCCACCTTGTTTTCACTCATGTTTTTTTTCAGAAAAATCTTTTGAAACAGGAAAGTGAAAACAATGGGACTTTTTTGCAATTACTGGTGAAAATAGAAAACCCTTAAACCAAATATGTCCTCAGCAACTTTACTTAGTTGATCCTCAAATTTAGAATGGCCATGATAGGAACCTTTGCAGGAGTTGTGTGAGACAAAACAAAATTCTTATTGATTGAAGGAAATTGAACAGAACAAGGAGAAATTATTCTTGTCCAAGGACATCCCCTTTCTTACAAATCTTATACTTTTAATGTCCCTTTCATCTTTATTTTCTCTTATTTGGCTAGTTGTCCCAAACTATTTTTTCCTCCCTTAAGTTTAAACATTAACAGGCACCTCTGAAATTCAATCTTGTCACCTAGGTGGAAATTGGGGATTTCCCTTGCATGAGAATTCCTGCTGGTCATCCAAATGGCTGGCCACAATGAAAAACATCTCCCTTGTCTTTTGACATACTCCTCATTAGGAGGCCGACAAGGTCCACTTTCTTGGTGGAAAGGTATTAGCTGTGCTAGACTTTGATGCTGACTGAATCAAAGCTATATTCTCAGCTTACACATCTGTCTAAGAAATGGGTTGGACCCAAGGTGCTCTTGATTGGCCAGGACAATGAATTGGGCTATTTAGCTCATTGGAGTGGTTCCCCCCTATGAAACAATGCTCCCTGCACCGTTATAATGAATATGGCATTTGTGGGTAGAATTGCAAATCCACCATACCTTGTATAGTACACAACTCGTGAACAGCCTCTATAGAATCATAGCCATGACCATAAGAAATACATCTGTGGGGCATGGGGTCTGATTCTACACTGCACTCTTAACCCCCAGTCACCCCCCAGAAATACCCACATAAACTTTCCCTCAATGAGGTTAAAATCTGCACAAGCAATGTATAATTCTTTGATGTAATCCTCTACAGAATCTATTTACCTTAGAATAATTTGTTTTTCATTTAGATTTCCAATACACCCAATCCCATCGTAACACTGGATGAGCTATGAAATAAGCCCTTCCAATGTCAATTCTGGTGTTTTCTTCTAGAAGAATGGTAAACACTGGAGTGCGCTAGCCTCATACTGATGAAATCCATCTGAAATTTTCTGATGGCTTGACACCTTTTGCACTTAAAAGAATTTGGGTTGTGTTATCACCCTGAATGATCTTCAGTGACAAAGGTGGGTTGCTTCTTCCTTTTTGTTGAAGAATGGCTCTCTGGATTTCCACTTGCCCACTGCTTGTCTGCATCAGGATGTACCTCCTCGTGAGTGGGTTATTTGAGGTCTGATCCTCCCAATCAGTTGCTTCTACATCCACTTTCCCTGCATCTGTTTGATGCTATTGATTTGCTCTAAACTCTTCTTGATCTCCAAAAGCTGAGAATTGTAGTCGACAGTCACCCACTTAAAAATCTCTGTTGAATTACAATCATTCCATTTGGGACCCCATTTTGGTTACTTGTGGATCCTCAGGTTGGGCCAATTACCAGAAAAGATTATTCTTATTTGTCTGACGAAATTGAACAGAACAAGGAGAAAAATTCACCTTCAAGGGTTTCCTGCTTCTTACTATTTTTCTATTTATTTGAATGCCTTTTCTGTCCGCATTATCCTTTGTTTATTTAACTAATCCATTCTAGCCAAGTTACTTACTGCTCTAACTGTCCCTAATTAATTGCCCCTTAATTTCTGTTCCAAAAGGTTAAGTAATATGTAGCATAGTAATCATTGTTTTGTTTCATGGGGCTATCATGTCCCTGTAAGCATGTGTTGCATTTTAACAAAGTGATGTTGTGGCATCTCAACCATTTCTTTAGTTTAAGGTGAAAACACTTCTCCCTTTACTTTTGGAATTTTATTTCTTTTCGGGTTGTGTAGTATAAATTATTTATTGTGTCCATAACCTTTGGTATAGTAGTCAAGTCAACTAGTCTTCCTACTTCTTACTATCCTGCTATAGCACTTTGTAATGGTCTCTCGGTGCAGTTATCCAAAATTGATAAATTAGAATAAAACTAGGACAACATTTGAGTGGATGACTACCGTTAAGGTTATAATTGACTCATGAGAGTTTATTTGTGCCCTCTGCTCTGCCAGGTGCTGTTTTTTTTTTTTCAGTGTAATGATTTACATAATCTTTTTTTATTTTATTTTTCTTATTTACTTTTTAAATGCTGAATCTTTGTTAGTGTTTTCATCTTTAGAAGGATCCTTTTGATATTTCATTGTACTTTCTTTGCCTGAAAAAACAGTATGCTATTGTACAAATGTTTATTCCTGTCGATTTATTGTGACATTTCTTTTAGTATTATCCTTTTAGTAGTTGTAGTAACTTATTTTATCCCAAAATCCTTCTAAACTTTTATAGATTCCAAGGGTTAGTTAATATTCAATCAGATATATTGACTAATCGCGTGTCTTGTTGGCTCTTATAATTCTGTTTGAAGATAACGGGATTTCATTGGTACTTTCTCATCGCAATTTTTTGTCGTTGGGTTTCTTTATTTCCATTAAGTTTAATTGGGTGTTGTATCTCTATACAGTTAGATAAATTTAAAGATGAAGGATAATGTAATTAATTTTTGTGTTACCCCCGTTCTACTGTTTTGGAGGTGTTTAATTGTGTCTCATGACATGAGCTTTCATATTCTTGAAGTTTGTATATGTTAAGGTTCTAACATAAAACCAATTGACAATATGTGGAGTAGCCTAACATGTATTTAAACCATACCAAATGACATGAGGTAGGCGATATGAGATTTTCAACACGTCCCCTCTAACGAAGTCTGCCGGACCAGGCAAAGAGTATTTTTGACCCAACTAATGGGTAACTTTTGGCCCATGACAATAACCGGAAAGATGTTAGGCTTTGACTCTGATACCATGTTAAGGTTCCAACATAAAACCAATTCGCAATATATGGAGTAGCCTAACATGTATTTAAACCATACCAAATGACATGAGGTAGGCGATGTGGGACTTTCAACAATTTATGGTAGAAGAAATGATAGTTCTGAATATGTTATTTTTTCATAACCTTGTCAATTGTTATAGTCTTTCATCATCTCTGACGCAATGAATGTCTACACCTTCAATTTTGTTTTGCTATTAACTAGCAGACTAAAATAGTATTCATTACAGATGGGAGCATGACATGAATTGAGTTTAATTTATCATATAAATGGCCAGATCATAATTATGTAATTGAAATTTAGAGTTTACTAAAAACGGTGAAACTTTACATATTTGTTGACTATTAAACAACAGATTTTTATTTCTGTTATGTTTATGGGTGAAAATTGCAGGAAATTTGCCGATGGTGGTGATGGGCGTGAAATGGCTGCAAAACGCCAGCGCACAGTTGATCCAGGATCATCATTCTATGGTACTTCCACCGGTTCCAATTTTATGTACAATCCTTCTCCTTATGGATATGTCAGCCAACCTCCTCCGCCTCCACCTTTTCCTGTTGTTAGACTGCGAGGCCTTCCTTTTGATTGTACTGAAACTGATGTAGCCGAGTTCTTCCATGGACTAGACATAGTTGATGTTCTTTTTGTTCACAAGGGTGGCAAGTTCACTGGGGAAGGTTTCTGTGTTCTCGGGTATCCTCTTCAAGTTGACTTTGCTCTTCAAAGAAACAGACAGAATATGGGTAGAAGATATGTTGAAGTTTTCAGAAGTAAGAGGCAGGAATACTACAAGGCAATTGCAAATGAGGTTTCAGATGCCCGAGGTGGTTCACCTCGTCGAAGTGCTCCTAGGGCTAAATCATATGATGAAGGAAAAGATTCAGCTGAGCACACCGGGGTGTTGCGACTAAGGGGATTGCCATTTTCTGCTAGTAAGGATGACATAATGGAATTCTTCAAGGATTTTGGGCTGTCAGAGGATTCTATTCACATTGTAATGAATTCTGAGGGAAGACCTTCTGGGGAGGCTTATGTGGAATTCGCAAACGCAGAAGATTCAAAAGCAGCAATGGTAAAGGATAGGATGACACTTGGCAGTCGCTACATTGAGTTATTTCCTTCATCACACAGTGAGATGGAAGAAGCAATTTCAAGAGGACGGTGATGCCTTCTCATCTGATTGATCTTGTAGTTATACTTCTTAGCTTGATCTTATAATTAAGATTTTGGTCAAGGGTATATTTTGTTGCTGTATTTGTTTTAGGATCCGTATACTCTTTTTACCAATACCCAGATGAGAAAATATGACAGTTGCAAGATTGAATTTTGTGGATTTATTTATTCTTGATCACCCAGCATCAAATTTTCTTCTGTGTAGGATGAAATCACCATGCAAATTGTTTGGATCTGCCTTTGATTTCCTGAGCATGGTTCTAAAATTTCGAGTATCTTTTTTTTAGCAAAGTTCTTATATCTATCAGTGGGTAGGTTTATGATTTTTAGCAAATGCTGAAGCTTATTTAATGCTTTTCGAAATTAAAACCGAAGAAGCAACACTTCAATGCTTTTGTCCCTTTCTTGTTTGTAATGTAGCTAGGCCTACCTTTGTCATATTGATTGCCACCATATTCTTCATTTCCGACTTTGACTACCTCATTGGAAAAGCTCGCCACAGTACCTTGTACTGTGCCTATTTAATGCTTGTTAGTTTTCTCTCATTCTCACCCTTGACGTGCCAAATACCACAATGTTCAGTAATTTTATATATTCCATTGAAACATTGATTTCCACATCAGTTGTTGTGAATGACCACAAATCAGTTGTCAAAAGCATAACCACAAATTAAAACATTTTTATACCTCTATTGCATTTGCATAGTCATTAAACTTATTAAAAATGACCACAAATTACTGATAGCCCCTGCTAACAGTAACAACATAATATTCTAAAAGTTGATTCAAGATTCCCCACTGTTCAGTCATCATGATAATGCTGCATTCTTCTCAGTACAAATTCAATTTTATTGTATGTACCCGAAGAAGGGACATGGAAGGATTGGAAAATTTTGGAAGGACATGGAAATGTGGTCCAAGTGCAATCTGGACAGTCTGGTGGCTTGGACTATCAAATGTGAACATAATCTAGCTAGCTATGAATTTCTCTTCTTTGCAATTTCGTGTATCTTCACAACACTCATTACACCTTCATAATTACGCTTAGGTCATCACTACTATCTCTGTGAACATGGTTTCTTCCACTCGCAGATTTATATATATATATACTTTACCTACAGCTCAACTGTTGAACATTCACGTGATGCAGCTCTTTGCTTTTGTAGAAGAATGAAGATTTTACATCAGGATATCCTATTAAGATACAGAAAAAACACAAAAAGACAATAAGATTACAATACCTTAATTTTTATCTCTTTTATACATGATTTTATAGCATAAATCTATCACCACATTAGTTATTTTTCAGTGTTGTGTTTTCATGTTTTTCTATTATTATCCGTTTTTTATTTATAAAACTCAATTATATTAGTCATCAACTAATTCATTTGATAACAAAAGTTTGTCTAAGACTTATATTTTTTTTTTTCTTTCAAAACTATCATTATCATTAATATTTTTCTCTTAGTTCTACTCCATTTTTATTCATAATATTTAATTATCTAAGTATTGAGAATAGTGATTAGTATGTTTTTCAAAATTATCCAGACTATTAATACATTTCTCCCTCTTTTATTGTGTGTCAATGAAATCTCGAAAATTTAATTAGGAAAATTTTAGTATTAAAAAATTATGCAAAAGAAACTTTGGATAGTAACAAATATTGTTTTTAGGAAGGAAGAATCGTTTTTCATTTATGTTTCTTTTAATTATGAGTATTTTACTATAAAATTAACTAACACAAGAAATATTATGTATTTTTCCCATAAAAAAATGTATTTTCTAATTTCTTTTAATGATGGCTAGTCTCCATTAGAGAACTAGTTGTTCAATGGAGTATTTCCTCTAATCTACATTTTTCTATCCACTGCTCACACTTAAAACATTATTTAATGGGCAAAGTCCAGTACCACTAAAACCAATGATTTATTGGTACATCTTTTCTAATTTAAGTTTTATAAATAGAAATAAATGAATACTTAATAAAATATCAACCAAAAAAATATATAAATACTACAATATAACATTTTTTAAATAATTTATTGAATGATGAAAACTCTTTTATAAGATCCAAACATTGCTTAATTTAATTATAACATTAAATATATATTAATTTTGTTTTTTTTTCTTTTAAAAACACCTCTAACATTATTAACAATATAATTAATGTACTTAAAAAATTACTTATTAAACTAAGAGAAATTTTAATAAAAAAAAACTAATTAATACAAATGGAATTTATATTAATTCTTATATAGAAAAAAAAACATCAAATACTACTTCTAATTTGATAAGAAAAATGAGACATCAATTCTTTTGCTTGTTATTGATGATGAAATTCTTATTCTATTAAAGAAATCAGAATGAGAGTGAAAATTACCTTTTATCTCTCATTTAAAAGATTCAAATTAGAAGTGATGTTAATTTTTTTTTATATATAATTTAATCTATAATATCTCTTATATCTTAGTATGTTTTAAAAAAATTCTCTCTCTGTTATAACATCTGTTTAAAACTATTATTTTTTTAAAAATAAATTAACCCAAATATATTAAAACTCATAACTACTGATTGTTTTATTAATTTTTTTAAAGAAACAGATCCATCATTATAGATTAATTAATCACTTTTTTTTAGATTTAATAGTAATAAATATTACTGAGAATATTCTTATAAATTTTCTTGAAATAAAAGAATAATATATTATTTTCATTTGTTTTTAATTTTTTACATTTAATAAAATAATATGTTTTTTTTAATAAATTTGTTATTTTAATGAAAAAAGTTAGATTATCACGTTCTACAAGAGTATTCTTGTGAAAAATAAAGATTTTAATTTTCTTTTAACTAAATCGACATAAATAAAATATAAATTTTTAACCGGAAAAATATTTTTTTATCATTGTATAATTTTTCAAACTGATTTTTTTTATATAATTCAATTTATAAAATATATAAACTAAGGCTAAAATTGTAAAAAAAAAATCTCAAAACATATTTAACCATTTCTTAATAAAAGAAACTAAAATAGTTATACAGTTGGTACAAAATGATAAATTAATAAGTTGACATTTTGAGGTATCCACCTTTTCTGATCACGCAGCTCAGACATGCATGCAAGCCACCCTCACTAAATCACCACCTTTATTTTTTTTATTTTTCTTTTAAGTAGTTATACTTTTTTTTCTTAATCAAATTAATAAAGATAGAGGTTAAAAATAATTTGGAATAACACTAATAGGAGGAAGATTCAGAATTATTTGTTCAAGAATAATAATAATAATGTAAGAATAATCATAATTTCGTAACTGTTTCTCCATTGTACCATATATTATTGAAAAGGGACAGATTCATAGGATTCTCCCGAGGTTCCAATAAAAAAGCGAAGACACCAACAATTTTATAATCGCTTATGATTTTGTTAGTTTTTTTCTCTTTCATTTTCAATTTTTTTATATTTTGAAAACACTGACACCTTTTATGGAAAACCTTAAAAAGAAATATTTTCTAAGAGAAATTGGAGGAAGCTTATCTTAAATAAATTTTGATAAGTTTGAATTAATAAGAAAAATGTTAAGTGTGATTGCCGACATTTATAGTGATGATGTAACTCAAAAGACACCGACACCAATGTTTCTCTCTGTTTTGTATTTAAACCACCGTGGACCAACCTTGCATGCTCATTTGTCTTTCATCCTAACTTTCACTCATCAAATTCCTCAATATAAACATTTTTTCATATTTTCCCTTTCTCCCTTCATTACAAAATGTAGAAATATTATTATGTATTTGTTTCTTTACAAAACAACCATCCTATATTATTTAAACATGATTATAATATATAATATTTGATTCGTATAATAAGTTACATTTATAAGTAAAAATAAATAGGTTTTATATAGCTATAATAAAATTAAAGTCAAATTTTATATATTAAATTTAAGATTAAACTAACACTGATTTTTAAAATATTAAGTAGATATTATCTCAGTTTAATAAGCAATTTAGAGATTGAGCTTTTAGGTTATAGTTATTAAATAAAAACGTGACATTATTCACATGTGACAAATGAGATTTCCCATGTAAATGAGAGTAATGATAGATGAGTGTATAAAAAATAAAGTAAAAGACAAACTAAGGTAAGTATCTCTCATCTCATTAATAATTATGTACGAAAGGATTTTTTTTTAATATTATTTTTTTTTCTTTATTTCTTTTAATAATAAACTTTTTTACATTATCTTTACTTTATCTTTTCTTAAAATTCTATTTCATATTTATTTATTTTTAATAATTCATAATTTAGAAATCAATTTAAATTATATATATATATATATATTACATTTTAATAAACTAAAATAATAAATATAATAAAAATATAGACAGATGCACTATGTTTCCTCTAGGATGTAAATATTACTTTGAACTTTCTTTCACCATTAGTTTACATTAAATTTTAAATTTTAAGATTTTTAAATAAAAGAAAAATTTTGCAGGTTGACATGGTAGATTTTTATCAACGACATGTACAAATAATGCTTAAAATTTACAATTTCTTTCATGACAAAGAACTTGGGTGTTTCAGTTAAATTTAAAAAATGTTGTTGGATACAAAAATACTAATAAAAGAAACTTATCTTTCACATTTAAAAAAAACTATAAATGCTTAAACTTGTCAAATATAAAAATATTATCCCACATCACATAACTATTTTTTTGGAGATGTAACTTAATTTTAATTTTAGATAAGACGTAAAAGTCTCATCATCATGCTAGGCCATTTTGTGCATTTGATGTATCTCATTTCAATTTATTATGTTTTATAATATAGTTTATACATTTGAATATATTTATCAACGATAGAGTTTAATTGCATAAAATATATATATTTACCTTGTGTGAGAATATATAAATATTTGCATAGATGCGTGTGTATATGCATTCTCTTTTAAGATTGGTTCAGATAAAATGGATAAGACATTCAGTCCTTTTGCTTTGGTTTTTCTTTCCTCTTACCTAACTTTCTTCACCTTTAACTGTTAAGTTTTACTCTTAGGTATTAAACTTGTCTAGTCTAAAAAAAAAGAAATATTTTGATAAAAAAAAAAGAGAGAGTATTACAATAAATATTAGTTACTGACTTTATTAATTATATATATATATATGTTATTTTATTATGTATGAGCTTAATATAACTTTCAAGATAACTATTCTAATAAATGTTAGTAAATATAATATAATCCAAAACATTTTTTTATTGTCTTATTATGGTTCTCTTAGTTTAGTGGCTAAAACATCAAGTTACGTGTAGAATTATCCTTGTGGTTGATTCAACATGGTTTGGTAGAATCCAACACAATTATCAAGTATGAAGAACATGGGTTTTTGTATGCTAGAACTGTGTGCAGAGTTTAGTAGTACTAACCCCACCAATTATGAACTCCATAAGGTAGGTTGATGATGATAATGCATCCTTATCTTGAAGTTGAATTTTCAGAGAGGAAAGTTTTGAGTCAAAATATGGTGGCTCGTGATCTTTGGGTTGGGTTGGGTACATAATACATTCTTGTGTCGCTCATCTCTCTTGACAGAATCAATTGGCAACTCTTATTAAACTCTTTTGACTTGTGTTTTATCCAAATACTGATGCAAGCAATTTGAAGACCCAAAAATTCTTTGGTGGTAAAACGTGTAATGGAATTTGTCCAATGCAGAGATGGGTGAACCTGGGTGAAAAACGAGCAATGGAATAATAATAGAGGTTGTAGCAATTAGCACACCCTTCCTAGGATCCTATGAGCAAACAATAGAAAAACAATTTAGGAGTGTGATTCTGATAAGGTGACCCTATAATTTAGGGCTATAAGACAAAATAGTAGGACTAGAAGACAACCCGTCTGTGCCCCTCCTATATTTCAACCCCTAAATTAAATTAATGTTACCAAACAAGCACATCAATTAGTGGGTGCATGCTTAGGAATGAGAATTCTTATTTTAATGTGTGTGAATGTGCAAATCAGAATCTTAACTATTAACTGTTCCTCGGGCACCGCCCACCTTCTCCTCCATCTGCAAAACTCAATGTACTGTGATCAATTAACAACAATTTCAAGACTTTAGAAGCAGCAGTTCCTAATTAATCATCATCATCATACCCATTAATTCAAAGATGTAAGATATTGTTACGATTTATACAATTAAAGAGGAATTTTTCGTGATTTGAATATAGAGAATATAGCAAGAAAAATAACATGAGATTGCGTGTGATTGTAGGTAATTGTGTGCAGAGATCAAGTGACATTATTGTTAAAAGGTTTCTGTTTTTGGTGACACTGTTATTAAATGGAGAAAGAAAGTTTTAGGTAGATATTACTTTCCTAGTAACCAAATTTGAAGGTAAGGTAGCCGGCCATGAACTGTGCATTTGAATGTTAGATGAGGCCTGGAAAATGTTATGTGTGATTAAAAAAACTGAAAAGAAAAGAAGATTCTGAATGGTTTAATTACTGAGCCTTTAACACTTTTGGTAATTGATGAAATCCCAGAAATTCAAGTGAAGGCATGTCCATCAATAAAGTTCAATTGGGTCCCCAATATTTGAATGTGCCTCTCTCCCTCTCTCTCTCTCTCTCTCTCTGACTGCTACGGGCAGCCCTGCCCGTTGCCCGTCATAATTCTAACCTTAGTTAATATAAATAAACCCAAACCAATGTAAAAATCAAAATCTTTACCCTCACAATCTTCTTCTTCTGCATCTGGGTCCATTAATCTCTTCTCTTTTCCAGTTTCATATGTTTGTCTTCTAGTGTTAATGTAAATTTGGGGTTCCTTAAGTTATGTCATTAATTATGGCAGGGCTGTAATTATGATTTTGTTGGGATTTAGGTTTGTGTCAAAAGTGAAGCATACCTCTTCACAATGCCAAAATGGGTGTTTAAAAAGCACTTGATGTCCCTTTTAAGAAACCTTGTCTTGAAGATTCCTTGCTCCACTCTCTTCAGTTCGGCTATTTTAGTGTGCTAGGGGTGTTGCATCATACATAAGGGGTGAAGGAGATAGATAGTTCCCACTTGAATCATCATTGCCAAACTTCTCTACAACCCTCACTCTCCCTCCCAGCTTTTGAGTCAAAATTTATCATTTCAAAGCACTCTCCAATAGGATAAGTTTGTGTCATCCCTGTGTTTGGTTTGTAACCCTGCTCTGGCCTGGCCTTGGTAAAGGTTCAATATCTTGTTGTTGCCAGCTTTTGTACATGCCAGTTTATAGCAAGCTTTACCACTTCTTTTAAACCAAACCCCTCCAGAATAATAAGCTTTTCCCTCATTGTCTCAAGAAAATGGCCCCTTCTGGAAGGACAACAACTGCAGCAACATCAACTAGGACAGCCTCAAAGACAAACACCACCACCACAACATCAACAACAAGGAGAACAAGACAACAAAGAAGAACAACAGCACAGTTCAAGAAGAAGCAGCAGCACACAAAGAGCAACAAGAACCACAAGACTGATCTTGTTCCCACTGTTTTGCCCTCCAGCTGCTCCTCCATAACCTCACAAGACTCCTCAAAGGAAGCGGACATGCAAGGTTCTGAGGTAATTGATGTGACCCTAAGTCCATGTTCCACACCAAAGGGTCAGAAGTTTAGGATTCCTGAGATTTCAACATGCCCCCCAGCACCAAAGAAGCCAAGGGTTCTCTCCAATTGCTCTTTGCGTAGGTCTCCACTTTCATTCTTTGCACCACCTGACTTGGAGCACTTCTTCTTAGTGGCACTTCGAGATGTCCCGGTTTGATTTTGTGTGTTAATAGAAATTAAGAAAGATACATGTGTTATATTAATAAGATCATGACACTTTAGAAGATGGACTTTTGAAGTGGTTGTAGTATATTTTCTCTTCATGTGTACCTCTAGCAAATGAGAGAGGCATGCTTTGAGAACTTTAGATTTTGGTGTGTTCATCTTAGGAAACAGTCACTACTTCCCTCTCTCTTCAACTTCTGCTAATTTTAACAATTTGTAGGGTTTTCTGTCACTAAATTTAGCTGGGGTGGCTCCCTAACTAAATTTAGATTTTAAGCTTACTTTTTTTTTTTTCCCCTCTTATAGAAGACATGTTCTGACCTTCAAGTGTGTGCTGAGTGCAAATGTAATGGGTTTGATTTAAGGTTTGAGTGTTCAAGCTTGCAACTCTACAAAGCTTCAGTTGTCAACCAAAGAAAGTAAAGTCATACACTTTCCTTTTGTATGCAAATCCCTCTTTGTTTTTCCCCTCTACTTGTCATACATACTGCATCACTTGCTGGTAGAGATACTTTTAGTTTCAACAGTTAATTTTGTTACCCTTTTGTTTCCGTGATGATACATTCATGGCGACAATGAGATAGGTAATGGTTGACAATCCATTCTCTGCATCACAGAAATAAATAATTTCAGAAGCAGTACTCTGTACTCTGCGAAAGCAAGTTGGTATCATAACAAATTCAAGCCATCGTCTTCTATACCTGATATCATGATTAGACACGGTTGTAATGAAGTGTTTGATTTTTTTTAGTGTAGTTGGTAAGACTAAACCCCACTAATCATAATACAGTGGCACTACAGCTTGTCTTCAAGATTTGATTAAATTAGGCTAAAATAGTTTATAGTCAAACCGAGGGTCCACCACATGCCCTTATACATGAAATTAATGATACTGTGTTAGATGTCACCTTCTCCTTCTTAAAACCAAAAAAACAAAATTCTGAGTTATTTTTCACATAAGATCCTTCTAACTATGTTACATAAACTGTTGCTCCTAATTTGGATCACATGAGGACATAGGGATTCTACATGGCTACAAAACACAAATCTTTTGCCTGGAGACAATTTTCAAGTGGAGGTAGTGAAGACATAGGCTGCATAGCTTCTGTCAACACAGTTTTAACCCTTTCTGTCCAAGTTGGAAGTTGATGAAGGCTCGAGATGGACTTATGTGCTCTCAACTTTCATTGTTTATTCATAAAAAACTGAACTTCTCACGTGACACTGTTTATCAAACTTCTTCCATATCATCCATCGTTCAATTAGTATCATACTATATCATTATTATGGTTTTAATGAGTTTATAATGTGTTTTTATACAATAACAAATACCATGTTCTGTTACTTAAGAGTAGCTAAACTGTGATTAAGGAGGTGAAATGAGATGATTTAATGAGATTTGTGGTTTTGTGTGTGTCCGTGGACACGCCAACATTTGGAAGAGAATCCAATGAAGGACTCTCGTGCGGGTGTGTCATTGTCACGTTAGAGAATCTCAAGAAATTTCTCATCATTTTTTTTGCAAACTTTTTAGACTTTTCCTGCTTCATCATACCTCTCTCTATTAAATTTCAGAAGAATAATGCTCTACACGTATGGATACGATTCTACTCTACATATTCGCAGTAACACACCTTTTTTTATTTAAATATATAACTTAGACTAATATAATTCATAAATAATATGGGTTTATAAGAATATAATTAGAATATAGTAACATTTTTTTAGGAACATTTGAGTAAATTCTCTTATAATTTGATTTTTTAAGAATATAATAAAAAGTTCAGTTGTGGAATTATGCTTATATAAAATATTTTTTTCTCTTATCAAATTATCCTCCTCTCTCGGCTTATTTCTTTGATATGAAATGTCCCATTAAATATAATATATTTTAGTGTTTCAAAATATTAATCTCTATTTTAAATTTTCTATATATGGTTTGTGGTTTGATTATTTGGTTTAATTTTATATTAAAAAATTATTAAATCAAATATAAAATTTAAATAAGATTCGATTCGATTTTTATTTAAAAAAAAATTGAATCAAACTATACTAATATTTTACTGTTTAGTTTGAATGGTTTTTTTCAACTTTTTTTATTATAAAATTATTAAATATATTATAATAAAATAATTTATATAAATAAAGAAATATATCGTAAAAAAATTTGTATAATGAAATATATATTTATAGTTTTAATTTATTTTCATATATTTTCACGTTTAATTTAAAAATATCAATATATGCATTAAATTATAAGAAATTAAATGAAACTTTCGATAAGTAATTTTAGTAATATATATTCGTATAAGATTACTATATTCAGAAAAAGTAAACATAATACAAAATAAAAATTAATTTCCTAACAAAAATATTTACAGTACAATGAAATCATATTTTTATATAAAAATAAGTACTACTAACTTTTAATTTACATGAAAGTTAATAAATTAAGCACTAATGTGTAAAATTTAAAAATAGTGAGAAGCTTTTTTATAAAGTAAAATTGTTTATAGAAAATTGCAAGATACAGTCTCTCAACATATATACAAGTTTATAAGATGAAAGTTACCAGGGGAATATGAGATTTTATTACAAGTCACATTAATATAATAATATTTTTTATTCTATTACTTGTCATTTGATCAAAAAAATTTAAGTATTTAACATAAATAGTGATGTATCTTTTTTTATTTAGTGACAATTTCTCTTTTCTATAGCTTTTCCAATTCAGCAAGGCGAAATAATATTTTTGTTTGAGCAAATTGTTATCATTTAACCTATCTCTTTCCTTATTTAACCTTTTGCTTAAACGATTAACGTCTTAATTCAACAAAAAATTGTCATATATATATATATATATATATATATATATATATTCAATTATATTATTACTTAACTTTTCTTAGTTGAATATTCCTACAATCCAATTTATTTATGTATATTTTACATTTCAAAGTTAATATTTCTACTCTAATATTTAGACATCATCTCCATATAACCAAAATAATAAAAATCGCTAACTTATTTTCTTAACTTATTCTTCCTTTATCACTTTGAGACTTCAAATTTCAACAACGTTTTAATATTTATTTCTTATAGAAACTAAAATATTACATTTTAATGTTTTATGAAAAAAAAGAATATTAATTATCTTTTTATATATTTTTTAAACTAGTCTATATATATTTTTTAATTTTAAAAATAAAATCACACCGTTACATTAAATATACATTATTCAATAGTGAAATAAAATGAATATACTATTTAATATTACATAAGGTTTAAAAAATATTATTTTTTATAATATATAAAATATTTTGTGACTATTATTATGGAATAATTTTTATTCATAGAATTAACAGGATACTAAATTTTTTTGGAAAAATTCACATTCAGGTTTTTTAGTGGTTAAGGTGATTTAGGGAGGATAAACAAACAATATCTATAACACATGAGTTCAAGCGATTGATACCATCTTCGATCCAAAATTTTAAGATATTAATTTATGTATTTTTTTTCTTTATATACTTTCTCGTTTTTACTCCAATATGAAACTTAGACTCAGATTACAACATTTTTAACTAAATGGATTAAACTATTATATCATGATTATAAAATTTGATTCCTCTAAAATAAATATATTTAAAAATCTAAATAATAATCATAAACTTTTTCATACACAAATCATTATAAATTCTATGATTAACGGTTCTTTTAAAATAGACAAATAAATGTTAATACATGTGATATTTCTTCTAGCTAATATTCAAATAAATAAAATTATGTGTATGATTTGTGTAAATTAATTTTATGTTATAAATGAAATAATCATTGAGAAATCTTACATCGACTAGAGATATAATCATATTATAATATATAAGTGAGTTTAATTTTTATCGAATTTTATAGAATTGAGTTATGTATTTTACTATTTCTAAGACGGTATTAGAGTCAATTTGACAATAACTATTAGGAGGACTTAATAACTAATGTAAATGTGAGGGCATATATTAAAAAAAATATCTTATTAATATGGAAAGATATAATGAAAAAAATATTATTTAAGTGAGTTAAGAATTCTTAAATTCATTATAAATATAATAATATTGATATGATTTTGTAAGATTAAGATTATAACCATTTCTAATATTAATTATATATTATATTTAGATAAAAAGGTAAAATAAAAAATTATAAACTCATCAAATTATTTGGTTTGTTAATTTAAAAAATTATTAAAATTCACTTACATAGTATAAAATTATGATAAATAAAAAGAATCTCTTTCGCGCTTTTTTTTATTATTTATTCGTGTCGCCGAGGTTATCTATGAAAATATGTGCTTTTGTCTTTATCCGAAAGACATTCCAAAATTGAAGGTTGGATTTGAATCTATGAATTTGATTTGGTGAAAGAGAAGAAAATGAAAAAGTGGCTGGAGAATAAATTCTTATTTGAAAGTTGTTTGGAATATTTCATTTTCCAGTTCCTTTTGAATCAAAGAATAATAATTAGACCAATAACAAAGTTTGAATCTCACTTTCATTCATCTTCATCATTCACCTCTCACACTTGTAAATATTCAATGCCATCTTCCAACAAAATTCAAATATAATCAATCTTCCATTTTACAAAGCAGCTCCAGTATTAAAAATTGTGGATAGAAGAATTTGCATACAAATTGGCCAATAACATTTTATCTAGTTTAAAAAAATACATAATTTAATCTTAAAATGCACACATATATAGTCTATTATTTATACTAAATTTATTTATTTTATATGAATTTTGAAATTAATTGGATTGAAATGTATTAAGACCGCATAGGTATCCAACGTTGTAATAATGTGTTGGAGCAATGAAAAGTGATGATATATGAAGCAAACTGAGTAGGAAGGGCAATGCCAAAGAAAAGCTTTTCATGATAAAGTGAGTGGAGCAGTTCTAAAGGTGACCCATGTGTCTCATAGAGGGTACAAGAAGGTATCA